ATTTCTAACAGGGTTCCCATTTCTAAAATATACCATGACTTTCCATATACCTTACTGAATTTACATGACAATGGACAAAAGCTCACTGGGCAATGCAATGTGGAAAAATAACAGAATACATTTTTCTGATCATTTCATTTCCAAGTAGTGATCAATATGTAACATTCCCTGACTATCCCTCTGCAATGCACATCATAAAATTCCATGACTTTCCAGAAAATCACGGACCTGTGCGAACCCTGATTACACAAAAAATGATAACAAAAGTAACTACAATCAATAAGTGGATAATAATGATGACTCATAGTATTTCAATATCATTAATAATATCCTGATTATTCACAACCTGATTAGTAAAATGCTGTGTCAGGATGAAAAGAATGCACCAAACACAAGTACAAGACATAAAAACTGACATGATATTTAATGAGAAATACACTAAACTGAAATTGTACAAATTGAAAAAAAATGTTTTTTGCATTATTCTTATAATTTCTTGTACTTCTTTTTTACATAGACTCTTCCATTCCATTATTCTCCATGATCATTATATTTCACAGCACAATCCCTCCTCGGATGTTCAGAAATTACATGACTGAAGTTGAGATGGTTTTCGAATGGCATGTTGGGCCTCTGGTTGAGTTGAGGGTTCCTCTGTCTGGTCGTCCTTCTTGGCCAATAGCAGCCTTTCCCTCCTAAGAGCCTACGCCTCTAAATCAGGGGCCTGCAGGGCATTGGACACATCTATCTGCCAATCTACGGGCTGGCTGGGGACACGCCCACACACAGGGTCTCCCTATCCTTCCACACACACTAATATACAACAAGCACTATCAGTAATATGAGTTGGTGTTCTGTCCGGGTTGTGTATCTGGGGAAAATAAAATAATACACTTGTTATCAACACACCCAAAATGACTGGAAATGGTCAAAATAAAAAATGTCACATTTTGACTACAAAGCACAATATGCAACATATGATCGTCATATAGAACTGTTTCCAATATCAGCTGTTTAATTAGGGCACCCAACAAAAAAACATTTTAAAAGCAAAGAAACCAAAAATGTTTATTTCTTATTGGACAAATCCAGGTAGTACCTCCGTTTGACTGTTTCTTGTTTGGTGCCTAATGAACGTGACCCTGGGGTTAGTACAAGGCTATAACAGATCTCACTAAAGTACACTGACATGAGTGTCTTCCTTACTTGAGAGTTGTTGTTGGAGCTGCCTGACCAGTGCTGCAGTCTGCTGCTGCTGTTGAGTCTGCTGCATCTGAGTCTGCTGCATCCCCTGTCGTGGGAACTGACACACACACACACAGACATTTCGGTGTTTGAATGTACAGACAGACTATAACTTCACATCATACCTAATTTGAGAGGAATTAACTAATACAAATACGGGTGACCATGACTTGGGACTCATTGTCCCTTTTCAGTAGCACACATTTAGAAAAAAGATGACAGAGGCAAGAGGTCAGAGATTAGAGATTTAGAATCTGAAAATGGAACCAATGTTTGAGCCAATGTTTGAGACAGTTGACAAGATTGTCCGTAAAAAAAACACACAATATTTCAGCCTTTGTGTATGCAACTCTTCCCAAAAAGAGTTGACTTGAGTTTAACTTTTGATGGTCAAAAACTGGCAATTTATACGATACAAATTCCTATTAATGCGTTTCTGTCTGGCTAAGTCCTCAGTCTTGTACTAGTGAATTTCTGATATCAGTACTCTGCGAGATGGCCCCAACTGACACTAAGGCAGGAGTTCCCTCTCGCCATCTTTAATATGTTAGTTTCCTGCTAATTACTTATACCCATATTATCCTTATCGATATAGGAATAACATCTCTTTTCGATATATCGTGCCGACCCAAACCTCTATCCAATAACATGTCTGGTGCCAACCTAGAGGGGCATAGTTCACTAGCCATGCCTTGACTAAACCAGGCTGGACATAGGCAGTGTGCGCTAACCTTAAACTGAACCATCTTCACTGAAAAGATAAAGTAGCAAAAAACTATTCAGGTCAGCGTGATAGTTGGAAATAGATCTAGGCATGGTAGGGTTTGATTTTGGACTTGTGGGGTGTTCCAGAAAGCAGAGCCCTATACTACATACATGGTTTGAGGAGTTAGCGAGGTAACTTTGGACAACTGAGTTCGGGATAACCGGTACCATGAAAGTGGTTCACCTTTTATCCAAGTTCCCTTTATCTAATATTAGGTTTTGGTTGAAGATCTGATAACATTCAGTATCAACAATATGCAAAAATAGAGAAAATCAGAAAGGGGGCAAATACTTTTTCATGGCACTGTATATGTATGTAAACTCAGCAAAAAAAGAAACGTCCCTTTTTCAGAACCCTGTCTTTCAAAGATAATTTGTAAAAATCCAAATAACTTCACAGATCTTCATTGTAAAGGGTTTAAACACTGTTTCCCATGCTTGTTCAATGAACCATAAACAATTAATGAACATGCACCTGTGGAACGGTCGTTAATACACTAACAGCTTACAGACAGTAGGCAATTAAGGTCACAGTTATGAAAACTTAGGACACTAAAGAGGCCTTTCTACTGACTCTGAAAAACACCAAAAGAAAGATGCCCAGGGTCCCTGCGTGAACGTGCCTTAGGCATGCTGCAAGGAGGCATGAGGACTGCAGATGTGGCCAGTGCAATAAATTGCAATGTCCGTACTGTGAGACGCCTAAGACAGCGCTACAGGGAGACAGGACGGACAGCGGATCATCCTCGCAGTGGCAGACCACGTGTAACTACACCTGCACAGGATCGGTACATCCGAACATCACACCTGCGGGACAGGTACAGGATGGCAACAACTGCCCGAGTTACACCAGGAACGCACAATCCCTCCATCAGTGCTCAAACTGTCCGCAATAGGCTGAGAGAGGCTGGACTGAGGGCTTGTAGGCCTGTTGTAAGGCAGGTCCACACCAGACATCACCGTCGCCTATGGGCACAAACCCACCGTCGCTGGACCAGATAGGACTGGCAAAAAGTGCTCTTCACTGACGAGTCGCGGTTTTGTCTCACCAGGGGTGATGGTCGGATTCGTGTTTATCGCCGAAGGAATGAGCGTTACACCGAGGCCTGTACTCTGGAGCGGGATCGATTTGGATGTGGAGGGTCCGTCATGGTCTGGGGCGGTGTGTCACAGCATCATCGGACTGAGCTTGTTGTCATTGCAGGCAATCTCAACGCTGTGCGTTACAGGGAAGACATCCTCCTCCCTCATGTGGTACCCTTCCTGCAGGCTCATCCTGACATGACCCTCCAGCCTGACAATGCCACCAGCCATACTGCTCGTTGGGTGCGTGATTTCCTGCAAGACAGGAATGTCAGTGTTCTGCCATGGCCAGCGAAGAGCCCGGATCTCAATCCCATTGAGCACGTCTGGGATCTGTTGGATCGGAGGGTGAGGGCTAGGGCCTTTCCCCCCAGAAATGTCAGGGAACTTGCAGGTGCCTTGATGGAAGAGTGGGGTAACATCTCACAGCAAGAACTGGCAAATCTGGTGCAGTCCATGAGGAGGAGATGCACTGCAGTACTTAATGCAGCTGGTGGCCACACCAGATACTGACTGTTACTTTTGATTTTGACCCCCCCTTTGTTCAGGGACACATTATTAATTTACATTACATTACATTTATGTTAGTCACATGTCTGTGGAACTTGTTCAGTTTATGACTCAGTTGTTGAAACTTGTTATGTTCATACAAATATTTACACGTTAAGTTTGCTGAAAATAAACGCAGTTGACAGTGAGAGGACGTTTCTTTTTTTGCTGAGTTTATATATTTACATTTACATTTTTAGTCATTTAGCAGACGCTCTTATCCAGAGCGACTTACAGTTAGTGAGTGCATACATTATTTTTTTTATATTTTTTCATATATATATATATATATATATATATATATATACACACTTTATTTTTTATATATAATTTTCTGGTTCATTTTGAAAGCTAAACTTGAATACGCGTTGTTGGTTGTCAAGTCAATTATACCATGCTAATTTCAAGACTATATGTCTCAAAATGAATAAGTTAATTGAGAATATTTAGGACAGTTAGCTGGCTAACTTGATCCGTCTTTTTGGAACCACCCCCGCGTAATTTGACTGCATCACCCTCTAAGTGGGACGTACCATGGGTTGCTGCGGGGGCAGGGGCTGCATGCCCAGGTTCTGAGCCTGGGTACCGGGGGGCTGGGCCGATGCTACCTGCTGCTGTTGTTGTTGCTGCTGCTGCTGTTGAACTTGTTGGGGTTGAACCTGTTGCTGCTGCTGTTGTTGTTGCTGTTGTTGAACCTGTTGTTGTTGTTGAACCTGTTGTTGTTGTTGAACCTGTTGTTGTTGTTGAACCTGTTGTTGTTGTTGTTGTTGTTGAACCTGTTGTTGTTGTTGTTGAACCTGTTGTTGTTGTTGTTGAACCTGTTGTTGTTGTTGTTGTTGAACCTGTTGTTGAGCCTGCTGCTGAGCCTATAGGGGCCAGGGACAAACACAGGAACAGTGCAGGGTTAGACCATAGTACAACTATATAGGAATTCCTACACTGACTATGATGCAGCGGTGGGCTAACGACGGCCCATGGGATGTTATTAGGGTTGATTATTTTGGGTTACAAAAAACACTCCAGGCCTCTCTTGAACGTCTAAAACTAGATAGAAAGTATGTAGAAATTTGACCTATATTCTTTCAAATAACTGCCCTTTTTCTGGCCCGCAAATAGACTGACGAACAAATCGGTCCCCCAAAAAATCTGTGCGGCCCTCAGTTGAATTTCGAAATCCCCATGTGGCCCTTGAGTCAAAAAAGTTTGCCCACCCCTGTCAGAGCATCAGGTAGAGCATTGAATGAATGTTTAAGTGATTATGTAGATATATATAGCACATTGAGCGCCAATTGCAGTACATGTGTAGTTACAATAGTATTGATCCACTGTTCAATGTTGGTCTGTAGTGTTAGAGATTGTTAGTAGACATAGCATACTCTGAGTGCCTGCTGTCTGAGGTACTGCTGTTGCTGCTGCTGGGCCTGCTGCTGCTGCTCGGCCAGCATCTGGTTTGGTCTCATTCCCGGGTGGACCACCTGTCCCCCCATGTGGCTCAGGGCATGCATGACGGGAGCCGGTTGGATGGACTGGTGGGGAAACCTGGAGATGGTGGAAGAGACACAGATTCAGGGGACCGGTTCTTCATCAATGTTTCACAAATACACCACTATGTCTAGAATAAGGTCACTGTTGTCCAATAGTGCTACAGCATGAAACAAAGACTGTGACTGCACTGTCCAATGTTCCCATCCACCACATTAAAGTAAATGAAGAGTGCAGTTTATAGGTGGGACTGACTGTTAACGCTGTATCCAGATACTAGGCAGTGATGCTAAATGTGACATTTTAAAGGCCTTGATATCTGCAAGAAAAAGGAGTGAAAAAAGGAACTCCATGAACACAATATGAGCTAAAAGTAGCCGAAATATCCTTAATAAATGGACAGTAGACCACCCTGTGCTATTGGAGTGTATTGTCCACAACACCACCCCTCTTCAACTCTTCCCTCCTGCCCACCTTGGTGTGTTCTGCATGGTGTGTGAGTAGCCCGGTGCCTGCTGGTGAACGTAGCCGCTGGGCCTCTGCCCCATCTGCCTCAGAGAGTCCACCACGGCCGGGTTGGCCCCTGGGTGGCTGGCCTGGAAGCCCTGGTTCCCGTACGACGGAGGGACTATACCACCCGCCTGGGAGGGGTGCGGCTGCATCCCCATGTGGGAGCCGTACGTGGTATAGCCCTGGGAAATGTTCTGCACACGGAGAGAGAGAAACCAGAATGTTCATGAAAATAGGACAAATATGCAGGGAGAAAATGGGTAGAATAGTGATGATCAGGAATAGAGAACACTAGTTTACGCATGGGGTCAATTTCAGAGGTGGAGGAAATAGAAAGATAAGAAAACAGGTTCTATGGATTCATCTGGAAAGAAATCACATGAAATGTTGGTGAAAGTGTCTCATCTGAAAGACTTGCCTGAGTTGGCTGCATGGAGCCGTATTGTTGGTTAGGCGTTATCTGCCTTATCGGTTGTCCCATCATACTCTGATTCTGAAAATGACAAGAGACAACAATCATCCTCCAACGTTCTCAAAAAGCGATGTGCTGCTTTCTACACCTGAAGGTCACATTTTTTTTCTCCACAGGGAGTGAATTCCAAATCAAACCTATAAACATGTCCTGCGTACAGTGAAAGCCAGGTTCAAGGTCCTATTCTGTGAGCACGTTAATAACACCCTCCAGACACACTGGTAGGTCCAGTCCAGAATAACCTCTGTACTCACTACTGTCCCATTCCAGTGGAGTCTAGTTCCTGCAGACTCACCAGTCTGACCTGTAGCTGCTGGCGCAGGATCTGACCCTGCGGTATGTTGGGTTGGGGCTTGTAGCCCATCGGGTACTGCTTGTCCATACCCATCATGCCTGGCATGCCACCCTGCATGCCGGGCATCATGCCTGGGTAGTTGGGCCGCGTGGGCATCATCTTGCCCATCTGAGGGTTCCGGGCCGGTCGGTACGGGGTGTCCAAACCAGGGCCTCCTGAAGGGTAAAAAGATTAGCATTAAAGTCAAAATTCCAAATAGCTTCAACACAGTCCTGGGGGAACTACGGGGTGTCAGGGTTTTGCTCCACCCCTGCATTAAAATCTAGTGCTGGGCTGGAACAAAACACTTCACATTCAAACAGTCATGAGAGGAATATAGGTTCCAGTGTGTTTTTTCTTGATAGTAATGTAAAAACGAACTAGTAATAACTACAACAGGGACTGTTTTCATCAGTATCAGAGTACGAGTGCTGACCTAGGATCAGGTACCCCCTGCTGTCCATGTAATCTTATTCATTATAATCTATAAGGCAAAACTGATCCTAGATCAGAACCCTGGTCTTAGACAACGATAATGTTGGCACTGACCTGGAGGCAGAGGCTGGTTCTGGGCATACATGCCCATGATGGGCTGCTGGTTGTAGCCTATCCTGCTGTAGGGGTGAGTCTGCTGGCCCATGAGGTCTGGGGGCATACCTGTCCCATACGGCACTCCACCCTGGGTACAGGTCACATAGTCCTGGAGAGAGAAGACATGCATCTTCTATGAGACATGCTACTTGTATAGAATGCTAATATGTGCAACAACAATATCATCCAGCTTTTGGACCCTTAGAACAAGGCCTTCAAATCCCTCGTCAAGATGCCACTCATGAGTGCTCAGTGATAAGAGTCCTTAAAGCTATGAGTAACTTTTTATTTCTACGATAACTAATCCAGAAAGACCTATCGCCTAGATCTGAAAGGTCCAGACACGTATAAGCAATATGGTTGTAACTCCATCTTGCCTTCTGATAGGCTAGGTGGAATACCTTCGACACCGTGAACCATCAGATCCTCCTCTCCACCCTCTCAGGGCTGGGCGTCTCAGGCTCTGCACTCCTGGACTGCATTCTACCTGGCAGGCCGCTCCTACCAGGTGACGTGGAGAAGCTCTGTGTCTGCACCACAAACTCTCACTACTGGTGTCCTCCGGGGCTCGGTTCTAGGCCCGCTCCTCTTCTATCTATACACCAAGTCACTCGGTTCCATCATATCCTCACATGGTCTCTCCTATCATTGCTATGTGGATGACACACCACTACTTTCCTCTTTCCCCCCTTCTGACACCCAGGTGGCGACACGCAACTCTGGGTGCCTGGCAGATATCTCAGCTTGGATGTCGGCCCACCCCTCAAGGTTAACCTTGAGAAGACGGAGCTGCTCTTCCTCCCGAGGAAGGCCTGCCCGCTCCAAGACCTCTCCATCACGGTTGATAACTCCACAGTGTCCCAAAGAGCAAAGAAACTTGGCATGACAACGATCTTCTGATATACCTGACTAATATTAAACTCAAAGCCCCCCTTACTGTTAAAACTATTTCCAGAATACTCTAAAACTCAGGATATAACATTTACATGAAACAAAACTTAATCGCAATAGGAAAAATAAAAATAATAACTCATGATCTAAAGAAATCCTTTAAGTGGACCACAAAAATATGAAATACTTAGGATGCTTAATAAATGACTAACAATAAATATGAAGATAACATTATCCCATTACTCAACATGAAAGCAGATAATTAAATGGAACAATCTTCCCATAAATCTTACAGGTAGAATAAACCTCTTTAGAATGGCTCCCAAAGTTTTTCTATTTATTTTTGGTAATACCAATTACCCCACCGAAGACACTTTAAAAAAGTATACTCGGCCATAAGAGACTTTATATGGGCAAATAAAACTCAGAATAAATAGGTAAGTTTTACATATCCCCAAGTCTGAGGGTGGTTTTAACCTTCCAGACTTGGAATTTTATCAACTCGCCACCCAAGGCTTTTATTTGCGTCATATTGTTAAATGCACTAAAGAGGAACAATGGGTACATATTGAAGATGCGCATGCTCAACCCCAGAATCATTTCACGTGTCTGTTTTCAAAGGATAAAGCTAAGACAATTATCAACATACAGTGGGGGAAAAAAGTATTTAGTCAGCCACCAATTGTGCAAGTTCTCCCACTTAAAAAGATGCGAGAGGCCTGTAATTTTCATCATAGGTACACGTAAACTATGACAGACAAAATGAGAAAAAAAATCCAGAAAATCACATTGTAGGATTTTTAATGAATTTATTTGCAAATTATGGTGGAAAATAAGTATTTGGTCAATAACAAAAGTTTCTCAATACTTTGTTATATACCCTTTGTTGGCAATGACACAGGTCAAACGTTTTCTGTAAGTCTTCACAAGGTTTTCACACACTGTTGCTGGTATTTTGGCCCATTCCTCCATGCAGATCTCCTCTAGAGCAGTGATGTTTTGGGGCTGTCGCTGGGCAACACGGACTTTCAACTCCCTCCAAAGATTTTCTATGGGGTTGAGATCTGGAGACTGTCTAGGCCACTCTAGGACCTTGAAATGCTTCTTACGAAGCCACTCCTTCGTTGCCCGGGCGGTTTGTTTGGGATCATTGTCATGCTGAAAGACCCAGCCACGTTTCATCTTCAATGCCCTTGCTGATGGAAGGAGGTTTTCACTCAAAATCTCACGATACATGGCCCCATTCATTCTTTCCTTTACACAGATCAGTCGTCCTGGTCCCTTTGTTTTAAGATGGTCATTCCATGGATCATATAGCTATTTGATTTTGAATTTTAGGACCCCTTTAGGGTCAAATCATAAGGAAAATGTTTTTGAAGTGTCTGTCCTATGTCTATATCTAGGAGATATAAGAAAGATCAGCATTTATTTATTTATTTTTTGGACACATATTTAACCCCTTACTTTTGTTTGCACAAAACTATCTCCATATGTCCATTGGTTTGTATGGGTTACCTTCAGACGAGTCCCGTGACACTGGTGGGGGTCGTAGAGCAAAACGGAGAACACCATCGTGAGAGTTTCCCCATAACAGTTTGCAGGCCAAACCGTTTGGACGCTACAGACGTTTTCATGAGAAGACCGATTTTTGGGATGTCTCACGGTCTGACAAACACCGCTGTAGCTCGGCCACCTCCCACCGCAGATGCAGAAGGCTGACATAGGCGAATGAGGTGGATTGAGATGCAACCCAGGAAAAAAACTGATATCTCTAGCTTAAATTGACTGATTTTTATTTTTTGATTGTGTTACTTAGATTGACGCACAGGTGCATCAATAGATTTGAGGTTTAATTCAAATGTACCCTTAATCCAGTATAAACTAAATGTACAGAATTGATTATACAAGAGACAAAATTCACAAATTCTACAGCACAGCAGAGTCATGACTTAATTGTAAAACGAACAGTTACTCAATGATTCATGCCTTCTGGGAGTGCTATAAAGTCCAAAAGTTATGGGCGGAGGTAGAAAGTTGGCTGTCAGAAGTTTTACAATATAAGTTTAATTTCAATCTGTCTATCTGCATATTTCAAGACATGACATGAGGGTGCGGTGAGATACCCAATGGGTTGGACCGTACTTTTCTCATCAATGATTTTGAAAACAACTTCAGCTTAAAACAGTGGATGAATCAAATGCATTATTATCTAAATATTTAAAACATTTGGGCTAGAGAGACAAACAAAATAGTACAATTTGAAACCATATGGCATAAAATACAGTATTGCAAGCACTGGAGATATCCAAAGGATGAGGAAGGAGGGAAAATATTATTGTGAGACGGCAGGATGGGTGTGGATACAGTGGGAACATGTGGGTCTGAGCTAGTGTGATGTCATTAATGTTTGTGGAAATGAATGTACGTAAAACGTTAAATCGTCTTTTGTCTTTATAATGAAAACAAATGGCACTCTTGCTGGTGCCATCAAACCCCTGCAACTTATCCAGAAACGCTGCAACCCGCCTGGTTTTCATTCTTCCCAAGTTCTCCCATGACACCCCACTCCTCCGGACACTCCACTGGCTTCCGTTCTAAGTTCGCACCCACTACAAGACCATGGTACTTGCCTACAGAGCAGCAAGAGGAACTGCTCCCTACCTTCAGGCTATGCTCAAACCCTACACCTCAACCCGAGCACTCAGTTATGCCACCTCGAGTCTCTAGGCCCTCCCACCCCAGATTAATCACACTTCACCATCTGGCAGTCCGACAGACTAATCTGGGTTTGGGGGATGCCAGGAGAACGCTACCTGCCCCAATGCATAGTGCCAAATGTAAAGTTTGGTGGAGGAGGAATAATGGTCTGGGGCTGTTTTTCATGGTTCGGGCTAGGCCCCTTGGTTCCAGTGAAGGGAAATCTTAACGCTACAGCATACAATGACATTCTAGACGATTCTGTACTTCCAACTTTGTGGCAACAGTTTGGGGAAGGCATGACAATGCCCCCGTGCACAAAGCAAGATCCATACAGAAATGGTTTGTCGAGATCGATGTGGAAGAACTTGAGTGGCCTGCACAGAGCCCTGACTTCAACCCCATCGAACACCTTTGGGATTGAATTAGCCAGGCCTAATCGCCCAACATCAGTGCCCGACCTCACTAACGGTCTTGTGGCTGAATGGAAGCAAGTCCCCGCAGCAATGTCCTAACATCTAGTGGAAAGCCTTCCCAGAAGAGTGGAGGCTGTTATAGCAGCAAAGGGGGGGACCAAATCCATATTAATGCCCATGATTCTGGAATGAGATGTTCGACGAGCAGGTGTCGACGAGCAGGCCATGTAGTGTATCTTAAGATGAATGCACTAAGTAAGTCGCTCTGGATAAGAGCATCTGCTAAATGACTAAAATGTCAATTTTGGCCATATTCTTTATACCTATCCAATTATTTCCGGTCTACACAAATGCCTAGGGTATAGGGCCTAGCTAGTAGTTGTTCCTGGACAGGACCTGTCCCAGTGTCTCACTAACCTCAGTCTTGTTGGTGGACGGTGCCTTCTTCTTCTTGGTCTTCTTCTTGGTCGAGTCGGACGACACTGCAGGGACGCTCTTCTCCGGCTTCACCGGCTCCGCCATCTTCTTCTCGGGTTCCTGGGGAACAGGCGTGGGCGGCTCCTCGTCCTCAGGGGGCAGGGGGAGGGGCTCCAGGTAGTAGCTGCGTGGCTTGGGCTTCAGGTGGGTGTGGTAGAGGAGGAAGCGCTGCTGCTCCTCGAACTTGGTGACCTTACGGTCCACGCGCACCGTCCCGAACCAGCCCCAGGAGAGAGGGGCCGAGTGCTTGAGGCCCTCGAACACGTCCCACGGAGAGATCTTCTGCTTGGTCGACACTTGGAGGCCCTGATGGTAAAGAGGAAAGATGGTTTTACATCTCTATAAATCACAATTATTGGTGTTGCCACAAATATCTCCTGACAACTACAATGTCTAGATGCAGGAGTATTAAGCAGACGTGAGTTCAAATACTATTTGTTTTCAGAAACTTTGAGCATTTGAAGGGGCCTGGAGTGCATCTAGACAGAGTGTATGGTTTACAGTTTTGGGACTATTCCATTAGTTCCATTTCACCAGGCAATCTCAACCAAGTATTTGAACTAAAACCCAGGTCTGCTATTTAGAGAAGTTACTGAAGACATTCCTAGAGAACAGCTGAGAGACAAGAGTTTATGAAGAACAGTGTGGGACAAAAGGTTAATCTCAATATTGGTGACAGAGAAACAGTAATAAAGGCAACAATTGAGTTGACAATGTCTTCCAAGGGTCAGAGCTCATAGTACTGTACCTCCTTCTCAAACCCAGCGATCTTGTTGCCCTTGGTGTCAATAAGCGAGCCCTGTGGTTCACATGTGATGACATCACGGGTCTGCTTGGGCAGAGGGAGCAGCTGCCGCACCTTCTCCAGACTCTCCGACTGCCGGTCACCCAGCTCTTTCTGCAAATACACACCACAACATTTGAGTTATTGATACCTTTGAGCAGAGAACGAGCCAAACACCTTGAAATAAATATTTTTTTAAAGTATTTCATTGAGATGCTTCCTAGTATTTGTTTGACAGTAGTTTGACTCAACTGAATTCTAGAAGAGTGGGGACCTCTTGTAGTGAGCATATAGCATAACACCCTTCCATTGACTTCAATAGATAAAATACAATACCGGAAAACTCTGCTACATAGGACATACAGTTGAAGTCGGAAGTTTACATACACTTAGGTTGGAGTCATTAAAACTCGTTTTTCAACCACTCCATACATTTCTTGTTAACAAACTATAGTTTTGGCATGTCGGTTAGGACATCTACTTTGTGCATGACACAAGTAATTTTTCCAACAATTGTTAACAGACAGATTATTTTACTTAGAATTCACTGTATCACAATTCCAGTGGGTCAGAAGTTTACATACACTAAGTTGACTGTGTCTTTAAACCGCTTGGAAAGTTCCAGACAATGATGTCATGGCTTTAGAAGCTTCTGATAGGCTAATTGACATCATTTGAGTCAATTGGAGGTGTACCTGTGGATGTATTTCAAGGCCTACCTTCAAACTCAGTGCCTCTTTGCTTGACATCATGGGAAAATCTAAAGAAATCAGCCAAGACCTCAGAAAGAAAATTGTAGACCTCCACAAGTCTGGTTCATCCTTGGGAGCAATTTCCAAACGCCTGAAGGTACCACGTTCATCTGTACAAACAATAGTACGCAAGTATAAACACCATGGGACCACGCAGCCGTCATACCGCTCAGGAAGGAGACGCGTTCTGTCTCCTAGAGATGAACGTACTTTGGTGCGAAAAGTGCAAATCAATCCCAGAACAACGACAAAGGACATTGTGAAGATGCTGGAGGAAACAGGTTCAAAAGTATCTATATCCATAGTCAAACGAGTCCTATATCGATATAACCTGAAAGGCCGCTCAGCAAGGAAGAAGCCACTGCTCCAAAACCGCCATAAAAAAGCCAGACTACGGTTTGCAACTGCACATGGGGACAAAGATCGTACTTTTTGGAGAAATGTCCTCTGGTCTGATGAAACAAGAATAGAACTGTTTGGCCATAATGACCATCGTTATGTTTGGAGGAAAAAGGGGCAGCTTGCAAGCCGAAGAACACCATCCCAACCGTGAAGCACGGGGGTGGCAGCATCATGCTGTGGGGGTGCTTTGCTGCAGGAGGGACTGGTGCACTTCACAAAATAGATGGCATCATGAGGAAGGAAAATTGTGGATATATTGAAGCAACATCTCAAGGCATCAGTCAGGAAGTTAAAGCTTGGTCGCAACTGGGTCTTCCAAATGGACAATGACCCCAAGCATACTTCCAAAGATGTGGCAAAATGGTTTAAGGACAACAAAGTCAAGGTATTGGGGTGGCCATCACAAAGCCCTGACCTCAATCCTATAGAAAATGTGTGGGCAGAACTGAAAAAGCATGTGCGAACAAGGAGGCCTACAAACCTGACTCAGTTACACCAGCTCTGTCAGGAGGAATGGGCCAAAATTCACCCAACTTATTGTGAGAAGCTTGTGGAAGGCTACCCGAAACGTTTGACCCAAGTTAAACAATTTAAAGGCAATGCTACCAAATACTAATTGAGTGCATGTAAACTTCTGACCCACTGGGAATGTGATGAAAGAAATAAAAGCTGAAATAAATCATTCTCTCTACTATTATTCTGACATTTCACATTCTTAAAATAAAGTGGTGATCCTAACTGACCTAAGACAGGGAATTTTTACTAGGATTAAATGTCAGGGATTGTGAAAACTGAGTTTAAAAAGTATTTGGCTATGGTGTTTGTAAACTTCCGACTTCAACTGTACATTATTATGTATTCAACATGACCAAAAGTATGTGGACACCTGCTCGTCGAGCATCTAATTCCAAAATCATGGGCATTAATATGGAGTTGGTCCCTCCTTTGCTGCTATAACAGCCTCCACTCTTCTGGGAAGGCTTTCCACTAGATGTTGGAACATTGCTGCAGGGACTTGCTTCCATTCAGCCACAAGAGCGTTAGTGAGGTCGGGCACTGATGTTGGGCGATTAGGCCTGGCTCGCAGTCGGCCTTCCAATTCATCCCAAAGGTGTTTGATGGGGTTGAGGTCAGGGCTCTGTGCAGGCCAGTCAAGTTCTTCCACACCGATCTCGACAAAACATTTCTGTATGGACCTCTCTTCGTGCATGAGGGCATTGTCATGCAGAAACAGGAACGGGCCTTCCCCAAACTGTTGCAACAAACTTGGAAGCACAGAATCGTCTAGAATGTCATTGTATGCTGTCGCGTGACGATTTCCTTCACCGGACCTAAGGGGCCTAGCCCAAACCATGAAAAACAGCCCCAGACCATTATTCCTCCTCCACCAAACTTTACAGTTGGCACTATGCATTCAGGCAGGTAGCGTTCACCTGGCATCCACCAAACCTAGATTCATCTGTCAGACGGTGAAGCGTGATACATCACTCCAGAGAATGCGTTTCCACAGCTCCAGAGTCCAATGGCGGCGAGCTTTACACCACTCCTGCCGATTCTTGGCATTGTGCATGGTGATCTTAGGCTTGTGTGCGGCTGCTCGACAATGGAAACCCATTTCATGAAGCTCCTGACGAACAGTTCTTGTGCTGACGTTGCTTCCAGAGGCAGCTTGGAACTCGGTAGTGAGTGTTGCAACCGAGGACAAACAATCTTTACGCGCTTCAGCACTTGGCGGTCCTGTTCTGTGAGCTTGTGTGGTCTACCACTTTGCGGTTGAGACGTTGTTGCTTCTAGACGTTTCCACCTCACAATAACAGCACTTACAGTTGACCGGGTCAGCTCTAGCAGGGCAGAAATTTGACAAACTGACTTGTCGGAAAGGTGGCATCCTATGACGGTGCCACGTTGAAAGTCACTGAGCTCTTCAGTAAGGCCATTCTACTGCCAATGTTTGTCTATGGAGATTGCATGGCGGTGTGCTCGATTGCATGGCTGTGTGCATGATTTTATACACCTGTCAGCAACACATACTTTTGTATATATAGTGTACATCCAGTGTGATGTGTGTGATCTTACCCGGAGCTTCTTGACCAGGTTCATGTAAGCCCTCTTGTTCTCCTCCATGCTGCCCTGAGAGATGCTGGACATGTCAGCAGCCAGCGTGCCATTAATCAGCACACTCAGCATGTCCAGTACCGTGGTGAAGAGCTCACTGAGGGAGAAAGAGGGGGAGCAAGAGAGAGAGTGAGGGGTGGAGAGAGAGGAGAGAGAGAGAAGGAGAGTGAGGGGGAGAGAGAGTGAGGGGGGAGAGTGTGGGGGAGGGAGAGAGCAAGAGAGAGGGAGAGAGCGAGCGAGAGGGAGAGAGGGAGGGAGGAGAGGGGAGAGAAGGAGAGAGTGAGAGAGAGTGGGGGGAGAGAGCAAGAGCGTGGGGGAAGGAGAGAGGCGAGAGTGTGGGGGAGAGAGCGAGAGAGTTGGGGGGGAGAGAGCGAGAGAGAGGGAAGGGGGGAGGGAGAGAGCGAGAGAGAGGAAGGGAGAGAGGAGACGAGAGAGAGGGGGAGAAGGCGAGAGAGGGAGAGGAGGGAGCGAGTGAGGAGGAGGCGAGGGAGGAGGCAGAGAGATAGAGAGGGAGAGCGAGAGAGGAGGAGAGGAGAGCGGGAGGGAGAGAGCGAGAGGGAGGGGAGGAAGCGAGAGAGGTGGGGGAGGGGAGAGAGCGAGAGAGGGGAGGGAGAGGAGAGAGAGAGAGGGAGGAGGAGAGAGAGAGGGAGGGAGAGAGAGGAGGGAGAGCGGAGAGAGAGAGGGAGGGAGGAGAGGAGAGCGAGAGAGAGGAGGAGAGAGAGCGAGAGAGAGGGAGGGAGAGAGCGAGAGAGAGAGGAGAGGGAGGGAGAGAGCGAGAGCGAGAGAAGAGAGGAGGAGAGAGAGAGAGAGAGAGAGGGAGAGAGAGAGGAGCGGAGGCGGGAGGGGAGGGAGAGAAGAGGAGCGAGGGAGGGGGAGAGGTGAGGAGGAGGGGAGGAGAGAGACGAGCGGGGGAGGGGGGGGGAGAGAGAGCGAGCGAGCGGGAGGGGGGAGGGAGAGAGAGAGCGAGCGAGCGGGAGGGGGAGGGAGAGGAGAGAGCGAGCGAGCGGGAGGGAGGGAGAGAGAGCGAGCGAGCGGGAGGGGGGAGGGAGAGAGAGAGCGAGCGCAGCGGGAGGGGGGGAGGGAGAGAGAGCGAGCGAGCGGCGGGAGGGGGAGGGAGGAGGGAGGAGCGAGCGAGCGGGAGGGGGGAAGGAGAGAGACGATCGAGCGGGAGGGGGGAGGGGGGAGGGAGGAGAGCGATCGAGCGAGCGGGAGGGGGGAGGGAGAGAGCGATCGGAGCGGGAGGGGGGAGGGAGAGAGCGATCGAGCGGGAGGGGGGGGAGAGAGCGCGGGGGGGGGGAAAGAGCGCGGGGGGGGAGGGAGAGAGCGGGAGGGGGGAGGGAGAGAGCGAGGGGAGGGAGGGAGCGATCGAGCGGGAGGTGAGGGAGGTAGGAGCGTTCGGAGCGGGAGGGGGGGAGGGAGAGAGCGGGAGGGGGGAGGGAGAGAGCGAGCGGGGGGGAGGGAGAGAGCGAGCGGGAGGGAGGGAGAAAGTAGAGAAATTACACAGTGATGCTTTACATGGTGACATTACAATCTTAACAACAAATAAAGACATGAAGTTTAAAATGTGTGAGCAGTTGTGTTGTGACTTACTTGTTGGACTGCATGTCCACCGTACCGCTGCTGATGATGTCGAGGAGTAGCACAGCCCACTCGGTGGTCTGCTGTGTGCTGCGTTGTACCGTGTCAAACATCCCACCCACCTGGAGAGCAAAGATAACACATCCAATTTCTTCTTAGTATGCATTTCAGAAATGTTACTGAAAACTCATTTAAACTGTGAGAGTTTAAAAAATCATAATAATTTGACCTCTATATCTCTTTGTACTTTGAATGGATAAAACAGCAGTGTTCTGTAGCAGTAAGTAACTGGGTTTCATTTGTTTCCTGGGTACTTTCCAATCCTTTCTAGTGAATCATTTCTGTCCCCTTAGATTATATCTGGCCCTATCTGATACTGAGACAATTGACCATGTTGGTGGTGACGAAGAGCCCTCACCAGATTGAGCCGCAGCTTCAGCGCCTCGTGCATCATCTGCTTGGCCTTGCAGTCGTCCTGGTACTGGTCCTCCCGCCAGTTTGTTACAATCTGGAAGATGGAAACGCAGCCAATAGCAGCAGTCAGCATGAGATGGCACATTCAGCCAACAGTGAGCACACTGAGGGGGGAATCCTAACTTGAGATGAACACACTTGGATTTCTGTGTAAATCATACATTGATGTCAATGGAACCTTCAGTTATGCACACAGATCTCAAGTTGGGATTTGGGCCTAATAGAAGTGATGTGGGAGAAGATGGGGGAGTTGTCTGAAGACTCAAACTGAATTCTTCCGCTGCTCTGTTAGCTACATACTTCAGTCAGACTGACATAATATAATAATATAATATGCCATTTAGCAGACGCTTTTATCCAAAGCGACTTACAGTCATGCGTGCATACATTTTTGTGTATGGGTGGTCCCGGGGATCGAACCCACTACCTTGGCGTTACAAGCGCCGTGCTCTACCAGCTGAGCTACAGAGGACCACAGCTACAGAGGACATCGTTGAAGTCGTTTGTGGTGACGTCAAAATGAGGGGTGTTGAACAAAACAAAGTAATCAGCGATTGGATTATCTCTAACCAATCAGAGTATCAAAGCCAATTACGAATGTTCAAAACATAGCTTTAACCATGTGTGTTCTGGTTCTGGCCCAACCCATCAGTTTCTGGGACCAATCAGAAAAGTTAGAATGTGTTTGCGTTCTATAAATAGTCAGGGAGGTAACTCAGATCCAGACTCACTGCGGAGAAAAAACTAACTTCCGTGGGCCTGGCGTAGCATTTGGCAGAGCAAGGAGTTTGGGTAGCCAGGAAAATGGGGGAGAGGCTGTGTTGGGTCTTACCTGCTGCACCTGGCTGTAGAGGGAGGTAAGGAGACCCTCTCTCTGTTCATCCTGGCCTTTTAGACAGGTCAGCACCAGAGACAAGAAGGGCTGCTGGCTCAGCAGAGACATGCTGGAAACAGACAAAAGTGTAGGGGCAATACATCCACCATCAATTTGGGAATATCGAAGCCGGGGCCAAAATCGTATCATAATTGGGGACTCCTGCATCCAATTAGTTTTTAGTATCTAAAGCAGATTGTTACGCTTTCTGGATGAGAGTATAACCATGTTGATAAAATGAGCATTATCTACATGACCCAAAATACTACCTCATAAAGCCCCTGGTTTTGACACCAACTAAAACAAGCTGTTCTGACAGACTGAGCCAGTCCTGTGTGTTTACTACTCATAACATCTGTCAAGACCATTCAAAAAAAGGGGTTCCTCAGGGGTGAGTTGTCTGACCTTTTCTGTTTCTGCCGGTCCCTCTCCTTGCGTGAGGAGGACCCCAGATGCTGGCCCTTCTCTAGCTCCTCCCCTGCCGCCTTCAGGACGTGGCCCTGGACCGAGGTGGGCAGCTTGGCTATCAGTGGCGCCACCAGCCACACACCAGACCGCTCAGACGAACTGGGGGTGGAACACAAACAAAAATAATGAGATGTTACACTGAGGTTAGATTTCACCAACAATGAGAAAGCATGTTTGATGATCCTTTAGCCCAGGGGTAGGCAAATAGATTCAGCCACGGGACAATTTTTTTCATCAGTGGATGGTCGGGTGGCCAGAACATAATTATAATAATTTGTACACTGCAAATTGACCACAACAAATTTTTAGCTGAATTCCTGGTGATTTTAATAATTTTTAAAAACCTAAAAACAAAAATCCATATTTTTTTTATAAATACACAGTGTACAAAACATTAGGAACACTGCTCTTTCCATGACAGACTGACCAGGTGAAAGCTATGATCCCTTATTGATGTCACTTGTTAAATCCACTTCAATCAGTGTAGATTGAGACACGGATTGTGTATGTGTGCCATTCAAAGGGTGAATGGGCAAGACAAAATATTTAAGTGCCTTTGAACAGGGTATGGTAGCAGGTGCCAGGCGCACCGGTTTGATTGTTTTTACTAAAAACTTTAGGGGGCCAAAAAAGTATCACTCGCAGGCCGGTTTTGGCCCGCGGACTACCTGTTGCCGACCCCCGTTTTAGATGATTCAAATGGTTTCACCAAAAGAGAATGTGAAAACAATGGATATTTTCTGGTTGAAATTTGTCAATTGGTAGTGCACCTATGATACATGCTTGTTTCAATGTATCTCACAGAAAATGTATAATCAAATAAGATTGCAAATAACCATTTTACCATTTGATTTCTCAGTGAACTCAATATTCCTACATATTTTTTACGGTGTGGCTGCAGATCCGACTTTTCTGGAGCCCTCTTCCTGGCAGCTAAAGGTCCAGAAGCTTCTGCGCATGGGCGGGATTCTCTACTTTACGAGAAACCTGCACATGCGCAGGCTACTCTGGCGAATGGTGCTTGTTTAATAAAGTGAAATCAATGTCTGCAAGATCAAATAATTATAGTATTCTACATAACAGAACAGAATATAATAACATAGTATAGTATAACGTTACTGAAAGACAAAAAACACCACCTCATTTCTTAGGAGATTTTCGGATGATTGCGCAAATTATGGTCGCATTTTTCTGTAATGTGACGAAAACGCAAAAGCGGACACCACTAGGCAAATATGTGCTTTGATTGAAACTAAACACTTGTTTGGTAACACCATGCTCTAAAATTCACTCACTGTACCTAATAAAAAAAAACACAATATGCTACTTTGAAACAACACTGTATAACTCAAGATCTAAAAGCATATCCCCATGAAACTGATTGAGATCAAATGGTTGGTATGCAGCTGCTGCATGGACGTTTCACCGGTAAAACTCAAATTATCATTCACAATTGACAGTGAGAAATTTGACCACAGAAATGTGTGCGTAAAGTAGAGGTAAAGAAACCCTTGCGCAGACCGTGATTCAGATCTTCCGCTCTGGTGAAAAGGGATCCAGGGGGGCGGGACGGGGGAGGTTACCTACAGATCTGCAGCCTCTGCCTATTTGTAAATAGGCGGGAGAATTTAGAAAGGTCACACACACACACCTCAACACTGGTTTCTTGCCAGGGTTGTTGCTGTTGGAGGCAGAACCTCCGGCGCTGGCTGACCCGTTCCCTGAGAGGTTGGTGGAGTTCATCTCCGCTGACTTCTGGAACACCTCGATAGTGGCCTTGGCGATGTTCTCCAATAAGGAGTACAGCTCCTGCAGGGAGACACAAGGAATACGAGTCCATCCACTTACACTCAATCACAGGGAATTTATCCCCGAACAAGATGGCTGCACATTCTACAGTTATGAAGGGTTATGACATAATCCACTTTAATATTCTCTCTCTACGTACTTCATTGAATCAGATGCACATTTGAACTTTACAGATGGATTGCATTCTAAATCAATATTCTATTGAGAAAAAAACAAAATAATACTTAATTGTGCCTAGATAGCAGTGTTGTCAGTGTTTTGAGGGCCTTACAGGCCACTGGAGTCTGGTTACTTACGTTGTTTGTACTCTGCTTGATCATAAGCTGCAGCTCCAAGGATGACTGTCTCATGGTCCACTGATCCATGTTCTAGAGGCATGGGACATAACTTTTAGACATTTATATACCACAACAATCCCCAAGCAGTTAAATAGTCAGAGAGAGACCATTAGCTCCACTCTCCCTGTAGCGCTGCTTTAGTCAGCAGATGGCAGTAAAGCCGTTCACAAAACTCAGAACCCTCATGTACCCTAATGTGGTCTGCTGAGCTAAGGCAGGGGTTCAGAGACAGTTCACCCACTGATTCATTCTAGCACCCACAACCCCCCATTTCTAATGGATGTGCCGTGTGCGTCTTTCTACTGTGCTCTCAGCCATCCCCAACGATCATGTAGGGCTGACACTGATTCACTTACAACTTGCCTTGATGGCTTCAAAAAACCATTTCAAAGCAATTTCCAGAAAAAGCATTTAGGTCATACATCTGCTGCCCTTGATGGAAAAGTGAAAAGTCTACTCTGCCCATGAGAAGTGCTGTCTGTTGCCAGGGCAACATTCAGCGCAGATAGAAACGTAATGAATAGGGCTGACGTGATTCCTTATTCTACATTACAGAAAGGCATTTTTGTTCTACATAATATGTTTTTATCTGAATGTTCCACAACGTTGTGCCCTACTGAACGCAGCCCTGTGGTCAGTGCTGGGGGCTTCTGTGGCCTGACCTGGAGGATGTGTTTGATGCGCTGCCTCTGGGGGTTGTCCCCCTCCTCACTGTCCAGCTGGCGGTGGGGGTAGCAGATGAGCTGCAGCAACCGCTGGGCCTGGATGTTGACTAGCACCGGGTCTTGCAGGGCACTGCTGTCCTCCGACAGGGACTTGAGACAGCGCTCACCCACCCACTCCTGATGGAGGAGGATAACAGGAGAGAGGGAGAGACGGGTGAATAGAGAGAGAGAGAGATCACCAAGGGTTATATACACTGAACAGGGTTTAGGTTAATTCAGTTTTCAATTCAGTTTTCAATGCAGAAAGAGAATCGAAATTAAAATCAGAATTAGAAAATTCCTTATTGTATCCTATGAAGATTGTTTTTAATTCACTACTTGAATTTAAAACTTTTCTGAATTGACAGTTTGACAATTGACAATTTTCCACTGTACACAATCTGTTAACGACAGCTAGGCACACTCTCCTTTTATTTATGGTAAGAGCAAATTCAGATTTACAATGACTAGCACCTGTTGACATTCGGCAACTACCATTAAATAATGTGCTTCTCTGTGGAAAACACAAGTAGCGGTCAGGACACAAGTTTGTAATTGTTGGTGTTGTAATTGCTGGTGATGTAGGGGAAAAGAGTGAACCAAGGGGTGGGGGTCAACCTTGCCTCTCATGAGAGCACCAGGGACCAGTTTTCAAACGTTATCTATCTGGATTTAGCCTATCGGATAGGATTAAATCCATAGAAGTAGAATGAATAGAACGGGAGTCCCCATTCAAGTAAATTATTAATCTGTTATATTAATTAAATTTCTATGTATTTAACCCTAGGTTTAAGTCATAAGAGCACTATGCCACTGAAGACTGATTCACTCCTAGTCCTAACTGAGCTTTAAGTGCATTGCCATTACCAGAGATGGGGTCAAATCCATTTCAATTCAGAAAGTGAACAGAAATTGCAGTTGCTTTTCAATTAGAAAAATTAGAATTTCAGTTTACTTCCTGGATTGACTGAAATGAAACAAATGAAATGGACTCCACACCTGGACATTACTGCATTAAGAAATATGTAGCTTCTGGTGGGTGAGGGAAACGGATGGGAGAAAAAGAAGTTCCAAAAATGTGACCCTGGTGTGAACGATAACCCTCTTTCTCATGTTCTCACCTGTTGGCAGATGCTCTTCAGCACATACTTGGCGTACACATCCAGGCTGGCTGTTTCGATGGAGACGGTGCGGCCGCCCGACTTCTTGGAACCCATGTCGTCGTCGGCGATGTCGTCGAGGCTGGCGGGGTGAGAGAATCCCGATCCCTTCAGTTCTGCATCGCCTGGAGGGAGATGGAGATAAAATGTTACAAAATGGATAACTTAAGGGTTTCTGTGGTCTTACTGGTGACCAGTTGTAATAGATAGACGCATTTAATAACTATAATTACATCAATCTAATCACATTAAATTGTAAAAGTGGACTTATATGCAACTTTAAGGACAAAATAATAGCATAATACTGAAAGTAGTACCCAGCATAAAGACGGCCTTTAGGACAGCAAAGACAGCTCCGACCACTATGCTGTTCTGTGAGGCAGCCAGAAGGTGGCGATCACATGACGACCGAATGCCAACAGAAGATTTATCTGCAAAATATAAAATCGTATCTTTAGAATAATCATTAAGTCAAAGCATTTATTTATTAATCGCATTAATGAATTCACATTTTATCCGATGTGGGTTCAAACATGGGGGGGGGGGGCTTGCTATGTATGTACCTGACTTGGCTCCATCCTGGGGGCAGGGGTTGCGCTGGGGGGTCTTGAAGAGGTGCAGCAGGATCCTGCAGGTCAGACGGGCTCCGGGCTCAGAGTCCTGCTCACTGCAGGCTGGGAGGAGAGACACACAGAGAGAGACGTAGAGAGGTAGGTTAGAGGGGCACTCACACACATTCAACCTCAACACTGAATCTGAAGGGGATTACAGCTGCTTTAGCTAAGTCACATTTTTCAAATTTAAACTAAAATCTAATACATAATGAATGGCCAGTATGACAAAAAAAGTGTAGACTTTACACTAACTGCCTTGAGCTTCAAGTTGTCATGATGACATGGCAAATGAATAAAACAGCAAACTACAGAGAACAGAAGCGCTTGAAGAAATTGGAATGTGTCCTAAATTGACTTTCAAGGAGTACCAAATACTAAGTGCCATTTTCAGAGCCGGGCTGCGAAGGAGTGTAGGCAAACAAGAATTTGACACATAGCTGAACTGCTGGCTGAGAAAGAGGAGAAGGGGAGGGGGGTCTGGCAGCACACGTGGTACCTAACATCCACAGGGGACTTAGAAAACAGGCTGAATAGGGCCTTGTCCTTGAGCGAGGGGCAGCCTTGACTGGCCATAGCGCGCATGCGAGCGCACACACACAGCAGAGGGGGATCAAACACACTGTGGCGTTTACCTCCCTCTCAGACAGACAGAAGTAAGTAATGCATTATGGGGCAGGGAGTTCCTTCAGAACTTGGAGAAGCAGGCAGGCACGGCAGGCCTCGGTGTACCGTTCACTCATTTCTAACAGGACCTGTTGGCTGGGTAGCTAGGCTGCATTAAATATAGATCCTGTGGAGAGACTGGGACCTGAGAATCTGTGAGTTAAAGTCTGGGTGGTGTTCATTAGGGTATGCGATGGAAAACGTTTTCCAATAAAAAGTGAAAATATAAGTTTCTTATTGGACAAGTCCAGGTAGTCCCTCCATGTTTCAGTTCGTTTTTCTTCCGTTTGGTACCTAATGAACAGGACCCTGGTTATGGGTCTGGGGCTGAGAGAGGAGCTCTTACCAGCGTTGAGGAGGGAGGGGATGGCTACGCAGCGGACCAGGTCCTCCAGGAGAAGACACTGGCGGGCGATGAGGATGGCTACGAAGGTGGCCAGGGAGTCATGGAAGGAGAGATCGCTGACCTGAGACAGGAGAGAGAAGAGAATAGAGAGATGTTCAAATTTGATGTGAGCTGCTAATTATTTCAATGCGTAGTGGTGTAGAGAGAAAGACATGCTGGAATGTAACTGTCAGTGTTCCCCTCTAACCCGTGCCTCTCAGAGCCTGAGTGAGCAATGCATTTTCACTGGTGTAGAGAGAAAGATGTGCAAGGCTATTGCAAGGTGTGTGTGTGTGTGTGTGTGTGTGTGTGTGTGTGTGTGTGTGTGCCGCACATGTGAACACACTCACATCCACGTTGCACAGGAGGTCGTTGAAGCCACAGTTGCCGTTGTTGGAGGAGCAGCAGAGGGCTTTGAGGACGCCCAGCCACTCAGCACTCAGAGAGCGACAGTAGGCAGTCAGCTCCGCACATAGGATCCCAATGTCATTCACTCTGCAGGGATACACACACAGAGATGGGTATTAAACGCATAAAACACCTTACTACAGAATTCATGTAAGACACGTATACCTGGTGAGTTGACAGTTACTAAGTCAAGAATCCTGTACTGTTTCAATGCATCTGGATGTATCAACAATCAATTATTGATAACGGTTTTATAGAAAAACAGTGCTTGCCTCTCGGGGTCCCGGTGGTCCACGCACACGTCCATGAGCACGTTGCAGACGAAGCTGTAGCGGTTGGCGGGGCTGTCGTTGAGGATCTTACCCACCATGCTGTGGTTGAAGTTGTGGGCCGACGGGTTGGCGATGGCCTCCATCATGAACACGGGGTCCCACAGCATGTTGGAGTCAGACGGGTCAATGTTACAGTAGATGGAGTTCTTCACCTTGGAGCAGAACTCACTGGACAAGAGGGGGAGAGAAAGGATACCGATTGGTTCTCCAATCATTATATGGCTACCATGGGGGGACAAATATTTTTGTTTCAACACAATATTAGCATTTAAAACGCCTTCGCCCCCTAAAAATTATCAGAATAAAATAAAACTGCATCGAACAGTTGGTGGTCCATGTTGATGTTTTACCTGAAGATCTCGCCAAACTTGCTCTTGAGGTGACAGCAGGAAGTATAGAGGTCGTACAGGTAGGCCAGGATGCAGCGCTCCGCTGAGGAGCAGTCGGCTGGGTTCACCCCTGACTTCACCACGATGCGCAATCTGGTCAATGAATAGTATTAAAACACGTTAATGCAAAACAACAAAGAACAGAAAGCTTTCTGTACTAAATTAGTTATAGAAGACAGGCTGAATTGAGTGCAGGATACAAGGGTACCAATGGAATAGTCCCAAAAGTGTTCTGTAAAAAAGCAGAGGCAGGTTTATTGGCAGTGAATAGCTTAGGTACCTTACTGTTTCTGCATCCAATAACGCTATGTTATTGAATGGCGCCCCCAGGCTATTGATGTGAATGGCTAAGGCTTGGATAACATTATCACCCAGGCTATAGAGGTGCATGGTTAAGGGCGCGGCCAAACGGGCCCGTAGTTTTGATCCATATCCGTGATTTCCAATGCTTTCTCAATGGGAGTCACACGTTGTCGGTCAATGGACAAAAAGTTCAGATGAGTTGAACTTTTGACAGGCCAACGGATACATTAGCCAATTAGAAAAAGAGGAGCACGCACAGACCAAAATTAATCCGTTCTTATTTGGTGTCCGTTCTCCACGGGTCAGTCTGGCCAAAGCCTAAGGGTTAAGCTTGTAAGACTTACCCGTCAAAGACCTGCGCCGTCTGCTCGGGGTTGAGGATGAGGCAGGAGTGGTACCTCCTCAGCACGGCCACGATGCACAGACACAGACCTGTGGTGTAGCTGCCCACCAGGCTGGACGACTTCAGCAGCAGCTCTGCCTCCACCAGGCTCAGCTCGTTCAGCAGCTAGATACACACACAGGGAAGAGAGAGAAGGTTAGTTATAGAAAGATTATTCATACAAATGATACTAAAGCATCAAGGGGAGAACAGCATAAACAACCACTAACAGAAACTGGTGAGAGAGAAACAGACTCAGGCATCAAGTACACATTAAAGGAAATATGACTGTAACTATGAGAAGTGGAATTAAATGCTGTGATTAAATGCCTTGACATTAGAGATAAAGCTGTACCTGAATGGCAAAGTCGATGAGGCCACTAATGTTGAGGGAGTACTCCATGAGGTCAAAGATGAACTGGATGTGCTGGACCAGGGGCAGGTGATAGGACATCCCTAAGGCAAAGCTGGTGATCTGTTCCAGAACATTCCTGGACACCTAGTCAGAAAGAACGGCAACAGGGTTATTACCTCTAGACAATAGTGATGTGCAGTTCGCTAACAACTCGTTCTTTTGGAATGACTCTTTTTACTGAGTGACTCGTTCATTTGACCTGCAGCAGGATTAACACATGCTCCTCCGGCTCAGGGGCTCCAGAGACGTGTTCCGGCCACCAACTGTCGGTCATATGCGCGCAGGACAATAGCTCATGAGCATAGAGAAGAAAAATATATGTTTAGAAAGTAGCGGTGCATGGGTAAAATCACTGGGGAAGCCAAGCCCCCCCCAAAAGAAAAGCCATATTACAACCAGTGTTGTGATAATTGCGTTGTTTGTTCTATAAATCCTGTAAACTCACATGCCTTGCGACTGTGATATATAGGCCTAAAGGCCAAGACAATAAGAAGACACAGTGGCAGAATAAATTCAACCACACCTTTGTTTTATCACAACACCTGTTAGCAACCTATGTTCAGTGAAGTCCACAAAGCATATTGCATGTACAGTAACATGACCTACAGCATGGTCAAGCAAGTTAATGTTTCCGACATTTTCGGACCACTAAACAACTATTGATTTAGAACCACAGAAAGTTACCGCAAGTCGCAAAGAAAACAGGAGCTGCCTCCACTATTCCAGCACCATTTCAACATCATCAAATCTGTTTAGTCTAATACAGTGACAACTAAAAGATACCAAAAACAATTTAGTCCAATCAATGTAAGCTAAATATAATGTGGCCACCGGAGGACAACACAACGAGATGCAACAATTCAAGTTTTTCTGTTAATGACGTATGCTCTCAATTGGATATGATAGGAGTGATGCCAAAATCCAAGCTGGCTTCCCCTTGACAGTTTTTTTTGGTGTGCCAGGACCATTCACAGTTGAGCTCGCTCAGTTTAGCGCAACACTGATTGGCTAATTTTGTATACTTTTTTTGTCAAGGGAGACCAGATGCTCACTGGCTTCCCTTGCCTTCAATGCTACGGGCGGTAACAATGTCATACTCGTTTGGACCAGACCGCATCAGATACATGGCCTACACGTAGAGAGACAGAGGGGCGCTGTTTCACTCGCTCGGATGCTTTCTCCTGTGAGATACATTCAGCCTCTTGCAAATTGAAGGAAAATTATGAAACACAGAGAGAAAAAAATTGGGGAAGCCTGGCTGCCCTTTGCACCCATGAATAAATGTAAATACAGGCCACTGTTTAGAACTGATAATTAATCGCATGACTACGAATAATTGATTATTGAATGAATGTTATGATGGACACAGCTTTGAAGAACCAAAACATACACAGCCTCTGCTCAACAAATTCAAACGCGAGAACAAATCGTTTGGGGGGCTGCAGTTCGCAAACGACTGTGCTTATTACCTAGCCTGGCTACCCAGACTCCTTGCTCTGGTCAAACGCTACGCCACGCATATTAGTTTCTTCTCCGCAATGGGAAGTATGTACAATATGTAGTGAACAACAGAGCAACGGAATAATTGAACGTGAGTGGTCAGGCTACTTATTACCCTGAAAGCAGTCAATGCATTCCGCCAAGAGTCGTTCACAATCTAGTCTGGTTGCGGCCACAACAAGTCCTCGTTTCAAATGTATCAAGAAATAATCGTATTTGTATGCCTAGCAATCAACAAATATACATAGTTTAAAGCACAAGTCTCAGCCACAAAATGACAGCTCCAATAAGCCCCCTACAGTGAACAACATGCTCGTAGAATCATGACAAGGGTGGGAAATTTACTTTTTGGTCCACCAGCCAATGTTGCAGGTAGATTTAAAAAATCTACCAGCCACTCAGATTTTTTACAAGCCCAAATATTTTTTATCTACATAATTAGACAAATAAAACAGATTAGCATGCTTTCTAATGTTTCAAAAACAAGAAATGTATTACTAGTAAGTAGCAATAGGGTATATTGCTTAATTTCAATTCATTTTTGTGACCTGCGTCTTTTAACCAATGTATGTTAAAATAAATAATTTAGATACAATAATAAAAACAGATACAGTTTTAAAACTGAACATCAAGAATTAACAAAGTGCTTACCCTGCCACAAACAAACTGAGTGATACAGCTTATTTATTATTATAGTTCAGGGCTCTACGCTGACATTAATTATACATGATGATACATGATGTGCTCCTAAGTAGAAATGTAGAAGCAAACAAATAAATAAAATCACATTTTATTTGTCACATGCGCCAAATACAAACAGGTGTCGACCTTACAGTGAAATGCTTACTTACAAGCCCTTAACCAACAATGCAGTTCAAGAAATAGAGTTAAGAAAATATTTACTAAATAACTAAAGTAAAAAATAAAATAAAAAATAACAATAACGAGGCTATATATACACAGGAGATACCGGTACCCAGTCAATGTGCGGGGGTACAGGTTAGTCGAGGTAAATTTGTACATGTAGGTAAAATATATATATATATATTGCTCAAAAAAATTAAGGGAACACTAAAATAACACATCCTAGATCTGAATGAATTAAATAATCTTATTAAATACTTGTTTCTTTACATAGTTGAATGTGCTGACAACAAAATCACACAAAAATTATCAATGGAAATCAAATGTATCAACCCATGGAGGTCTGGATTTGGAGTCACCCTCAAAATTAAAGTGGAAAACCACACTACAGGCTGATCCAACTTTGATGTAATGTCCTTAAAACAAGTCAAAATGAGGCTCAGTAGTGTGTGTGGCCTCCACGTGCCTGTATGACCTCCCTACAACGCCTGGGCATGCTCCTGATGAGGTGGCGGATGGTCTCCTGAGGGATCTCCTCCCAGACCTGGACTAAAGCATCCGCCAACTCCTGGACAGTCTGTGGTGCAACGTGGCGTTGGTGGATGGAGCAAGACATGATGTCCCAGATGTGCTCAATTGGATTCAGGTCTGGGGAACGGGCGGGCCAGTCCATAGCATCAATGCCTTCCTCTTGCAGGAACTGCTGACACACTCCAGCCACATGAGGTCTAGCATTGTCTTGCATTAGGAGGAACCCAGGGCCAACCGCACCAGCATATGGTCTCAAGGGGTCTGAGGATCTCATCTCGGTACCTAATGGCAGTCAGGCTACCTCTGGTGAGCACATGGAGGGCTGTGCGGCCCCCCAAAGAAATGCCACCCCACACCATGACTGACCCACCGCCAAACCGGTCATGCTGGAGGATGTTGCAGGCAGCAGAACGTTCTCCACGGCGTCTCCAGACTCTGTCACGTCTGTCACATGTGCTCAGTGTGAACCTGCTTTCATCTGTGAAGAGCACAGGGCGCCAGTGGCGAATTTGCCAATCTTGGTGTTCTCTGGCAAATGCCAAACGTCCTGCACGGTGTTGGGCTGTAAGCTCAATTCCCACCTGTGGACGTCGGGCCCTCATACCACCCTCATGGAGTCTATTTCTGACCGTTTGAGCAGACACATGCACATTTGTGGCCTGCTGGAGGTCATTTTGCAGGGCTCTGGCAGTGCTCCTCCTGCTCCTCCTTGCACAAAGGCGGAGGTAGCGGTCCTGCTGCTGGGTTGTTGCCCTCCTACGGCCTCCTCCACGTCTCCTGATGTACCGGCCTGTCTCCTGTTAGCGCCTCCATGCTCTGGACACTACGCTGACAGACACAGCAAACCTTCTTGTCACAGCTTGCATTGATGTGCCATCCTGGATGAGCTGCACTACCTGAGCCACTTGTGTGGGTTGTAGACTCCGTCTCATGCTACCACTAGAGTGAAAGCACCGCCAGCATTCAAAAGTGACCAAAACATCAGCCAGGAAGCATAGGAACTGAGAAGTGGTCTGTGGTCACCACCTGCAGAACCACTCCTTTATTGGGGGTATCTTGCTAATTGCCTATAATTTCCACCTGTTGTCTATTCCATTTGCACAACAGCATGTGACATTTATTGACAATCAGTGTTGCTTCCTAAGTGGACAGTTTGATTTCACAGAAGTGTGATTGACTTGGAGTTACATTGTGTTGTTTAAGTGTTCCCTTTATTTTTTTGAGTAGTATATATATATATACACACACACACACACACACACACACACACACACACACACTCTAGGAGAACAATGACTAAAAGTTCATGAATAAATGTTTTTGGCAGTGATCCATGCTCAATCAAGCACAATCACCCGCCAACGTGGCTGGTAAAATATAAATTCTTACCCGCCAATGACAAAATCGACCCGCATTTGGCGTGTGTTAATATCCAACCCTGATCATGACTCTTTCGAGTTTTCAGTTCCTTTGTTCGCGGTAGGGGGTCCTGTGAGCGTCGCATTACTTACTCAAATTAACGAAATTAGTCAAAAGATTGGTTCTTTTGACTGAACGAGTCGAAAAGATCTGTCAGTAAAAATAGCCAAACTTCCCATCACTACTACAGAGGCCTACTGTAAAAACATAACTGAATATCCATAACATTGTACACTAGTATTGAAATAAAAGTAATTGAAAATATAAGTTTACCGTTAAAGACATTGTTTTATGAGAATCATTTAACTGTACATACCTTGGAAGCATGGTGGATATATCATTAAGTATCGATTTTTACTGAATAACTTGAGAGGATACCATTAGCAAGTTTTGAAGCACACTTAAAACGATGACTGGACTGCTATGAGGGGGTGGGGGGGGGGGCTGGGATCTCACCTGAGAGGTGACCTGGTGCTGGTCAAAATGGGAGAGGTGCTGGAATTTGGAGAAGATGTCCTCTGCTGTGGGGAAGGCCTCCGGCTTAGACCTCTTCCTCTTCTGTCCCTCTCCTCCTGAGAGAGAAGAGACAAAGAAAGTCCACTATTACACTGAACAAAAATTTAAAACGCAACATGTCAAGTGTTTCATGAGCTTTTTTGTGTGCACAAATTTGTTTACATCCCAGTTAGTGAGCATTTGTCCTTTGTGCTGGGGCATAATAAAAGGCCACTAAAATGTGCATTTTTGTCACACAACACAATGCCACAGACTTCAAGTTGAGGGAGCATGCAATTGGCATGCTGACTGCAGGAATGTCCACCAGAGCTGTTGCCAGAGAACTGAATGTTCATTTCTCTACCATAAGCCGCCTCCAACGTTATTTGAGAGAATTTGGCAGTACATCCAACAGACCTCACGACCGCAGACCACGTGTATGGCGTCATGTAGGCGAGCGGTTTGCTGATGTCAACGTTGTGAACAGAGCGCCCCATGGTGGCAATGGAGTTATGGTATGGGCAGGCATAAGCCAAGGATAACGAACACAATTGAATTTGATAAATAGCAATTTGAATACACAAAAATACAGTGACGAGATCCTGAGGCTTATTGTGAGGTCCCATTTTTTTAAAGGTATCTGTGACCCACATATGCATATCTCAAGCTCTGTCAGGTTGGATGGGGAGCATCGCCACACAGCTATTTTCAGGTCTATCCGGTTCAAGTCCGGGCTCCGGCTGGGCCACTCAAGGACATTCAGAGACTTGTCCCGAAGCCACTCCTGCGTTGTCTTGGCTGTGTGCTAAGGGTCATTGTCTTGTTGGAAGGTGAACCTTCACCCAGTCTGAGGTCCTGAGCAGGTTTTCATCAAAGATCTCTCTGTACTTTGCTCCATTCATCTTCCCCTCGATCCTGACTAGTCTCCTAGTCCCTGCCACTGAAAAACATCCCCACAGCATGATGCTGCCACCAGCATTCTTCACTGTAGGGATGGTGCCAGGTTTCCTCCAGACGTGACGCTTGGCATTCAGGCTAAAGAGTTCAATCTTGGTTTCATCAGACCAGAGAATCTTGTTTCTCATGGTCTGAGAGTCTTTAGGTGCCTTTTGGCAAACTCCAAGCGGGCTGTCATGTGCCTTTTACTGAGGAGTGGCTTCCGTCTGGCCACTCTACCATAAAGGCCTGATTGGTGGAGTGCTGCAGAGATGGTTGTTCTTCTGGAAGGTTCTCCCATCTCCACAGAGGAACTCTTGAGCTCTGTCAGAGTGACCATCGGGTTCTTGGTCATCTCCCTGACCAAGGCCCTTCTCCCCCGATTGCGCAGTTTGGCTAGGCGGCCAGCTCTAGAAAGAGTCTTGGCGGTTCCAAACTTCTTCCATTTAAGAATGATGAAGGCCACTGTGTTCTTGGGGACCATTAATGCTGGGGTACCCTTCCCCAGATCTGTGCCTCACAATCCTGTCTTGGAACCCCAAGGACAATTCCTTCGACCTCATGGCTAGGTTTTTGCTCTGACATGCACTGTCAACTGTGGGACCTTACATAAGACAGGTGTGTGCCTTTCCAAATCATGTTCAATCAATTGAATTTACCACAGGTGGACTCCAATCAAGTTGTAGAAACATCAAGGATGATCAACAGAAACAGGATGCACTTGAGCTCAATTTGAATCTCATAGCAAAGGGTCTGAATACTACAGGTCAAAAGTGGTGCCCTGTATATAGGGACTAGGGTGCCATTTCGGGAGTAAGCATTATAATCACATTCTCAAGGCCCTTCACTTTCGAAGTTCACATTATAATGACAGCGCTGAAATAGCTTAAAATATCAAAAGGAAAAGAGAAGGTTATGCAAAGCACAAGGGAAACGGGCTTGTAACAAGAAGGCCATCCGCTCAACTCCTAAGCAGGAATATGGCTGAAGATAAATGACATAAGAAAAAAGCACTTTAGCCTGCATAATTATAACTTTTCAAATCACCCTTGTTAACGTCACGTGGCAGCAAATCACAGCTATTAGCATAGAAATTGGACAGGAAGGAAATTAATATTGAATATAGGATGCTAGCCCTGGAGTCAATAGTCAAAAAGTCAAAATCCTGTGTTCTATAATGAAGAACAGAGGGGAAAGAGTGTTGGAGAAAAGATATTAAGGTTTCTGAGGACAGTTTTCAACTTGGGAAACGTTGAGGGGATCAGATAGGGGCAGATGTAACAGCAGACTGTCTCTCTCAAATGGTACCCTATTCCCTACATAGTGCACTACTTTAAGTACCGGACTATATACGGAATAGGGTGCCATTTGTGACGCAGAAAACAGGCACATCATCCATCAAAAACAATGTTAACAAAATAACGTCTCACCGCAATCTGCTCAAACATTATCTGTGATGTGATAGACGGGACACATCTGCTGAGAGTTGTGGGAATATACAACCTTGCTCAATAAATCTACGGTTGACATCACGACTTGCACTCAAATTCATGTCAAAGTCTCGAGTTCCCAGTATTTCTTATCTCTCTACGAGAAAAATTGTAAAAGCAACGGCAGATAAAAACACAAACAGGCCATATTGCTCCAGGGAAAACAGAAGGCCCATAGATAAGGTCATTAAAAACCAGTGTCAAATAAGAAATGGAAGCAGTACTATTCTTACCTGTCTCTGCTGTGCTTTTGCGGTTGAGCACCTTCAAGATGTCTTTCGTGATTTTCTTGATGGCGTGCCTCGCTTCATCTCGCTGCTTGCCCACGCCGTAGAGCACCACCAGGCGCTGGTTGCACTCATGACTGGCACTCTCCTCCTGGGGACGACGACAACGTCAGTTAATGCATGCACTGTGCATTATGTAGTGGCATTTCACATAGCCTGAGATCTGAAGACTTATGTTGGCACTTATAGCTAATGCCTAGGCTTTAGTTTAGAGGGCTAACTGTGTCAAGGAGTGAGTCAATTTGTGCATAGGCTATGTAGTGGAGGTTGGGTACAAAGCAACGCCAGAAACCTGAAAACGTGTGTTAGCTCCCAGAGTTAATGCAAGTAAAGGCTTTAGCTTGAAGGGCTAACATGGCCTTGAGTTAGACCAACAACATGTGCCAATGTAGCAGAGGTAGTTCATTAAGCTTTGCTGGGGTGAAACTATAAAGCTCCCAGAGCCTGGACTTCTCCTCAGAGGGCTATCATGGTCTACATTTGCACTGATGACCCAGTTTGAATTCCATGTGTGTGTTAGAGCTGAGCTAGCCAAAGCCTCTCTCAGGGCTGCTTACCTGGGGGATGGGGAAGTGGGTAGCGTATTGGATGTGGCGGGGCTGCTCGTACACCAATGGGAAGACAGGATCCAGGGCCTTGTCTTTGCAGGCGCCCTTCCCTTCCTGTTCCGGGGCAGGCTTCTCGGGGGAGGGGCTGCCCTTCGACTCACAGTGCATTGGGGGAGAAAACATCTACAAAACAAGAGACAGCTCAAATTAACAGGGCTGCACACAACATGGAAAGGTTATCCAGAGGTCAATGGGACAGTCTGATGGAGCACAGGTATGAATACTATATAAACTCAGCAAAAAAAGATAAGTCCCTTTTTCAGAACCCTGTCTTTCAAAGATCATTAGTAAAAATCCAAATAACTTCACAGATCTTCATTGTAAAGGGTTTAAACACTGTTTCCCATGCTTGTTCAATGAACCATAAACAATTACTCATGTTCAATGAACCATAAACAATTAATGAACATGCACCTGTGGAACGGTCGTTAAGACACTAACAGCTTACAGACGGTAGGCAATTAAGGTCACAGTTATGAAAACTTAGGACACTAAAGAGGCCTTTCTACTGACTCTGAAAAACACCAAAAGAAAGATGCCCAGGGTCCCTGCGTGAACGTGCCTTAGGCATGCTGCAAGGAGGCATGAGGACTGCAGATGTGGCCAGTGCAATAAATTGCAATGTCCATACTGTGAGACGCCTAAGACAGCGCTACAGGGAGACAGGACGGACAGCGGATCATCCTCGCAGTGGCAGACCACGTGTAACTACACCTGCACAGGATTGGTACATCCGAACATCACAGGTACAGGATGGCAACAACAACTGCCCGAGTTACACCAGGAACGCACAATCCATCCATCAGTCCTCCCGAGTGGCGCAGTGGTCTAAGGCACTGCATCGCAGTGCTAGCTGTGCCACTAGAGATCCTGGTTCGAATCCAGGCTCTGTCGTAGCCGGCCGTGACTGGGAGACCCATGGGGCGGCGCACAATTGGCCCAGCGTCGTCCAGGGTAGGGGAGGGAATGGCCGGCAGGGATGTAGCTCAGTTGGTAGAGCATGGCGTTTGCATCGCCAGGGTTGTGGGTTCGATTCCCACGGGGGGCCGGTATGAAAAAAATAAAAAATAATGTATGCACTCACTAACTGTAAGTCGCTCTGGATAAGAGCGTATGCTAAATGACTAAAAATGTAAATGCTCAGACTGTCCGCAATAGGCTGAGAGAGGCTGGACTGAGGGCTTGTAGGCCTGTTGTAAGGCAGGTCCTCACCACAACCGGCAACAACGTCGCCTATGGGCACAAACCCACCGTCGCTGGACCAGACAGGACTGGCAAAAAGTGCTCTTCAATGACGAGTCACGGTTTTGTCTCACCAGGGGTGATGGTCGGATTCGTGTTTATCGCCGAAGGAATGAGCGTTACACCGAGGCCTGTACTCTGGAGCGGGATCGATTTGGAGGTGGAGGGTCCGTCATGGTCTGGGGCGGTGTGTCACAGCATCATCGGATTGAGCATGTTGTCATTGCAGGCAATCTCAACGCTGTGCGTTAAAGGGAAGACATCCTCCTCCCTCATGTGGTACCCTTCCTGCAGGCTCATCCTGACATGACCCTCCAGCCTGACAATGCCACCAGCCATACTGCTCGTTGGGTGCGTGATTTCCTGCAAGACAGGAATGACAGTGTTCTGCCATGGCCAGCGAAGAGCCCAGATCTCAATCCCATTGAGCACGTCTGGGACCTGTTGGATCGGAGGGTGAGGGCTAGGGCCATTCCCCCAGAAATGTCTAGGAACTTGCAGGTGCCTTGATGGAAGAGTGGGGTAACATCTCACAGCAAGAACTGGCAAATCTGGTGCAGTCCCTGAGGAGGAGATGCACTGCAGTACTTAATGCAGCTGGTGGCCACACCAGATACTGACTTACTTTTGATTTTGCCCCCCCCCCCCCCCTTTGTTCAGGGACACATTATTCAATTTCTGTTAGTCACATGTCTATGGAACCTGTTCAGGTTATGTCTCAGTTGCTGAATCTTATGTTCATACAAATATTTACACATGTTAAGCTTGCTGAAAATAAACGCAGTTGACAGTGAGAGGACGTTTCTTTTTTTTGCTGAGTTTAGTTGTGCCAGGGAGAATATTCACTTGTACACACTAGCTGCCCATTTCTACTGGTATGATCCAAGACATGATGCATATACACTTACCTCATCGAAATTAGCGCTCGAGTTGTGATCGATCTCCATTGACTCGGAGAGACCAGTGTCCTGTATAAAGAAAAGAAAATACATGTTTCAGTCCCAAATCAATTCAAAAGCAGTGAGTAACTACCGATGATTCATCATGCACACTAAAAACAGCTGCCAACACATATCATGCCTCGTTCTTGACGCTGCTGCCTGCCTCCTGCTCCTTGCGCTCCGATTCGTCCAAAGGCTCATCACTAGGGGAACGGGGGCGGGGCAGGTGGGAGTCAGAGGCCAGGTCACCGCGGGAGATGAGCGTGCACATGTAGATGTTGTGAGAGAAGACATCGTGTCGGATGAGCTCGCAGAAAAGCAGCACCAGGTTAGAGAACTCCACACGCTCGCTCTCGTTGCCCGCCTCCGCTGAGAAGGAGGGACAGAAGGGGATAGTTTGTCACTATACACTCCAGCATTAGCAGCAGTAAGAGACCGTTCCTAACCTTTATAATATAATATGAAATTTAGCAGACACGTTTATCCAAAGCGACTAACAGTAGTGCACGCATACATTTTCGTATTGGGTGGCCAAAGCGGGAATCGAACGCATCATCCTGACATTGCAAGCGCCATGCTCTGATAACTGAGCCACACATGACCCTGTGTGCCATTCTAACCCAACACTAATGTTGCAAAATTTGGTTAACTTTTAAAAAACTACCGGTGGAGAATTCCTGGATTTTCTGCTTATTCTATCCAGGGTCCAAGAATCTTCCAACATGGATTTCTAGAAAACCAATACCCTTTTGCGACTACGGTGCCGACCTGAACCATACTGTGCTGTTGTGGATGTTTTTGTTGTCCTTTTCAGCACTATGGTGGATGTGTAACAAGGCCCGCGCAGTACAGCACGGCTCAAGTCCCAAACACATAGCAGTGCATAACAACTCAACCGCTTGGCAGACTAAATCCAAAAGAGCGCTGGAATCAGGAACAATACCAAGAGATGCAGAGAGCCTAGCTAGCTCATAAATGGCACCCAATATTCCCTATATAGTGCACAACTTTTGACCAGGACCCATAGAGCTGTGGTCAAGTGCCCTATTGGCCCTGGTCAAAAGTAGCACATTTATAAGGTGTTAATTGTGTGGATACTCCTCTAAGAAAACCAATGGTCCAAACCTCATGTCTCTATCATAATCCGTTCAAAAGTTATTTGAGTTTTTACCCTTGTAAAATGTTCAGAATTAGGGTGACAAAATCAAATGGAGGCAAGAGAAAATAAAGTGGTCATAAATCAGGAAAACAACATTGCGTCAACTGGGCTGGATGCTGTGGAAGGATCGAGGCTAACTAACAGGCTTACTGTGGAACTCATCTTTCTTCTCCCATCCGGAGGACATAAAACAATATAGAGGAATTATATAGAGGAATTTCATATTCTAGTATACGCTTTTCATATGAATGACTTCAAAGATTTCTCTGAAAAACATTTGCGTAATGTCAACGGAGCACTGAGCGTACCGCTTGCTTTTTTATTTTCAAAGCCTTTTACATTTAATTCAGTTTGTGTCATGTTAATTAGGCTTTTTGCGACTGGCGGAAACAACTTTGCAGACAAACACCACAACATGTAAAATCCTCAAAAGTCGCTGCGAGAAAGCGCACCGCTCTGTCAATAGAGCTCACTGCTTATTTTCAGATGTATTAGGTTACGAAATCTGGGCAGAGTGGGTGGACACTTTACAGTATAGGGAATAGGGTGGGATTTGGGACATAGCCGCAGACAACCCAAATAAGGGAATATAATTGACTAGTAGTGAAGTGAAGGGTAGACTCACTGAGCATGGGGGCCTGGGTGTCCAGGAACTGTAGGAGCACATCCTGAAACACAGGCAGGGTGGCCGCCGAGAGAGAGCCCGATGACACCGATCCTTTCTCATCCACCACCTCCGACTCGCCGCACCTCTGAACACAGACAATCACATGCATAGCCTGAGAACCACTGCCATTGAGCAAATATACCTTACACCTGTGATAAGAATGGTATAACATTTGAGCAATCGTTTCTTCGGTTTTACATCTACTGTATACACAAGTTTGCCGGGAATAGAATTTAATTAAATGGATTGAGACAGCATTGCAAACAACAATAGCCTTGAGGAAATACAAAAACCTATACCTCACATCTTCTAAAATAGTTTAGAATCTTGTTATTAAAGGCTGTGGCCATCTTCATCCTTTATTTACACAGGTGAAATCTCGAGATTAAAATCTCTTTTGCAAGAGAGACCTGTTTTCATGAGGCAAGAAGTATCGTTGAGAATACTCGGGAACAGCCGTGGCCGAGTGACTCAAGGCCATGTGTCACTGTGGGGCAGTCACGGTGCTGTAGTCATGATGCGGAAATGTGTATGTGCAAGTGTGCGGCCCTCCCTCTCACCTCGGCTTCGATCTCCGCCTGTCTCTTCTCCAGCAGCTTGGCCACCACCATGGCTCTGTGACGGCCAGACCTCTTGCAGCACACCGCCCACTCACACAGCAGGGTCACCACGGCGTCATCATCAGGGGACATCTACACAGAGAGAAACATGTCAGGGAGAAGACCATACAGCACGGAAGCCTGTGTCTGGGGCCATCTATGTAGTGTTTCTAGAAGAATACAATAGAATATAATACAGTTAATTGTCTCCAGAAGAAGAAATTCTATGTGTTCTACTGTAATGATTAGGGCCAGATGGTGTTAGTTGGCCTCTTGCTCACACTTGACATTTTGCCTTTTCATCTGTGATTGAAAACCATTAAAAGGTCCAATGCAGCCATTTTTATCACAATATCAAATCATTTCTGGGTAACAATTAAGTACCTTACTGTGATTGTTTCAAATTTAAATGGTCAAAAAGAAACAAAAATAACTTCATAGCAATGGGACATTTCTCAAACACAAATTTCGCTAGACTGTCTGGGAGCGGTCTGAGTAGGGAGGGGAAAACTGAAAATTAGCTGTTACTGACAGAGGTTTGGAACTTTTTTCCTTATTGGTCTATTAACTAAATGTGATGTCACCATGAGTGGCCAAAACTCCATCCCACCAAAACAGGCTGACATTTCAGGCAGTCTTTTCAAACAGCTCTTACACTAAAAGGGTATTATCATAATTTTCACAGAATTATTCCAACCTCAATGTGGATGGATATATACAGTGCCTTCGGAAAGTATTCAGACCCCATGACTTTTTCCACAGCCTTATTCTAAAATTGATTCAATTGTTTTTGATCGGGTTCAAGTCCGGGCTCTGGCTGGGCCACTCAAGGACATTTAGAGACTTGTCCCGAAGCCGTTGTCTTGGCTGTGTGCTTAGGGTCGTTATCCTGATGGAAGGTGAACCTTCGCCCCAGTCTGAGGTCCTGAGCGCTCTGGAGCAGGTTTTCATCAAGGATCTCTCTGTACTTTGCTCTGTTCATCTTTGCCTCGATCCTGACTAGTCTCCCAGTCCCTGCCGCTGAAAAACATCCCCACAGCATGATGCTGCCACCACCATGCTTCACTGTAGAGATGGTGCCAGGTTTCCTCCAGACATGACGCTAGGCATTCAGGCCAAATAGATTAATATTGGTTTCATCAGACCAGAGAATCTTGTTTCTCATGATCTGAGAGTCCTTTAGGTGCCTTTTGGCAAACTCCAAGCGGGCTGTCATGTGCCTTTTACTGAGGAGTGGCTTCCGTCTGGCCACTCTACCATAAAGGCCTGATTGGTGGAGTGCTGCAGAGATGGTTGTCCTTCTGGAAGGTTCTCCCATCTTCACAGAGGAACTGTGGAGCGCTGTCAGAGTGACCATCGGGTTCTTGGTCACCTCCCTGACCAAGGCCCTCCTCCCCCGATTGCTCAGTTTGGCCGGGCGGCTAGTTCTAGGAAGTCTTGGTGGTTCCAAACTTCTTCCATTTGGACTCCAATCAAGTTGTAGAAACAACAACAAAGGATGATCGATGGAAACAGGATGCAACTGAGCTGAATTTCAAGTCTCATAGCAAAGGGTCTGAATACTTACATAATTAAAGGTATTTATGTTTGTTTTGTTTTGTTTGTCGTTATGGGGTATTGTATGTAGATTGATGAGGGAAAAAAATTATTTAATCAATTTTAGAATAAGGCTGTAACGTAACAAAATGTGGAAAAAGTCAAGGGGTCTGAATACTTTCCGAATGCACTGTATATAAAAACACGGGGGGAAAAAACACACACATTTTTAACTGCACTGGGCCTTTAAAGTCTTCAGACTTGACATATGCAAAAGTTGTCATGTAAGAGAAAACATCTTTACCTCGTGGCCGTCTTTGCTCTGGCCCGAACCGAAGATGCGGTTGTAAAGGGAATCCAGGGAGTTGCTGAAGTCTGACTTCTCAAAGCTGTGGTTGTCTAGAACCTCCAGGGTGTGTAGGACCCTTCCAATGGTGAAGCCTGGCGAAAACAAGTAAATCAAAGTAATACACAAAATGTACCTAATTTCCCTTTTCCTTATACACCTAGGGCCGGTTTCCAGGACAAAGATTAAGCCTAGTGCTGGACTATAAAACATGCTCAGTGGAGAATCTCTGTCGAAATAGATCATTGGTCCAGGACTAGTCTTACTCTTTGTCTGGGAAACCGGCCCATAGAGTCATTGTCTGGATGCAATGTTATGTCATTTTATAGGTGTCTATGATCTAATCATGAAGGAGCAGTTTCCTTACCAGCAGTTGTCTCCTGACATTTATCAAAGGACCAGCGGAACTCCACAGCCTGCCCTCTGTCCTTGACCTGCTCCTCTATTTCTCTGACCTTTGCACGGACCTGAGGGAAAAGCACAGATAAGACTGAGATAAGCAGACGGGACGACTGAGAAGACAAAGTCAATAGCCATGCATTGATGTCAACCTCTCAGCGTGTGGAGGGCATTCAATCAACCAACTGACAAATGCATTAGTCGTAATCCAAACCCCAAATGCATTAGTTGTAATCCAAACCCCAAATGCATTAGTCGTAATCCAAACCACAAATGCATTAGTCGTAATCCAAACCACAAATGCATTAGTCATAATTCAAACACTAAACAATATAAACTCAATGCCAAAGGTACAGTGGCATGGAATATCTCCCTAGGTGGGAAGAAACCTTGACAGGAACCAGACTCTGGGCCTTACCTGCTGTGTAAAGGTGCTGTTGCCCCCTGGCATGGGCAGGTTGGAGGGGGATATGGGCAGTAGGTCCAGCGGGGAACCCGTCTTGTTACGGCTGTCTGTCAGAGAGTAGTGCCACACCAGGGCACTGGGACAGCACAGCACGATACTCTGACAAAACCAAGACCAGGAGAAGAAGAATTTAGGGATGCGATTGACAATATTGGAAATCAGGAAAAATGAAGTCTACAATAGATTTTTAAATCAGGAACAATACCAACACTGATGATGTAACCAGAGCTAGTTTACCAACATAGCCATGTACTTACTATACTAGCCTCATGGCATAACAGTAATATTAATAGTAGTGTAAAAGAACTTACTATACTAGCCTCATGGCATAACAGTAATATTAATAGTAGTGTAAAAGAACTTACTATACTAGCCTCATGGCATAACAGTAATATTAATAGTAGTGTAATAGTACTTACTATACTAGCCTCATGGCATAACAGTAATATTAATAGTAGTGTAATAGTACTTACTATACTAGCCTCATGGCATAACAGTAATATTAATAGTAGTGTAATAGTACTTACTATACTAGCCTTATGGCTTAACAGGAATATTAATAGTAGTGTAAAAGAACTTACTATACTAGCCTCATGGCATAACAGTAATATTAATAGTAGTGTAATAGTACTTACTATACTAGCCTCATGGCATAACAGTAATATTAATAGTACTTACTATACTAGCCTTATGGCTTAACAGTAATATTAATAGTAGTGTAAAAGTACTGCAGCAGCAGTATTAGACAATCTATTCAGTTCAGTGGAAAGGCTATTCAGTGTGTGTGTGTGTGTGTGTGTGTGTACCTGTAGCATGCAGCTGAGCCCAAACACCAAGGGCCTGTGTTGAGGGCAGATGTAGAAGTCTGTGAAGGGGGTCTGGGGTTGGTTGCCCCCCGTGGGCTGGGAGGTGGGTGTGGGGGGCAGGGCATTCCCCGGCTGCGCCAGGATGCTGTGGGCCGGGTGCCCCCCGGCACCAGGTCCCAGGCTCCCGTCGCTTAGCAGTAGGTTGAGGCGTCGCGTGCAGAAGTAGGCCAGTCTCCTGGACAGGTAGGCCGACTGCACAAACTCCCCTGAGTACTGATGGAGGGGACACGACTCACAATGTCAGTTCAAACTCTTCAGAGCTGACATGTGATCACAGCAATGGAATACAGGGAAAAACAGAGGAGAGGGTAGCTAGGTCAGCCTCAATGACGTACAGTTGGGGGTATTCAAAAGTTAACATTTACTGCAGCTCAGGTAAAAACATTTGCTTTGAAGTGGATTAAACGGCACCTCCAAGGGCATATGTCAGAAATGTTTTTTGTTAGATAGGTTATTGTTAGATGATTGCTACTGAACTTGGTGCTTGCCACCACCCTGCGAGAGTTTTTCACATTAACAATGTACCATTGCTGCACCAAAGGTAATTTGAAAAAGTAGTTTTTAATGTCCCCAACTGTATAATTAGAGGATGTCAGAAAACCTGGACTCTTCCTGATTCATGAAGATAAACTACATCTCTGTCTCCTCAAGTTACTTCTTCCACATGAAATATGTGGTTTGCTACTGGAAGGAGAATGAAATCCATCACTGCATTAGGAGAAAGATAGCCTAGCGGTTAGAGCATTGGGCCAGTAACTGAAATGTTGCTAGTTCGCATCCCAGAGCTGACAAGGTGAAAGGTATGCCGATGTGCCCTTGAACAAGGTACCTAATCCTAATTGCTCCAGGGTCGCCATTGATAATGGCAGACCATGGCTGTAACCCCACTCTCCGAGGGTCTCAGGGAGAGTGGGATATGCAAAAAACACATTTCCAATTCACACAAGCATATTAATACACACTTGTACATGTGTGAAATAGGACAATTTTAAGCACCCACCAAATTATTATTAAGATGATGGGTGCTAAAGGGATGGTATATAGGCATTACCTGTAGCAGGAGGGGCAGCAGCAGCTTCAGAAGCTCATCCTCTCCAGGTCGGACTTTCTCGAAGCATTCCAACACCCACGTCAGGAACTCGTGTCTGTCTAGCATGCCATCCTGGACACAAGCAAACAACCGTTTGTTATTGCTTGTTCTTCTACAGCATGAAGTATTTAGGGTAAGTTAAAGTGATGCTTCAGAACTTTGTATAATTTCAGCCAGTCGTTTTTAAAGTGGTGATCACGAGCCAAAACGGGTCCCCGTTTTTTGTGAAGGACGGCGCCGAGGAAAATGGCAGCCGTTTTACAGCCCTCTAACCAAATTGTACAATTATGTGTGTTTTTTCGCGTTATTTGTAATTTATTCTGTACATAATGTTTCTGCCACCGTAGCTTCTGGATATCAGGACAGCGATTACTCACCTCGTATTGGACTAAGATTTTTTCTTCAATGAGTCGGTTGCGAAGGATATCCTACAGACACCCGACAAGGCCCAAATCCCCGTCATTCACATGAGAAAGAGACAGTGATATCGTGGACGTAGGTCGGGGTGCCTTTTAAGGATCCGACGGCGAGCGAGTAAACTGCCTCTTCCATCAATCCTATTAGCCAATCTTCAATCATTTGAAAATAAATTAGACGACCTAAGATCAAGGTTATCCTACCAACGGGACATTAAAAACGGTAATATCTTATGTTTCACCGAGTCGTGGCTGAACAACGACATGGATAACATACAGCTGGCGGGATATATACGCTACATTGGCAGGATAGAACAGCTGACTCAGGTAAGACAAGGGGTGGCGGTCTGTGTATATTTGTAAACAACAGCTGGAGCATAAAATCTAATACTAAAGAAGTCTCGAGGTTTTGCTCACCTGAGGTAGAGTATCTCATGATAAGCTGTAGACCACACTATTTACCAAGAGAATTTTCTATATTTTTCATAGCTGTCTATTTACCACCACAAACCGATGCAGGCACTAAGATTGCACTCAATGAGCTGTATAAGGCCATAAGTAAACAGGAAAACGCTCATCCAGAGGCAGCGCTCCTAGTGGCCGGGGACTTTAATGCAGGGAAATTTAAATCCGTTCTACCTAATTTCTACCAGCATGTTAAATGTGCAACCACAGGGAAAGAAACTCTAGACCAACTATACTCCACACACACACAGACGTGTACAAAGCTCTCCCTCGCCCTCCATTTGGCAAATCTGACCATAATTCTATCCTCCTGATTCCTGCTTATAAGCAAAAACTAAAGCAGGACGCACCAGTGACTCGGTTAATAAGGAAGTGGTCAGACGCAGATGCTAAGCTACAGGACTGTTTTGCTAGCACAGACTAGAATATGTTCCGGGATTCTTCCGATAGCATTGAGGAGTACACCACATCAGTCACTGGCTTCATCAATAAGTGCATCGATGACGTCGTCCCCAAAGCAACCGTACGCACATACCCCAACCAGAAGACATGGATTACAGGCAACATCCGCACTGAGCTAAAGGGTAAAGCTGCCGCGTTCAAGGAGCGGGACTCTAATCCAGACGCTTATAAGAAATCCTGCTATGCCCTCCGACGAACCATCAAACAGGCAAAGAGTCAATACTAAAACTATTACAGACCACAAAGGGAAGCACAGCCGCGAGCTGCCCAGTGACATAAGCCTACCAGACAAGCTAAATCACTTCTATGCTCACTTCGAGGTAAGCAACACTGAAGCATGCATGAGAGCATCAGCTGTTCCGGATGACTATGTGATCAAGCTCTCTGTAGCCGATGTGAGTAAGACTTTTAAGCAGGTCAACATTCACAAGGCCCGCAGGGCCAGACGGATTACCAGGACGTGTAATCCGAGCATGCGCTGACCAACTGGCAAGTGTCTTCACTGACATTTTCAACATGTCCCTGACTGAGTCTGTAATACCAACATGTTTCAAGCAGACCACCATAGTCCCTGTGCCCAAGAACACTAAGAAAACCTGCCTAAATGACTACCGACCCGTTGCACTCATGTCTGTAGCCATTAAGTGCTTTGAAAGGCTGGTCATGGCTCACATCAACAGCATTATCCCAGAAACCCTAGACCCACTCCAATTTGCATACCGCCCCAACAGATTCATAGATGATGCACTCCACACTGCCCTTTCCCACCTGGACAAGAGGAAAACCTACGTGAGAATGCTATTCATTGACTACAGCTCAGCGTTCAACACCATAGTGCCCTCAAAGCTCATCACGAAGCTAAGGACCCTGGGACTAAACACCTCCCTCTGTAACTGGATCCTGGACTTCCTGACGGGCAGCCCCCAGGTGGTAAGGGTAGGTAACAACACATCTGCCACGCTGATCCTCAACACGGGGGCCCCTCTGGGGTGCGTGCTCAGTCCCCTCCTGTACGCCCTGTTCACCCATGACTGCATGGCCAGGCACGACTCCAACACCATCATTAAGTTTGCCGACTACACAAAAGTGGTAGGTCTGATCACTGACAATGATGAGACAGCCAATAGGGAGGAGGTCAGACACCTGGCCGTGTGGTGCCAGGATAACAACCTCTCCCTCAATGTGATTAAGACAAAGGAGATGATTGTGGACTACAGGAAAAAAAAGAGGACTGAGCACGCCCCCATTCTCATCGATGGGGCTGTAATGGAACAGGTTGAGACCTTCAAGTTCCTTGGTGTCCACATCACTAACAAACTATCATGGTCCAAACATACCAAGACAGTCGTGAAGAGAGCACGACAAAGCCTATTCCCCCTCAGGAGACTGAAAAGATTTGGCATGGGTCCTCAGATCCTCAAAAAGTTCTACAGCTGAACCATCGAGAGCATCCTGACTGGTTGCATCACCGCCTGGTATGGCAACTGCTCGGCCTCCGACTGCAAGGCACTACAGAGGGTAGTGCGTACGGCCCAGTACATCACTGGGGCCAAGCTTCCTGCCATCCAGGACCTCTATACCAGGCGGTGTCAGAGGAAGGCCCTAAAAATGATCAAAGACTCCCTAGTCATAGACTGTTCTTTCTGCTACCGCACGGCAAGCGGTACCGGAGCACCAAGTCTAGGTCCAAAAGGCTTCTCAACAGCCTCTATCCCCAAGCCATAAGACTCCTGAACAGTTAATCATGGCTACTCGGACTATTTGCATTGCCCCCCCACCCCACCACCCTCTTTTACGCTGCTGCTACTCTGTTTATTATTATTTATGCTTAGTCACTTTAACTCTACCCACATGTACATATTACCTTAATTACCTCCACTAACCGGTGCCCCCGCACATTGACTCTGTACCGATACCCCCTGTATATAACCTCCCTACTGTTCTTTTATTTTACTGCTGCTCTTTAATTATTTGCTATTTGTATTTTTTTCTTAAACTGCATTGTTGGTTAAGGGTTTGTAAGTAAGCATTTCACTGTATTGTCTACACCTGTTGTATTCGGCGCATGTGGCAAATAAAAATGTATTTGATTTTTATTTAGGGTAAGTTTAACTGATGCTTCACAACTTTGTATAATTTCAGCCAGTAGTTTTTAAAGTGGTGATCACAAGCCAAAACGGGTTCCCCGTTTTTTGTGTACTACGTCATCCACTTCATATATGTTAAACCCTGCAAAAATTAATCAAATATTTGTTTAGCAATTCGTATGATATGTTACGAACCTAATTCGTACAATATGTTACGAATTTGTTGTGCTTAAGATCCCAGACTGCATCTTTAACCCTATGCAATTACTCCATTTCACTATTACTCAGTGTAAACAATGTGCTGTATGATGCGGGCGAACTAGAGATGTTCATCCAAAAAATGCCCAAACCGTTTCATCTTGCTTGTGATGCTACGATTCCATCTGGCCTTAGTCATAAAATACATATATTGTCTTATCGCTTACCTCATAGTTTAGTTTACCACAGAAATGGCTCACTCTCTAAATAGAAGCTAACTTGCTAGCTGTTTACTGCTTATTTTCCCCCTAATGAACCCGGCATGCAGCATGGTGTTTATGCGATGACGTAATAGTGAAATAGGGTTATACTACCACGACAGCCATTGCAGACAGCTGTGTAATGACAAAAAGCAAACATTGAAGTCACAAAATTCTAACCAAGTAACAACTCAATCCATTTGAAACTGTTTAGTGAAAATATATCTAAATTATATCTATATATATCAAAAATAATATGCCATTTAGCAGATCCTGGCGTTTCAAGCACCATGCTCTACCAACTGAAGCATATCTATTTTGCTTATCAAACGCATCAGACATTGGAGATACATAGGTCCCCTGTTGAGGCAGGCAGACATGGAGACAGACATGCAACCTGAGACAGGCAGGCAAACAGACAAAAAAAAAAGACAGACAGAGCAAAGGACCAACCGACCTGGAACATGAACATGGCCAGCTTCTCGTTGTACTCCCACTGCTTCATGGCCGTGTCCACCTCGGCCGGATTGGCCGGGAGAGGGGAGCCACAGCCCTGGCTGGGAGACTGGCGGTAGAACTCGGCCACCTTCTGCAACTGCTCCCACAGGTACTTAGTGATGATCTGAGTCCATTCTGCAGTGCAGACAGAAAGAACATAGCATTAAGAGTTCAATTCATCCCAGTGGCATTTGCTCCTGTTAATGCAGCATGACTGAGAACAATTCTAGAGATGTAGCAGCCTATCTTTTCTAAATGGCAGTGAACACACTCAGGATATTGGAATGTTTTAAACGATGTTGTTCAAGGGAGGATGGGTAGGCTATATATTTTTTAAGGAGTGCTTGATTACCTATGCAGGGGTCAATCACGTGCCGCTTCTTGACTTTTGTTTCTGTGATGGCGGCGTGATACGCACAGGTCATCTTGATCATCCATGCCGAACGCATCACAGGTACTGTGTACTTGGCCAAGTAGCCAAAAACCTCCTCCTTTTTACTAAAGATCGGCACCTGGTACACAAACCCCAAACAAAGCCAGTAAAGGAAGATTCTGCAGAGAAATAACATACTTTTTTTTATAATTGACATGTGTCAGTCTTATAAATCTCAATTAAGTTACTTTGGATAATTTCAGGAAGATAGTGTATAAGTCTCCCAAGGCAGACATATTGCGGTTAAATTTGACTTGGTCACAGGAAGAGTAGGGCCACATTCAGCAGGCAAACATTCTGGAACTTTGCCGATAGACATGTAATCAATAGAGCCAGCATGATTCCTTAGTCTACATGTCAGAGTCTTGTTTGTTCTACATACAGTAACATATTTCTATCACGATGTGGTGCTCTGCTGAACGTGCCCCCAGGGGTGTTTTGGTACAAAGTCCTACCTTCTTGGCCAGCTGGGTGAGGGGTTTAGTCCCAGCCAAGTCTGTAAACCAGTTGTTGATAGAGCTCTGTGACCTGGCAGTAACGAGCCAGAAATTGTCCTTCTGGTTGACCTGTGGCTTCCGTTTGCCTGTGTCTGGAAAGGTGTTGTAGCGCAGCTTCTCTGCAATGATGCTGCTGAAGTTTGAACTAATCTGTTTGGGTAATAGGAAAGAATGCTATGAACAAGAGATCCTACAACATGCATGATTCACTACGTGTCTGATACAGATGACAAAGAAACAGTGATGAGTATTAGATCACCTTTGAGGGATTGAAGTTGACATTTTTAGCACTTCCATGTTCATCTCCAGACACTGCTGGTTGATTATTAAATCCTTGCTTCACATTCAACGCAGTCAATTCATCCTGGAACACAAATTATTTACATTAGTTCTCTGTTGTGAAATTCAGACCATGCAGTTGATGAAGTCACCCAATGAGCACATGTACAAGACACTGGACATCCCATTCTCCACCTCTGTTTACAAAACAAATGGTGATTATCTCAGTGGGGGCCTGCTTAGCCAATTAGTTAACTAGCTAGCTAGATAATCAAATTGAGTTTAGGTTGTTTGGCTATAAAAAAAAAAAAACTAAGTCTTAGGATCCCATTCCACATATGCCTGATATGTTAAGTGACATGTCATTGTAGCTAAATACATCATGACCGATAGTTCCCCACATCAATTTGGACAAAAATGGTCTCCTGACGCAGTAAACGAGATTTCCAGACAGTGCTAGCTAGCTAACGTGAGCTAAAATTAAATGGCTGCGTTATCTAGCTAATTAGTTAGTTAGCTATGGTATTGGTAGCTAAACTAGTAACGTTAGTTAGGACATTTGGCTAGCTAGAAATACATTGCACATGATAAAACCGTTAGTTAGACACACATAACACAACAACATGGTAACGTTAACGTTGACTGTTTGCCAATTTATGAAAATGACGACATTTAGCTAGCTATCCTACAGTAGCTAGTTGCTAATCACGCTAGCTAGCTGGCCAAGTATCTATCAAGCTGCTCCAAATGTATCCTAGTTGTGTTGTTCGTTAGTTAATGTTATTTGAAATGCAAACAATGGTTCGTGCAATATTTGTTAATTTGAAAGTTAGCCAAATGATCTTTGTCGTATCATTTACCTAGCTAGCGTTAACTAACTAAATTACTTGTTAACGTTAGCCCCATAGAAAGCTATCAAGATAGCTAGCTGGTTGGTGTTTTCAGTACGAGCAGGCAAGCTGACAAGCCAAGTAGCTGTTCATTGTTATTGCTAGAGAGACTGTTTTGGGCCTGATAGCCGTCTGGGGGGGATTAACGTTAGCTAACGTTAGCAACCATAGCGTAGCTAAGGGCTCCTTTCAAAATAGGCTCTTTGTGTCAATTTCTCTTTGCAACGTTGGTTTGAGAAACGATTGAAGTTTATCTGACCTCTTTTTGCTTTGGGTCTTGTGGATAAACGTCCGGAGGTCCGAGTCGTGGCCGCTTCAGGGGCCGGTGTTCGTAACTTAAGATCCCGAAAGCAGCCATCATCCAGCGGCATCACAGCCAAGGCTTTCCCCTTTCCGTTCGAGTCTTGGACGCCGGAAGGACGCCGATGCAGACCAACGCAGACAAGAAAACTCAAATATATCCCATAATACCCCACTGCATGTCATTTCATATTCTAGCTACAAAATAATAATATTATTTCTTATTTTTCCCCATTTTTTCTCATGCTATACGTTTATTTATAAACCGGTTAGTTTAGATCGTGGATGCTGATTGGCTGGAATATCATGTATAATGCATAGTATGGGATATTGCAACAAAATGTATGTCCACTAAGCAGTCTCTCTCATTATGTACATTGTCTCTGTCTGGGTGAAAATATAAATGGATTTGCTGAACAGAAAGTTGGATGAATATTATTTAGCCTAGCCCAGGCGTTCTCAAAGTGGGAGTCCGCGGTACTGTAGGGGGTATTTATTAATACTAACAAAAACATATTAAACACATTTTGGACAAGGGATACGTGGAATAAATTTAGAGGGAGTAATATAATACAACGCAATATTATTAATCTGCAATTTATGTTCTTAACCCAGGGCAACATGTGCTTGGGAGGCTCACAGGGATATTGATATCCACAGTACTCCACCAATTATACATTTTTCAACTCAATACTTCTTCTATTCCCCCAAAAGTTTTTTTTTAAAAACATAAATGCACTGTGATGTAAGCTTTCCAACAAAATGTGTAGAATTGTATGATATTAGCTTTAAAGCTGCAACAACAACAAAAAATATATGCCCATGACAAAATGTGTAGAATTGTAGGAAATTAGCTTGAAAACTGCTAAATGTTCTCTCTGATGCCAAGAGCTGGGCCTTTTAAAATGTTCCTTCCCAGGGCCCAAAGTCATGGTTAAACTCCTTGTATGCTATTTTTATCTCACTTGAGTTGTGTTCTGATTATGAGGCGGTTCCTGATGAATTTGCTATCGCAAAAGGGGTCCCCGGCTCCAAAAAGTTTGAGAACTCCTGGCCTAGCCTATGGAGATAATAATTTGTTCAGAAGCTGTCTCATCATATTCTCATCTCAGACACCCTGGACCCACTCCAATTTGCATACCGCCCAAAACCCCCCGACAGATGACGCAATCTCTATTGCACTCCACACTGCCCTTTCCCACCTGGACAAAAGGAACAATTATAAAACCCATCTACACTGAACAAAAATATAAATGCAACAAAGTTGTTTCATGAGCTGAAATAAAATATCCCAGAAATGTTCCATATGCACAAAAAGCTTATTTCTTTCCAATTTTGTGCACAACTTTGTTTACATCCCTATTAGTGAGCATTTCTCCTTTGCCAAGATAATCCATCCACCTGACAGGTGTGGCATATCAAGAAGCTGATTAAACAGCATGATCATTACACAGGTACACCTTGTACTGGGGACAATAAAAGGCCACTCTAAAACATGCAGTTGTCACACAACACAATGCCACAGATGTCTCAAGTTTTATGAACAGAGTGCCCCTTTGGTGACCGTGAGGTTATGGTATGGGCAGGCATAAGCTACGGACAACAAACCCAATTGCATTTTGTCGATGGTAATTTGAATGCACAAAAATACCGTGATGAGATCCTGAGGCCCATTGTGAGGCCCATTTTTTTTAAAGGTATCTGTGACCAACAGATGCATACAGTGGGGAAAAAAAGTATTTAGTCAGCCACCAATTGTGCAAGTTCTCCCACTTAAAAAGATGAGAGAGGCCTGTAATTTTCATCATATGTACACGTCAACTATGACAGACAAAATGAGAAAATAAAATCCAGAAAATCACATTGTAGGATTTTTAATGAATTTATTTGCAAATTATGGTGGAAAATAAGTATTTGGTCAATAACAAAAGTTTCTCAATACTTTGTTATATACCCTTTGTTGGCAATGACACAGGTCAAACGTTTTCTGTAAGTCTTCACAAGGTTTTCACACACTGTTGCTGGTATTTTGGCCCATTCCTCCATGCAGATCTCCTCTAGAGCAGTGATGTTTTGGTGCTGTCGCCTGGCAACACGGACTTTCAACTCCCTCCAAAGATTTTCTATGGGGTTGAGATCTGGAGACTGGCTAGGCCACTCCAGGACCTTGAAATGCTTCTTACGAAGCCACTCCTTCGTTGCCCGGGCGGTGTGTTTGGGATCATTGTCATGCTGAAAGACCCAGCCACGTTTCATCTTCAATGCCCTTGCTGATGGAAGGAGGTTTTCACTCAAAATCTCACGATACATGGCCCCATTCATTCTTTCCTTTACACGGATCAGTCGTCCTGGTCCCTTTGCAAAAAAACTGCCCCAAAGCATGATGTTTCCACCCCCATGCTTCACAGTAGGTATGGTGTTCTTTGGATGCAACTCAGCATTCGTTGTCCTCCAAACACGACGAGTTGAGTTTTTACCAAAAAGTTCTATTTTGGTTTCATCTGACCATATGACATTCTCCCAATCCTCTTCTGGATCATCCAAATGCACTCTAGCAAACTTCAGACGGGCCTGGACATGTACTGGCTTAAGCAGGGGGACACGTCTGGCACTGCAGGATTTGAGTCCCTGGCGGCGTAGTGTGTTACTGATGGTAGGCTTTGTTACTTTGGTCCCAGCTCTCTGCAGGTCATTCACTAGGTCCCCCCGTGTGGTTCTGGGATTTTTGCTCACCGTTCTTGTGATCATTTTGACCCCACGGGGTGAGATCTTGCGTGGAGCCCCAGATCGAGGGAGATTATCAGTGGTCTTGTATGTCTTCCATTTCCTAATAATTGCTCCCACAGTTGATTTCTTCAAACCAAGCTGCTTACCTATTGAAGATTCAGTCTTCCCAGCCTGGTGCAGGTCTACAATTTTGTTTCTGGTGTCCTTTGACAGCTCTTTGGTCTTGGCCATAGTGGAGTTTGGAGTGTGACTGTTTGAGGTTGTGGACAGGTGTCTTTTATACTGATAACAAGTTCAAACAGGTGCCATTAATACAGGTAACGAGTGGAGGACAGAGGAGCCTCTTAAAGAAGAAGTTACAGGTCTGTGATAGCCAGAAATCTTGCTTGTTTGTAGGTGACCAAATAATTATTTTCCACCATAATTTGCAAATTCATTAAAAATCCTACATTGTGATTTTCTGGATTTTGTTTTCTCAATTTGTCTGTCATAGTTGACGTGTACCTATGATGAAAATTACAGGCCTCTCTCATCTTTTTAAGTGGGAGAACTTGCACAATTGGTGGCTGACTAAATACTTTTTTTCCCCACTGTATCTATATTCCCAGTCATGTAAAATCCATAAATTAGGGCCTAATAAATGTATTTCAATTGACTGATTTCCTCATATGAATTGTAACTCAGTAAAATCAATAAAATTGTTGCATGTTGTGTTTATATTTTTGTTCAGTATAAATGAATGTGTATTCTTGACTTAAGAGAATAGTGCACACATCAGTCCAGGGACAGACTGACCATATAGCATTTTTGGCAAATGCCAGATGGGCTGGTCCATCTAATAGCCAAGTGCACCTGTCTAAATTGTGTGTGTGGGGTGTGTTTGTTGTCCTTATTTTAATACACATTTTAAGCCATTATTTGACTTATTACACTAATTCCTTATTTAGTTATAGCCATACAAAATCAACGTAGTTCCTCCTAATTAGAATGAATGGTGGCCATCTTGGAAATATGGTGCCTGTCTAGTCCCCTTCATCTCAAATCAAATACAATTTTATTGGTCGCATACACATATTTAACAGATGTTATTGCGGGTGTAGTGAAATTATTGCAGTAGTATCTAACAATTCACAACAATACACACAAATCTAAAAATAAAAGAATGGAATTAAGAAATATAGAAATATTAGGACAAGTGGCATTGACTATGACTAAAACAGTGGAAACATTATTAAATTGACCTGTGTTCCATTACTAAAGTGACCAATGATTCCATGTCTATGTACATAGGGCAGCAGCCTATAAGGTGCAGGGTTGAGTAACCGGGTGGTAGCCGGCTAGTGACAGTGACTAAGTTCAGGGCAGGGTACTGGGTGGAGGCCGGCTAGTGATGGCTATTTAACAGTCTGATGGCCTTCAGATAGAAGCTGTTTTTCAGTCTCTCGGTCCCAGCTTTGATGCACCTGTACTGACCTCGCCTTCTGGATGATAGCGGGGTGAACAGGCCGTGGCTCGGGTGGTTGATGTCCTTGGTGATCTCGTTGGCCTTCCTGTGACATCGGGTGCTGTAGGTGTCCTGGATTGAAGTGATCGAAGTGGATTTAACAAGTGACATCAATAAGGGATCATAGCTTTCACCTGCATTTACCTGGTCAGTCTATGTCATGGAAAGAGCAGGTGTTCTTCATGTTTTGTATATACTGTATACTCAGTGTAAGATGAGTCTGTACAACAACAACAAAAAATTCTCAATGGGTCTCCTTGTTGTGTGACATTTGGTGTTAGTTATCATCTAGGTACCATGTCATAATGGAGCACTTCCCTATACTGTACGTCCATTCTGGCTCGATGTATACCCCAAAATGCAAAGGTTTGACCTTTGACCCCCCCACGGTGGACCCATAGAGATGTCACTACTGTTGTAATTATTCCATACCTTCTTTCATGTTGTATTATGAAGTTAATAACATATCAATACCTTGTTTTGAGAAGATTGTTGTTTTATAATACATTTCATACAATCAATCCAGTTGTCCCAATTAAAAGCATAGGGGTCATAACATTAATGCAGTGATAACACAGTTAGCTCTGTCCGATAGTGGTTATCATACCAAAATATAACTCCCAGACATGTACCTTTGCCACCCCATAGTGGACCAATATGTGAAATTTGGCCCTCTGGCCCATGGACTATTGATCTAATTCATTATCAGAGCACCATTACATTTACATTTTAGTCATTTAGCAGACGCTCTTATCCAGAGCGACTTACAGTTAGTGAGTGCATACATTTTTACATTTTTTTTTTTTTTCATACTGGCCCCCTGTGGGAATCGAACCCACAACCCTGGCGTTGCAAACGCCATGCTCTACCAACTGAGCTACATCCCTGCCGGCCATTCCCTCCCCTACCCTGGATGACGCTGGGCCAATTGTGCGCCGCCCCATGGCTCCACCATGCATGCCAGGATGCCACCATATGTGAGAACAATTAATGCAAGGACAATATTTCAAGTATGAAAACACTTTTATTGGTAAAGCATTTCTATGACAAAAAAATCTTACATTTAAGAATAAAAAATATAGCAAAATTACAATCTCAAGTCTTTTACAAGGCCATCTTTACGATTTCTCTAGCAACATATTGCTTTTTGCACACAATGTTTTCTCAGTGTATGAACATTGTTGTTTATTAAGGCATCTAGATGTTTACAATCCAAAACTTCATCCAAAAACACTGATTTGCAGACATTGTCTGTGGTTGTTTAGAACAGAAAAATACTCTGTACCTTTCATTATTTGTTCCACCACTTTGCTTTGATGTTCTTCAATCTCATGAATATAACTGTGCTTTATTACTACACAATAGAATGATTACAGGTTGATAAAAACGACATTCCTGCCATATACCCTGCCACAATACAAGACACTATGCAGATACAGTTCCGACATACCAGCATATGATCACCCAGAAAAGAACATAACGCAACACAAATGCAACTGTCTTGCCATTACAAAAAGCATAGGCTACAACATTACTACACTACACAATGAATGACATAACTGTAGAGGCACATATACACTGTATCTGTTAGGATTCACTGAAATGATTACCATATAATAATCTGCCTTATTATTATAACTTGATGCGTTATCAGTCAATATATTCCTGACCCTGCTCATGTGGAATGGTTACTTTGGTATATCAAAGTGATTCTTTGGAAGTCTCAGTTGTCCAGTGATTTGACTGATGAATGTGCTGGCTGTAATGTCATTTTGATTGCATATATCATAATATAAAATCCATTCCACCAACTAGCATTGAGGCTTATACAAGTGATATAGGTTCCTTTCGAATTATATCAGTGAAATATATAGAGAATTTTACATTCTCTTCCAAGTCTCACTGATAGCCCTGTAGAGAGAGGGTGAAACGAAGCAACATTCAGTGTTATCAGACGCTTCAGTGTTTCATCATGGAATATAAAGTGCCATTGTAGAGTCATTGCTCTGTTCCCCTTCATTTGCACTTGCTCCTTTGGCCTCCGAGAAATGATCTCTTTCCACACAGCAACAAAGGTCAGCAGGTACGATACTCCCAACTCTCAATAGATCCACATCTTTGATGCGTCTTTTGGAACATTGTCATCATCATCATCATCATACTGATGAAGTCGTCATTGGTTTTTTAAATCAACAGACATCACTAAATTTAGCAGCGTTTGTAAGAACCTCTGTTAATGCCTTCTAAAATAACATCTTCCTCGCTCCATGGCAGGATGGTAATCTTCAAAGTTTGTGCAAGTCAGGTCCTCTGCTGTATTTCCTTGTTTTATAAGAGCTTCTTTGTACCCATTCGACTAGGGTCATTGCTCTGTGTCACTGAGCTTGCCGTCTGATGCCTCGATCATGGCCCGGAATCTGGAGTTGTCATCTGCCAGCAGGGCAGCAGGGGTGTCGAACTCCAAAATCTGGAATGAAGAAAATAAATGAAAATAAATAAGTTCTGACCAACAAGTATTTTGACCCACTAGAGAAATGTTTCCTTAGGTGTACAGTAGTAAATCAGATATTTTGTTTAGTATATGCTGTTAACCCTTTACACTCGTACCCATATACGGGTTGAAAATGGCAGATTTGGACACTGATATTCACACAACCCTGAGTCAACACTTTGTAGAAGCACCTTTGGAAGTGATTACAGCTGTGAGTCTTTCTGGGTAAGTTTGTAAGAGCTTTCCACACCTGGATTGTGCAACATTTGCCCAATTGTTTGTTGCTCAGTCCTAGACAACCATTTTCAAGTCTTGCCATAATTTAAGTCAAAACTGTAACTCGGCCCACTCAGGAACATTCACTGTCCTCTTGGCAAGCAACTCCAGTGTAGATTTGGCCTTGTGTTTTAGGTTATTGTCCTGCTGAAAGGTGAATTCATCTCCCAGTGTCTGGTGGAAAGCAGACTGAACCAGATTTTCCTCTAGGATTTTGCCTGTGCTTAGCGCCATTCCGTTTCTTTTTTATTCTGAAAAACTCCCCAGGCTTTAACGATTACACACATACCCATAACATGATGCAGCCACCACTATAATTGAAGTGTGGAGAACTATAGTTCTTAGTAATGTGTTATATTGGATTTGCCCCAAACATAACACTTTCTATTCAGGACAAAAAGTGAATTGCTTTGCCACATGTTTTGCAGTATTACATTAGTGCCTTGTTGCAAACAGGATGCATGTTTTGGAATATTTTTTATTCTGTACAGGCTTCCTCCTTTTCACTCTGTCATTTAGGTTAGTATTGTGGAGTAATTACAATGTTGTTGATCCATCCAGTTCTCTCATATCACAGCCATTAAACTCTGTAACTGTTTTAAAGTCACCATTGGCCTCATGGTGAAATCCCTGAGTGGTTTCCTTCCTCTCCGGCAGCTGAGTTAAGAAGGACGCCTGTATCTTTGTAGTGACTGGGTGTATTGATACACCATCCAAAGTGTAATTAATAACTTCACCATGCTCAAAGAGATATTCAATGTCTGCTTTTAATTTTTTTACCCATCTACCAATAGGTGCCCTTCTTTGCGAAGTATTGGTAATCGTCCCTGGTCTTTGTGGTTGAATCTGTCTTTCAAATTCACTGCTCGACTGAGGGACCTCACAGATAATTGTATGTGTGGGGTGCAGAGATGACGTAGCCGTTCAAAAATCCTGTTAACCACTATTATTCCACACAGAGTGAGTCCATGCAACTTATTATGTGACTTGTTAAGCACTTATTTAGGCTGGCCATAACAAAGGGGTTGAATACTTATTGACTCAAGACATTTCAGCTTTTCATTTTTAATTAATTCCATCTTGACATTATGGGTTATTGTGTGTAGGCCAGTAACAAAAGATCTCAATTGAATCCATTTTAAATTCAGGCTGTAACACAACAAAATGTAGAAAAAGTCAAGGGGTGTGAAAACTTTCTGAAGGCACTGTATATATTTTACACTATACTATAAACCCAGAATTAGAATAAGGTAATACTCTATGACTTCAAATGTGTTTCATTAGCCACTGGTATGATTCAATAGATACAATGGTTACAAGTCCCTCTCAAATAAACACAGAGCTAAGAGGTGCAGAACATAGAAGAAATAGAATGATATGGCTGTGTCCCAAATGGCACCCTATTCCCTATAGGCCCTGGTCAAAAGTAGTGCACTACATAGGGAATAGGGTGCCATTTGAGACACATTCTATATTTCTATGGTGCAGAAGACCCACCTGTCCCTGGTCCAACACCATGACCCTGTTACAGCTCATCACAGTGTTGAGGCGATGGGCGATGATCAGCGTGGTGCAGCTGCTGAATGACTCGCGGATGGTCTCCTGAATCAGCCGGTCTGTCTCTGTGTCGATGGCTGCAGTCGCCTCATCCAACAGCAAGATCTGGCAACCAAACGTATGTCACATTTAAGCACACTTTGCAGAGGTTCAATCACAAAGGTAACAATATAGAAAATACTGGACAAATTATATTGGGTCTTTGAATATGGATGTGTATATTACAATCTTTAGGACTATTATACAGTGGGGAAAAAAAGTATTTAGTCAGCCACCAATTGTGCAAGTTCTCCCACTTAAAAAGATGAGAGAGGCCTGTAATTTTCATCATAGGTACAAGACCCAGCCACGTTTCATCTTCAATGCCCTTGCTGATGGAAGGAGGTTTTCACTCAAAATCTCACGATACATGGCCCCATTCATTCTTTCCTTTACACGGATCAGTCGTCCTGGTCCCTTTGCAGAAAAACAGCCCCAAAGCATGATGTTTCCACCCCCATGCTTCACAGTAGGTATGGTGTTCTTTGGATGCAACTCAGCATTCTTTGTCCTCCAAACACGACGAGTTGAGTTTTTACCAAAAAGTTCTATTTTGGTTTCATCTGACCATATGACATTCTCCCAATCCTCTTCTGGATCATCCAAATGCACTCTAGCAAACTTCAGACGGGCCTGGACATGTACTGGCTTAAGCAGGGGGACACGTCTGGCACTGCAGGATTTGAGTCCCTGGCGGCGTAGTGTGTTACTGATGGTAGGCTTTGTTACTTTGGTCCCAGCTCTCTGCAGGTCATTCACTAGGTCCCCCCGTGTGGTTCTGGGATTTTTGCTCACCGTTCTTGTGATCATTTTGACCCCACGGGGTGAGATCTTGCGTGGAGCCCCAGATCGAGGGAGATTATCAGTGGTCTTGTATGTCTTCCATTTCCTAATAATTGCTCCCACAGTTGATTTCTTCAAACCAAGCTGCTTACCTATTGCAGATTCAGTCTTCCCAGCCTGGTGCAGGTCTACAATTTTGTTTCTGGTGTCCTTTGACAGCTCTTTGGTCTTGGCCATAGTGGAGTTTGGAGTGTGACTGTTTGAGGTTGTGGACAGGTGTCTTTTATACTGATAACAAGTTCGAACAGGTACCATTAATACAGGTAACGAGTGGAGGACAGAGGAGCCTCTTAAAGAAGAAGTTACAGGTCTGTGAGAGCCAGAAATCTTGCTTGTTTGTAGGTGACCAAATACTTATTTTCCACCATAATTTGCAAATAAATTAATAATAATAATAATAATATGCCATTTAGCAGACGCTTTTATCGAAAGCGACTTACAGTCATGCGTGATAAAAATCCTACAATGTGATTTTCTGGATTTTTTTCCCTCATTTTGTCTGTCATAGTTGACGTGTACCTATGATGAAAATTACAGGCCTCTCTCATCTTTTTAAGTGGGAGAACTTGCACAATTGGTGGCTGACTAAATACTTTTTCCCCCCACTGTAACTATAATGTAGGACTAGTCCCTAAACTTATTTTATCATCTTCAGTTGATTGAATTTCCAACTGCATTCTATAGAATCAGAGTGACATAACAACACAAGCCATGTGGTGGCAATGTTACACCTTGGAGAAGCTGCTGCCTTCTGCCCGTCTTATGTGACTACCTCAAAATTAGGATGTGAGGCACAAAAGCTTTCCACTATAGTAACAGAATAGAGAAAATCAATCTAACTGGCCTTGTCTATTGTCCTGTGTGTGTGGTGTGGAGAGAAAGATATGTGACGCTAGAGTGTGTGTGTGTGTGTGTGCGCACGTGCGTGTGTGGATGTGTCTGTGTGTGTTTACCTTGCTGTGTCTCAGCAGTGCTCTTGCTACACACAGTAGTTGTCTCTCTCCCACTGAGAAGTTCTCTCCATTCTCTGTCACCTCAGACTGGAGAGAGTGGGGCAGTTGGCTGATCTGAACATGATTAGAGACAAAATGGAGTCAAAACACAAGCCACATATATCGTTTTCAACTGTTCAAAAATCTCTAGAGGGGATCTTTAATCTTAAACAGGTCTAGGATTTGTTATCAATACCTCTCAACGTTAGTAACACTATCAGAAGGTGTAAAAGGCAATGGATACATACAGTGGGGAGAACAAGTATTTGATACACTGCCGATTTTGCAGGTTTTCCTACTTACAAAGCATGTAGAGGTCTGTAATTTTTATCATAGGTACACTTCAACTGTGAGAGACGGAATCTAAAACAAAAATCCAGAAAATCACATTGTATGATTTTTAAGTAATTAATTAGCATTTTATTGCATGACATAAGTATTTGATCACCTACCAACCAGTAAGAATTCCGGCTCTCACAGACCTGTTAGTTTTTCTTTAAGAAGCCCTCCTGTTCTCCACTCATTACCTGTATTAACTGCACCTGTTTGAACTCGTTACCTGTATAAAAGACACCTGTCCACACACTCAATCAAACAGACTCCAACCTCTCCACAATGGCCAAGACCAGAGAGCTGTGTAAGGACATCAGGGATAAAATTGTAGACCTGCACAAGGCTGGGATGGGCTACAGGACAATAGGCAAGCAGCTTGGTGAGAAGGCAACAACTGTTGGCGCAATTATTAGAAAATGTAAGAAGTTCAAGATGATGGTCAATCACCCTCGGTCTGGGGCTCCATGCAAGATCTCACCTCGTGGGACATCAATGATCATGAGGAAGGTGAGGGATCAGCCCAGAACTACACAGCAGGACCTGGTCAATGACCTGAAGAGAGCTGGGACCACAGTCTCAAAGAAAACCATTAGTAACACACTACGCCGTCATGGATTAAAATCCTGCAGCACACGCAAGGTCCCCCTGCTCAAGCCAGCGCATGTCCAAGCCCGTCTGAAGTTTGCCAATGACCATCTGGATGATCCAGAGGAGGAATGGGAGAAGCTCATGTGGTCTGATGAGACAAAAATATAGCTTTTTGGTCTAAACTCCACTCGCCGTGTTTGGAGGAAGAAGAAGGATGAGTACAACCCCAAGAACACCATCCCAACCGTGAAGCATGGAGGTGGAAACATCATTCTTTGGGGATGCTTTTCTGCAAAGGGGACAGGACGACTGCACCGTATTGAGGGGAGGATGGATGGGGCCATGTAACGCGAGATCTTGGCCAACAACCTCCTTCCCTCAGTAAGAGCATTGAAGATGGGTCGTGGCTGGGTCTTCCAGCATGACAACGACCCGAAACACACAACCAGGGCAACTAAGGAGTGGCTCCATAAGAAGCATCTCAAGGTCCTGGAGTGGCCTAGCCAGTCTCCAGACCTGAACCCAATAGAAAATATTTGGAGGGAGCTGAAAGTCCGTATTGCCCAGCGACAGCACCGAAACCTGAAGGATCTGGAGAAGGTCTGTATGGAGGAGTGGGCCAAAATCCCTGCTGCAGTGTGTGCAAACCTGGTCAAGACCTACAGGAAACGTATGATCTCTGTACCAAATATTAAGTTCTGCTTTTCTGATGTATCAAATACTTATGTCATGCAATAAAATGCAAATTAATTACTTAAAAATCATACAATGTGATTTTATGGATTTTTGTTATAGATTCCATCTCTCACAGTTGAAGTGTACCTATGATAAAAATTACAGACCTCTACATGCTTTGTAAGTAGGAAAACCTACAAAATCGGCAGTGTATCAAATACTTGTTCTCTCCACTGTAATATGATGGCAACATAAGGACTACTTGACATTTGCATACAGACATTTATAAATATATTTGGGGTCAAACTGACGTATTGCCTACTCTACTTATGTTAACATTTACCCCATCTATCCCTACTTACCATCTCCTTTATATGGGTCCTCTCAAGTGCATCCCAGATCTGGGCATCTGAGTATTGATTCCATGGGTCCAGATTGGACCTATTTGGTAAGAAAAATAAGAATAAAGAATCAATCTCTATCATTCTAAACAGGCCTAGATAACAGCACAACAGTCAGGTGAAGTTGCCCCTGGGGTCAGTTTGACATTTTCCCCACTAATGGTTAAAGGGATACTTTGGTATTTTTGGTAATGTCCTACTTACCCAGAGTCAGACAAACTCATGTCATGGATACCATTTGTACGTCTCTGTGTGCAGTTTGAAGGAAGTTGAAGGTAGCATATCGTTAGCTTAGCGCAATTGTTGGAAGTCTATGAGTATCTACTAGCCAGCTCCTCTCAAAAGCAGGGAAATAGACCTAACTATTCAAAAGCTGGGTGGTTAGCACTTTGTACTCTAAGTATTCATTACAAGTATATATGAAATTATGTTTTATTATAGTTATTTTTGAAACTATTTTCTCTGAACTATGCATTTCATTCATCCGCTGTGATGGTGGGCGCAAGCATAGGCTGTGCGCGAGTGTCAACACAGCAGGCCAGCTGAGACAGCGGCAGTTTGAACGTGTTTGCTAGCTAGATATCAAGTAAGAAAAGTGTGAGAAGATAAACCTCACAAAAGAAAAAGAGGACATACTGCCAATGCTTGTCCAGAGCAATATTTTTACCTTGCAGCCGTGACTGTGAAGATTGTTGACACTGCTAGAAGATGAGCGAGAAAGTTAGAGGCATAAAAAAAATGCTAACCTCCCCTGTTATTGTAATGGTGAGAGGTTGGCATGTCTTGGGGGTATGATATTTGTGCATCTGCAACTTTCTCAGTCATCATTATTCACAATTCATTCAGGACTATCCGTGATCATGGTAGCATCCACATTAATGTAGAAGTGTTAAGAAACATATTATATTCTTATTTACAATAAAAGTGACTCCAAAATGACACAATACATTATTTACCATTCATTTCTATTGGCAACAAAATTATCTGAACAAAGCGACTTACAGTCATGCGTGCATACATTTTTGTGTATGGGTGGTCCCGGGGATCGAACCCACTACCTTGGCGTTACAAGCGCCGTGCTCTACCAGCTGAGCTACAGAGGACCACAACCAAAACAAACAGCAAATGGATCCAACATGTTTCTAGGAATATGGGACCAAATACTAAACTTTTGACTACATTAATACACAAGTGAATTTGTCCCAATACTTTTGGTCCGCTAAAATGGGGGGACTATGTACAAAAAGTGCTGTAATTTTTTTACGGTTCACCCGATATGGATGAAAATACACTCAAATTAAAGCTGACAGTCTGCAACCTTATAGTCATTGTATAATTTCAAATCCAAAGTGCTGGTGTACAGAGCCAAAACAACAAAAACATTTTCACCGTAGAAACGTTTGTAAATGTATTAAAAATAAAAAACTGAAATAAACCATTTACATAAGTATTCAGACCCTATACTGTTGAAGCACCTTTGGCAGCGATTACAGCCTTGAGTCTTCTTGGGTATGACGCTACAAGATTGGCACACCTGAATTTGTGGAGTTTCTCCCATTCCTCTTTGCAGATCCTCTCACGCTCTGTCAGATTGGATGGGGAGCGTTACTGCACAGCTATTTTCAGGTCTCTCCAGAGATGTTGGATCGGGTTCAAGTCCGGGCTCTGGCTGCGCCACTCAAGGACATTCAAAGACTTGTCCCGAAGCCACTCCTGCGTTGTCTTGGCTGTGTGCTTAGAGTCGTTGTCCTGTTGGAAGGTGAACCTTCACCCCAGTCGGAGGTCCTGAGCGCTCTGGAGCAGGTTTTCATCAAGGATCTCTCTGTACTTTGCTCCGTTCATCTTTGCCTCGATCCTGACTAGTCTCCCAGTCCCTGCGGCTGAAGAACGTCCCCACAGCATGATGCTGCCACCACCATGCTTCAACGTAGGGATGGTGCCAGGTTTCCTCCAGACGTGATGCTTGGCATTCAGGCCAAAGAGTTCAATCTTGGTTTCATCAGACCAGAGAATCTTGTTTCTCATGGTCTGAGAGTCTTGTAGGTGCCTTTTGGCAAACTCCAAGCGGGCTGTCATGTGTCTTTTACTGAGGAGTGGATTCCATCTGGCCACTCTACCATAAAGGCCTGATTGGTGGAGTGCTGCAGAGATGGTTATCCATCTGGAAGGTTCTCCCATCTCCACAGAGGAACTCTAGAGATCTGTCAGAGTGACCATCGGGTTCTTGGTCACATCCCTGACCAAGGACCTTCTCCCCCGATTGCTCAGTTTGGCCGAGCAGCCAGCTCTAGGAAGAGTATTGGTGGTTCCAAACTTCTTCCATTTAAGAATGATGGAGGCCACGGTGTTCTTGGGGACCTTCAATGCTGCAGAAAGGTTTTGGTACCCTGCCTCGACACAATTCTTTCTCAGAGCTCTACGGACAATTCCTTTAACCTCATTGCTTGGTTTTTGCTCTGACATGCACAGGTGGACTCCAATCAAGTTGTAGAAACATCTCAAGGATGATCAATTGAAAAAGGTGGCACCTGAGCTCAATTTCGAGTGTCATAGCAAAGGGTCTGAATATTTATTTAAATAAGGTATTTCTGTTTCTTAGTTTTTAATAAATGTGCAAAAATGTCTAAAAACCGTTTTTCGCTTTGTAAATGTCAATTTTTTATAAACCCTCTTTGATTGTTAGTTGCCATGAATATAACGTTAGCTAGCTAGGTAACAACACTCTGACCAAGGACCTCAGAAAGTTAGTAGTTTCCTCCGATTTTTTATTACCATGTGTCTATTATGAGAGAATGGAACTGACAAGCCATAAGACGAGACATTTCCTGAGGGATACAAGCGGTCCCATCAGTGGGCATTCTACGCACGCTAGAACAAAGTGGAATGGGGGTAAGTGTGATGATGAGATCTTATATTATCTGATTGATTCAATAGTAGCTAGCTGCTCTCATGATAAAATGTGATAGGCCTGTCAATTCTCTTGTGGATAGGCTGTCCATGTCCTTCGTGATGTCCTCCTCTCAAAGCCAAAGAAAAGCTGAGTACAACAAAACGACTAAGAATGCTCAAAACTATGTGCTCTCCTTTTTTCATTATTCAACATTGAGTGGTGCCATTATTTTAGTCTTTATTCAACTTGATTCAAGTACTTTCAAACTAATTAGACAATTTCCACATTCTTGAGAAACAAATAAATTGACTTGACTTCATAGTGTTAGCCATGTAATAGATGACTGCATGTGTTACTACTTCCTCCGAAGCTGCCACCTCTCCTTGTTCGGGCAGGCTTCGGCATTTGTCGTCACCGGCCTTCTAGCCACTGCCGCTCCTCATCTCATCATTCCATTTGTTTTGTCTTGTTTGTTACACACACCTGGTTCATATCCCCTCATCAGTACCTGCATAAGTGTTCCCTCTGCCCCCTTGTCTTTGTGTGTGATTGTTTATTGTGGAGGATAGCTAAGCTCGGTGGAGCTCCTTGTATTTTGTATCGCCGGGATATTTCCCTGTGACTTGTATTTTCCAGTGCGCCTGTTTTGCGCACTGGAGTGTTTGACGCATTTCTGTGTAGCTCTGTATTTGCGGAATAAAGCCTGTTATTCTGTGACTTACCCTCCTGCGCCTGACTCCTTCGACATCACCTCATCACAGCATGCCACAAAAACAGAACAGCTATTACGGCCTTCTTCAAGTGTGTTCTCCTTTGTTTATTTCAAATGATTACCACCACTTCCGGTTCCCTTTTCCTTTATTTCTTACTCTGGTTGAGATAGGAGACATGCCTGCTGTGGACAGTCCACAAGGAACGGACTCCATGTTTGCTGGAGTAACATCACATTCAGAACCAGAATAGAGGACAAGCCTCAACCGTTGCTGTTAAGTACTCAAAATATGCCATCAATGTTCTGGTTTACACTTTAGCACTTGTTTTGTCATATTGGGATGGTAATGCAATCATTGGCCTGTCCAGACACATCTATTCTAACAAAAGGACAGGTAGCCCAATTGCCCATCCAGGATATTTTGGTTGACTTGGGGAAAGTGGAAGGTTTCTTTGGTGCCCTTTTTGTAGTGTGGGACCTGACTATATCCACTACACTAATCTGATCAACTGCATCCAGCCTGAATGCAACGTAGCAAACCAAGAAGTGTCCCATATGTTCTTCCTATATGTATGGCAACATCCTTGTGTTTACATTGTATTAACTGGTTTATCATCTCCTCTTTCCTCATTTCAGACACTCCAAGATTCAATGTTGTCCACCCAAAATAAATCAAAACAGTGGATTGCCCGGCCAATATATCAGCCCAGCACGCAAAGATTCAGGAATGACCTGATGGAGCGCGTCCTGAAGAGAAGCATGGATAGCCCCATCCCAAATCCAACATACAGTGGGGAAAAAAAGTATTTAGTCAGCCACCAATTGTGCAAGTTTTCCCACTTAAAAAGATGAGAGAGGCCTGTAATTGTCATCATAGGTACACGTCAACTATGACAGACAAATTGAGATTTTTTTTCTCCAGAAAATCACATTGTAGGATTTTTTATGAATTGATTTGCAAATTATGGTGGAAAATAAGTATTTGGTCACCTACAAACAAGCAAGATTTCTGGCTCTCACAGACCTGTAACTTCTTCTTTAAGAGGCTCCTCTGTCCTCCACTCGTTACCTGTATTAATGGCACCTGTTTGAACTTGTTATCAGTATAAAAGACACCTGTCCAAAACCTCAAACAGTCACACTCCAAACTCCACTATGGCCAAGACCAAAGAGCTGTCAAAGGACACCAGAAACAAAATTGTAGACCTGCACCAGGCTGGGAAGACTGAATCTGCAATAGGTAAGCAGCTTGGTTTGAAGAAATCAACTGTGGGAGCAATTATTAGGAAATGGAAGACATACAAGACCACTGATAATCTCCCTCGATCTGGGGCTCCACGCAAGATCTCACCCCATGGGGTCAAAATGATCACAAGAACGGTGAGCAAAAATCCCTGAACCACACGGGGGGACCTAGTGAATGACCTGCAGAGAGCTGGGACCAAAGTAACAAAGCCTACCATCAGTAACACACTACGCCGCCAGGGACTCAAATCCTGCAGTGCAAGACTTGTCCCCCTGCTTAAGCCAGTACATGTCCAGGCCCGTCTGAAGTTTGCTAGAGTGCATTTGGATGATCCAGAAGAGGATTGGGAGAATGTCATATGGTCAGATGAAACCAAAATATAACTTTTTGGTATAAACTCAACTCGTCGTGTTTGGAGGACAAAGAATGCCGAGTTGCATCCAAAGAACACCATACCTACTGTGAAGCATGGGGGTGGAAACATCATGCTTTGGGGCTGTTTTTCTGCAAAGGGACCAGGACGACTGATCCGTGTAAAGGAAAGAATGAATGGGGCCATGTATCGTGAGATTTTGAGTGAAAACCTCCTTCCATCAGCAAGGGCATTGAAGATGAAACGTGGCTGGGTCTTTCAGCATGACAATGATCCCAAACACACCGCCCGGGCAACGAAGGAGTGGCTTCGTAAGAAGCATTTCAAGGTCCTGGAGTGGCCTAGCCAGTCTCCAGATCTCAACCCCATAGAAAATCTTTGGAGGGAGTTGAAAGTCTGTGTTGCCCAGCGACAGCCCCAAAACATCACTGCTCTAGAGGAGATCTGCATGGAGGAATGGGCCAAAATACCAGCAACAGTGTGTGAAAACCTTGTGAAGACTTACAGAAAACGTTTGACCTGTGTCATTGCCAACAAAGGGTATATAACAAAGTATTGAGAAACTTTTGTTACTTATTTTCCACCATAATTTGCAAATAAATTCATTAAAAATCCTACAATGTGATTTTCTGGAAAAAAAATCTCATTTTGTCTGTCATAGCTGACGTGTACCTATGATGAAAATTACAGGCCTCTCTCATCTTTTTAAGTGGGAGAACTTGCACAATTGGTGGCTGACTAAATACTTTTTTTCCCCCACTGTAGCCCCATCCCAAATCCAACATAGTCCCATCCCAAATCCAACATAGCCCCATCCCAAATCCTACATAGCCCCACCCAAATCCCATAGCCCATCCAAACCAACATAGCCCACCAACAACATAGCCCCTCCCAAACCAACATAGCCCCATCCAACCAATGCCCATCCCAAAACCAACATAGCCCCATCCCAAAACCACATAGCCCCATCCCAAACCAACTAGCCCCATCCCAAAACCAACATAGCCCCATCCCAAAACCAACATAGCCCCATCCCAAAACCAACATAGCCCCATCCCAAAACCCAGTTAGGAGGATGTCATTATTGGTTTATTAGGATCCCCATTAGCTTTTGCTGAAGCAGAAGCTATTCTTCTGTAGACTACTACATAACAGCACCCCCATACCATTCACTGTAGACTACTACATAACAGCACCCCCATACCATTCACTGTAGACTACTACATAACAGCACCCCCATACCATTCACTGTAGACTACTACATAACAGCACCCCCATACCGTTCACTGTAGACTACTACTAACAGCACCCCCATACCTTCACGTAACTACTACATAACACACCCCCATACCATTCACTGTAGACTACTACATAACAACCCCCCATACCATTCACTAGATACTAATAACGCACCCCATACCATTCACTGTGACTGCTACAAACAGCACCCCCATACCATTCACTGTAGACTACTACATAACAGCACCCCCATACCGTTCACTGTAGACTACCACTCCATAACAGCTCCCCCATACCATTCACTGTAGACTACTACTACATAACAGCACCCCCATACCATTCACTGTAGATTACCACTCCATAACAGCACCCCCATACCATTCACTGTAGACTACTACTGGACATAACAGCACCCCCATACCATTCACTGTAGACTACATAACAGCACCCCCATACCATTCACTGTAGACTACTACATAACAGCACCCCCATACCATTCACTGTAGACTACTAAATAACAGCACCCCCATACCATTACTGTAGACTACACATAACAGCACCCCCCATACCATTCACTGTAGACTACTACATAACAGCACCCCCATACCATTCACTGTAGACTACTACATAACAGCACCCCCATATCATTCACTGTAGACTACTAAATAACAGCACCCCCATACCATTCACTGTAGACTACTACATAACAGCACCCCCATACCATTCACTGTAGACTACTACATAACAGCACCCCCATACCATTCACTGTAGACTACTACATAACAGCAACCCCATACCGTTCACTGTAGACTACTACATAACAGCACACCCATACCATTCACTGTAGACTACCATTCCATAACAGCACCCCCATACCATTCACTGTAGACTACTACTGGACATAACAGCACCCCCATACCATTCACTGTAGACTACCACTCCATAACAGCACCCCCATACCATTCACTGTAGACTACTACTGGACATAACAGCACCCCCATACCATTCACTGTAGACTACATAACAGCACCCACATACCATTTCACTGTAGACTACATAAACAGCACCACCCCCATTACCATTCACTGTAGACTACTACATAACAGCACCCCCATACCATTCACTGTAGAACTACTACATACAGCACCCCCCCATACCATTCACTGTAGACTACTACATAACAGCACCCCCATACCATTCACTGTAGACTACTACATAACAGCACCCCCATACCGTTCACTGTAAACTACTACATAACAGCACCCCCATACCATTCTCTGTAGACCACTACATAACAGCACCCCCATACCATTCACTGTAAACTACTACATAACAGCACCCCCATACCGTTCACTGTAGACTACTACATAACAGCACCCCCATACCATTCACTGTAGATTACTACATAACAGCACCCCCATACCGTTCACTGTAGACTACTACATAACAGCACCCCCATACCATTCACTGTAGACTACTACATAACAGCACCTTCATACCATTCACTGTAGACTACTACATAACAGCACCTTCATACCATTCACTATAGACTACTCCATAACAACACCCCCATACCATTCACTGTAGACTACTACTGGACATAACAACACCCCCATACCATTCACTGTAGACTACCACTCCATAACAGCTCCCCCATACCATTCACTGTAGACTACTACATAACAGCACCCCCATACCGTTCACTGTAGACTACTACTGGACATAACAGCTCCCCCATACCATTCACTGTAGACTACCACTCCATAACAGCTCCCCCATAGCATTCACTGTAGACTACTACAGAACAGCACCCCCATACCTACTTTGTACTGTCTATTTTATTGTATATTTGACCTTTTATTGATGTGCATTGTGTGAATGTCTATACTGTATATTGTATATCTCATCTTTTTAAGTGGGAGAACTTGCACAATTGGTGGCTGACTAAATCCTTTTTTTCCCCACTGTAGCCCCATCCCAAATCCAACATAGTCCCATCCCAAATCCAACATAGCCCCATCCCAAATCCAACATAGCCCCATCCCAAATCCAACATAGCCCCATCCCAAACCAACATAGCCCCATCCCAAAACCAACATAGCCCCATCCCAAAACCAACATAGCCCCATCCCAAACCTAAGAGATGTCATTATGCTTTATTAGCATCCCATACTTTGCCTGAAGCATAGCATCTCTGTAAACTACTACAAACAAGCCCCACCCCCCCATACCATCACTGAGAATACTAACATAGCCCCACCCAAACCATCACTGTGACTACGACATAACAGCACCCCCATATTCGTTCACTTAGGATCCTACTTACAAGCACCCATACGTTCTTCTGTAGACTACTACATAACAGCACCCCCATACCGTTCACTGTAGACTACACTCATAACACCCCCCATACCATTCACTGTAGACTACACTCCATAACAACACCCCCATACCATTCACTGTAGACTACCTCCATAACAGCACCCCCATACCTTCACTGTAGACTACACTCATAACAACACCCCCATACCATTCACTGTAGACCACTCCATAACAGCCCCCCATACCATTCACTGTAGACTACCACTCCATAACAACCCCCCATACCATTCACTGTAGACTACACTCCATAACAACACCCCCATACCATTCACTGTAGACTACTACATAACAGCACCCCCATACCATTCACTGTAGACTACCACTCCATAACACACCCCCATACCATTCACTGTAGACTACCACTCCATAACAGCTCCCCCATACCATTCACTGTAGACTACCACTCCATAACAACACCCCCATACCATTCACTGTAGACTACCACTCCATAACAGCTCCCCCATACCATTCACTGTAGACTACTACATAACAGCACCCCCATACCTACTTTGTACTGTCTATTTTATTGTATATTTGACCTTTTATTGATGTGCATTGTGTGAATGTCTATACTGTATATTGTACATTATGTGAAGTGATCTATACTGTGTTGTAAAAAATACATAATTGTCTTTGCCTCTTCATCAATTGTCATGTCATTACATAGGTCTACGCTATGTTTTGTTGGCTTTTACCAATTTACCTTCAGTATTCAAATGTTACTGATACATTGATCTGACTGCTTTATTTCATAATAAAAATAAGATGTTGTAGCATACTGTAATGACTCACTTATAGTAGATAGGAACAAAATATATGGTACTGGTTCTAATGGCATTTATTTAAGTGATTTGACAGAATAGTAACAAAATAGGTTGTACTGGTTCAAACAGCATTTCTAACAGTTATTTGGTTAGGCAATGTCTGGCTGAAGGCAAGACTCTTCTGTTCCCTCGTCCCAGTCTCTCTCCCTTCAGTGCCCACTCAAACACCAGTCGATATGCAACCAGCCTGTATTGACTAAGAACAAATAAGTTATTATTCGTGAGTAGCTAGATACAAATAATCTAATAAGAAACCATTTGATTTGATCAGAGTGCAATTATGAAACAACAAAAGTTATCAATATTACTGTGTGCTGGGATAAGCAAGAACAATGTCACTTACTCGATACACAGCAGTCCATTCGGTCCAGCAGGTATGGGCTGCTTCTTCCAGTTTTTTGGGGGGACTTGGAAGAATGTCTCTATAACTCCAGGATTGATAAACGCAGAAAATTCCTCTGGGTTTGTTACACAGTCTCTGGGTGCGTTGCTTTCTTCGCCGTAGATATCAAGCCCCCCCCAATTGATGGCAGTAACAATTCCCACTCCATGCACCACAAACTCTCATCGTTGGTGGCCTTGGGTTTACATGGCCCGCAGTCCCCCTCAGACCTGGCTCTCACCACCGCTCCTGGTAGCTCGTCTACCGGCTCCGCTGATTCAGCCTCTTCCTCCTTGCCCTCTCTCAGTTCTTCCTCTGTAAATTCTGGCTCTAATAAATATAGCTCAGAATAAAAATGGTCTACCTCTACCTCAAAGTCCAACATGATTTATCAAATGTTATTATGATGATTTGCCAATAAGCTAGCTAGCTAGCTACTTTAGCTACTAGAGAACCAACAGCTGGCTGCCTCCCAGGAGTTTTGCTTACAAAACCACACCAAGTCTAGCCGGAAGAGAGCGCAGGTAGAACCCAAAGAAGTCCGTGAATTAGGAAGTTGATAGAATCTAATTTCTTATACTATTATCAGTCAAATTAACACATTTATAAAATATAGATTACTATGTATACCTTTGTAAGACTATAAATGACCAACCACATAGCTTTGTAGTAGTTAGGTCTATTTCCCTGCTTTTGAGAGGAGCTGGCTAGTAGATACCCATAGACCTCCAGCAATTGCGCTAAGCTAACAATATGCTACCTTCAACTTCTTTCAAACTGCACGCAGAGACATACAAATGGTATCCATGAGTTTGTCTCTCTGGGTAAGTCCCAAAGTATCCCTTTAAGGTTAGGATTGGGGGAGAGGAAGCTGATCCTACACCTGTACCTAGGGGAATCTTAGGTAAATCATGAATACATACCTGATAGTGCCAATGAAGAGAACGGGCTCCTGGGGAATGATTGACAGCTTGCTTCTCAGGTCTTCCAATCCGATCTGGGCAATGTTGATGCCGTCGATGGTGATGGAGCCCCCAGTCAGCTCCACCAGTCTGAAGAGAGCTACGCCCAGTGAGGACTTCCCTGGATAGATAGAAACAGGGGGTTGTGAGTGAACTACGATTAGTTCGGATAGATGATAACCACATCTACATGTGAAGATTACAGTTCATTAAAAAACAAACACCATTACCATCAAGTCGACACATTGTTATTACATTATTTCTTAGTAAATACCAGGTAAACACCAGCGGAAACAAGGACAATAAAATTAAACATTAACGATGTAAAACGATACATAAATAAAGGAGGGAAGTACCTGAGCCAGTGCGACCCACAATGCCGATGGTCTCCTCTGGCAGGATGTTAAAGGAAAGCTTCTTGAGCACCAGTGGCAGGTTGTCCCGGTAACACATCTCCACGTCCTGGAAGGAGATCCGTCCCTTATCTGGCCAGCAGGGGGCAGGAGAGGAGGGCCCAGTGATCTGCCGCGGCGCCTCACCCTCCAAGGTCTGAGACAAAAAATATAGATCCAATATCGAGTGTTAATCTCTGTATCTCCAATCCCATGAAGTAAAGACCTCTACCTCTCAATAGAACTGTAATTTATAGATCTCTAAAAGCTTGTTGGCACTTTGAGAAAAAAAAGTAGTTCCTCTGATTTGGGGATGTTTATGTTTTGATGGGTGTTGTGTGAAACAGGCCCTGTCATGTGCTGTGATGTGTGACGGGCCACAAACTGGGTTCCATCTGCTTCCTGCTGGGCCTCTCAGAGACTGGGGGTGTCCCAAATGGCACTCTATTCTCTATATTGTGGACTACTTTTGACCAAAACCTATGGGCCCCTGATCAAAAGTAGTGCACTACATAGGGAATAAGGTTCCATTTGGGATGCAGCCTGTGTCTGTCTGTAGTCTACCATGTCCAACAGCTTTGTGTTATTGGGATTGGGTTGTGTGTGTGTGTGTGGGGGGGGGGGTTGTGTGTGTGTGTGTGCGTCATGCTTGCGTGTGTGTGTGTGTGTACTCCTGCTTTGGGTGTGCGTCTGTCTACCTTATCCAACAGCTTTGTGTTATTGGGATATTGACCTGTGTGAGTGTGTGGGTGCACCGTGCGCAGGAATGTGGATTTAGAGTGTGTGTCTGCATGTGAGTATGCTGTGCCTGTATGTGTGTGTGTGTGTTGTTGCTTCATCTGTGCCTATGTCCTGCTGCGTTAAGTCTATAGGCCTGTGTTTGTTTGTGTCAGACTCACCATGTGTGTACTTTCGATTCAGCCACACATGGTTCAGCCAATCACGCAACCCTTCCCCCGACTGTTGGCAGCAGCCCCTGGTGTCATTAGGCCTGCCTACCTTTATATAATGATTGATCCTCTCCACTGACGTGAAGCGAGCCTCAGTCTCTGACAGCAACCTCACGGTAAACTGAAACAGACCGGTTAGCTGGAGAAGAGAGAGCGAGAGAGAGCGAGAGAGAGAGCGAGAGAGACAAGGAGAGAGACAAGGAGAGAGACAAGGAGAGAGACAAGGAGAGAGACAAGGAGAGAGAGACAGGAGAAGAGAGAGAGAGCAGAGAGAGCGAGAGAGAGACGGAAGAGAGAGAGGAGAGAGACAAGGAGAGAAGGAGAGAGAGAAGGAGAGAGAGAGACGAAGAGAGAGCAAGGAAGAGAGACAGAGAGAGAGAGACGAGAGAGAGAGAGAGAGACGAGAAGAGAGAGAGAGACGGAGAGAGAGAGAGAGAAGAGAGAGAGAGAGAGAGAAGGAGAGAGAGAGAGAGAAGAGAGAGAGACAGAGAAGACGAGAGAGAGACAGAGAGAGAGAACAGGGAGAGAGAGACAGGAGAGAGAGAGACAGGGAAGAGAGGACAGGGAGAGAGAGAGACAGAGAGAGAGACAGACAGGGAGAGAAAAGAAGAGCGAGAGAGAGAGAGAGATAGAGAGGAGAGAGACAGACAAGAGACAGAGAGGAAGAGAGAGAAAAACAGACACAGAGAGAGAACAGAAGGGGAAAGAGACGAGAGAGAGATAGACAACACAGAGAGACAGAGAGAGGAGAGAGAGCGAGAGAGGAGAGAGAGAGAGAGAGACAGAGAGCAGCACAATGAATGAGCAGCACAAACCATAAACCTTTACGACCCCTATAGACAGACATTCTGATAATGCTATACTTTTCCATTCGGCTCAATCAATTTCCATTCATAGATCCCTAACAGGAAGATCCTTCCCACGCCTGTAGTAATCCCACAGTGAAATTATATATATAGAACATCAAAAAGCTTTCAAAAAAACATTCCCATAAAGGGGCAGTCAAAATAATTCACAGATAGCAAAGACACACTCTAGCAGTGTGTGTGTGTGTGTGTGTGTTTACATGCGTGTATGCGTGTTTACATGCATGTGCATGAAAGTGCATTCGTGTGTGTGCGTACATGCGTGTGTGTGTGTGTATGTGTACCTGCACGGCGTAGGATAAAGCCAAGCCTGCGTAGGCTGGGGGGATCTGGTTGTGCATGAAAACGATTAGCAGGGCTACAGTGGTGATGAGAGTGATGCTGATCAGGTCCAGTCGTACAGCCAGCCAGCGCATAGCACAGCTGAACAGGTAGTGGGAAGCCTGGTTGGTGTCCAGTAAAGCCTGGTACCTGAGATACACAAGAAATTAACCAATAGGAAGGCTGCACAGTGCCCACATTAGCTCAGCAGAAATCAAATGCTACTCAACTCAAAGTCCAGGGAATGTTACTTAGGGACGTTATCTCATTATTAGTTGTGCCATTTGGGCAGCAGGTAGCCTAGCGGTTAAGAGCGTTGGACCAGTAACCGAAAAGTTTCTGGTTCGAATCCCCGAGCCGACTAGGTAAAAAAATCTGTTGATGTACCCTTGGGCATGGCACTTAACCCTAATTACCCCTGTAAGTCTCTTTGGATAAGAGTGTCTGCTAAATGACAAAAAAAAATGTGACGTATGGTGGGCGAAGCTAACTGGAAATTAACTGTCAAAACAAATGTCTTATTAGTGTTTGAACACACGTCCTGTGACAGATAAAGGAAGTGTCTTCCTCTGAACGCTATTCGGTTTATTAGTGTACTGTTCTCACCTGTGCAAGAAGTCGTCCTCTCTGCCATAAGCGTGAATGGTGGACAGCCCCTGGAGACTACTGGTGATGTGCGAGGTGAAAGGTGATTGGCTGATGTTCTCCAGACGCTTCAGCTCGCGAATCAGAACCCTAGTCAGACAAAGAGGAAGTGGAACGTCAAGTCTATTACTTAAACATACCAGAGCATCACTTTAGGGATGGTAAAGAAGTCCACTCACTCACCATTTCTCTAACCTCTACTCTGTGACCCCCAGCCAATCATCTACTGTTCAACTCTGTTCAACTCATAATGATGCCGCAGTGGATAGCTGCCATCTTACGGGCTCCTGACCTATTTTGTGTGTTTTGAACATAATGTTTCTGCCATAATTTCCTATGACTGAAAACAGATTCTGGACATCAGAACAGCAATCACTAACCTCGATTTGGATGAAGATTTCTACTTCAACAAGATGGCAACTCTGGACGTTTTGCTTATCCCGGACCAGGCCCTGATCCCCGGGACTCGAAAGAGGAAGCACCGGCGAAAGAGAGGCAAGTGACTAGACTACATCGGCGAGCAAGTAGACCGCCATTGCCATCTGTTTTTTTTTGGGCGAAGGTGCAGTCACCGGAGAACAAACTGGATGAGCTCCATTCGAGACTATCCTATCAACGGGACCTGAAAAACTGTAATATCCTGTTTCTTGGAGCCGTGGCTGAACGAGGACATGGATATTTTACATTTTAGTCATTTATCCAGAGCGACTTACAGTTAAGTGAGTGCATACATTTTTCATACTGTACAACTCGCTGGTTTTCCTCGTCAAGATCGGACGGCAGACTCGGGTAAAGCAAGAGGGGAAAGGGTGTGTTTCTTTGTTAACAACAGCTTGTGTGCGATCTCTAATGTTAAGGAAGTCTCTAGTTTTTGCTCGCCTGAGTTAGAATACCTCATGGTAAGCTGCAGACCAGTACTGGTACTCTCTGTATATAGCCATGTTATTACCCTGTACCCCTGCACATTGACTCAGTACTGGTACTCTCTGTATATAGCCATGTTATTACCCTGTACCCCTGCACATTGACTCAGTACTGGTACTCTCTGTATATAGCCATGTTATTACCTGGTACTCCCTGTATATAGATGTTCTTTTTTACTCGTTATTGTTATTCATTATTCACTATGTATTTGTTCCTTGTGTCACTATTTCTATTTTGTATCTTTATCTTAACTGCATTGTTGGAAAAGGACACGTAAGTAATCATTGAACTGTTAGTCTACACCTGTTGCTTACGAAGCAAGTGACAAATAAAATGTGATTTGATTTTCTCTGTGACCCCCAGCCAATCCTCTACTCTGTGACCCCCAGCCAATCCTCTACTCTGTGACCCCCAGCCAATCCTCTACTCTGTGACCCCCAGCCAATCCTCTACTCTGTGACCCCCAGCCAAACCTCTACGCTGTGACCCCCAGCCAAACCTCTACTCTGTGACCCCCAGCCAAACCTCTACTCTGTGACCCCCAGCCAAACCTCTACTCTGTGACCCCCAGCCAAACCATTGCGTATTCGAATGAACCTGATTTAACAACTCATCACCAAACCAGACACACTAGATCAGGACAACAACATTGTGAAATATCTAGGGATGGTGGCAGAGGACAGGGTTGACAAACACTGCATTATAACTCCAATGACGGTGCAGTTATCTGACAGGTTAGTGGACTATGATATGATGAGAGGACACAGGGGAGTCAGAGTGTAATTCTACCCAGGACAGGACAACCATTTCCTGGCACAGCTCAGGCCATTCCTTGGCTCTGCTAGAATCATTTGTGATTGATGTGTGATTTTAGGAGCCACAGACCCACGCTACCACGACACCCGACTGAGTCAGCAGGGAAGTGTGAGAGAGAGGGGTTTATTGACAAAGGTGGGGAGGAGTTCTACTTTTAGGTCCATAGATAGGATGGGCTGCACATGTGAATAACAAGTCATCCCCTTTTCTTATAAAGCGGCGGGAGAGAGAGAGAGAGAGAGAGAGAGAGAGAGAGAGAGAGAGAGAGAGAGAGCAGAGAGAGAGAGAGAGAGAGAGAGAGAGAGAGAGAGAGAGAGAGAGAGAGAGAGAGAGAGAGAGAGAGAGAGAGAGAGAGAGAGTAGGATGAGAAGAGGACAGGGTATGAAAGAACATGACACTCCGTGTTCTGAGGCTACCTACACAAATATGTTTATGCAGTTGGTACTTTCATCTCTCAATGCCAACTGGCAAAGTACAACACATCAACAAATGGGACGCGTCCCAAAAAGCATCCTATTCCCTATAGTGTGCGGGTCCTGGTGAAAGGTAGTGCACTATATTGCGAATAGGGTGCCTTTTGGGCTTGCTTTTAATGAGGAAACTGGTTAGATGCGTCACGCTGAATAATAAATTACCCAAAGACCTACGGAACCCTAATCCATCGCTACACTTCTTATCTTTAAATCAACGCACGCAGGAGCATACACACACACACAGACAACATAATCCCTCTCATATAAATCGATTGGTTGTAGCCTGACCTGGAGACACGGTTGACAATGAGGAGGAAGGCTCCCAGGGGCAGGAGGGAGAGCAGGAACCAGGGGAATACGATGCCCACCATGACCAGGCAGAAGAGCACCAAGGTCAGGTTCTGGAGCAGCATCTCAGCCTGCATGGCCAGACGGACGTCCACTGTGGATGGTTGGAGAGAGAGAGAGAGAGAGAGAGGAGAGAGAGAGAGAAAACAATAACTGTCAGATCATACTGTGTGTTGTCTGGGTTGTATGGGGACCTCAAGGCTCTGAGTTTGAAGTCAAGGCAAATCATCAGACAACTCACCCTCGTCCATGTCTCGGGAGAAGCGGGTGAGGATGCGGCCCAGAGGGGTCGTGTCAAAGAAGCGCATGGGGCTCAGGAGGAGGCGGCGGAATAGCTTGTCGTGGAGCACCGAGGCAGCCCGAACAGTGCACTGTCAGACAAACACAGTGGTGTTTGAACACGGAGCCAAACATAACACAAAGAAACAAACACAACAAGTACATGGAAACAGGTAAACAGATGGGTTGTCGGGACTCGGGAAAGCACAACACCCAGGCGCAACAAATGCAAACATACAAACATACCGTAGTAGGAGTGGACAGAGAATCGTTGCCAGCATACACAGCTATGTACACATACTAACTAACGCTCATATGACACATATGCCATGTTGCTAATGCTAGCTAGCCATATGTTGTTGTTGATGCGTCCCTATTAGTAGTCACTGTGCTGTTATTAGCAAGTGGAATGTTTCTCGTGTCAGGCAAACTGTCAAATCCTCAGACATAAATGACTGTCTGGCAGGCTTACACAGAAAGGTTACAAACCCATGTCTAAGTTAACGCAATGAGAAACGTCTGGCAGAAATTACTTTTGGCAGGAGAGAACACATTCAATCTATTAACAGAACATCCAACACTCCCACATTCACGTTACAGCTAGGGGTAAAAAAAAAAGATTAGCCATCTTTGGAAAAAGTTTGTGTCACACAATTACGTGAGGACATAACCTCTGTAATGGGCTGTCAGGAAAGTTTAAGAAACACAGGAGACATATCCAAAGGGACAGGGACACACAGCGGCACACACACACACAGCCATTAAAGCAGCGTGTCACGGCACTGGACAGATAAATGGATTTAGCATGCAGGCACTTTCAATTATAGTAGTGCAACTCATGAAAATGGCTGAAAGACAAATAGAGAGAGTCAAGGTTGTACCACAACAACTTTGCACTTCTTTCCTTTGAAAAGGTCCTGAGTGTAAATCAATGAAAACCTGACTTATGGAGACTTTGGTTACGTCACAAATGGTACCCTATGGGCTCTTGTCAAAAGTAGTACCCTGCAGGGAATCGGTCAGTGATCCACTCTCCTTTGACAGGCTAGAGAGTGCATCAATGAATGGTCCTGACATTTCAAGGTTGGAGAACAATCCACAAAAACCACTCTAAAATACATTTGAGCAAGATGCTTACCTTGACGAACACTAGCCCCCTCATTGTCTTCAGGAAGAGAGCGACCCCCATGGACAGCACATAAACTCTTGAGTAGTACTGAACGTAAGGGTTGAGCCTCATGCTGTCGCTCGCCAACGCTGCCACTGTTTCATTGGTTTCATTCTCCAGGATTAATGATGTGTTCTGAGGGCAGATGGAGCAAATCGCCATGAGGGAAACACAAACAAGGCATTTCTATCTAATGAAGGAAATAAATTAAACAAAGCCAGCTGAGTGCTGAATCTAAGACAGAATACATGAAAGAAGCAGCCATTTGGGTGATGTCGGTATTCCAAACACATTCTTCAATCTGACACGGAAGACAGCTTTGCAGCACATCTGTTTTTTGGCGGCTCGTCTCTTGTTTTAATTACGTTTACCGAGACACTGGTACTTATTTAATTACACGTGCTGAGATTAATGCTCTCACATTCCCCACTACAACTCAGTGATGCGCAGAAGTCGTTATTCTTGTGGGTGACATAGCCTTCTACAGTCTACAGAGACATCCCCCTCAGAGTAGGCAGAAGTTGTCCTATCCCACTAATACAGCTTCAGATATATTTTTTAATAAGGATTGTGGGTAGGGTAATCTGATCCTTGTTATGTGTCTGTGCGTAAGGCCATAATTTTGATCAAGTGAATCATCATTTGAATCCAGTGGATCATCATTTGGCTTCAGTGCAGAAAATCCAAACTCACCCCGCTGCCCTGGCGGATCCAGTAGCTCAGCCACCAGTTACTGAAGGCGATGCTGCCAGTGGTGAAAAGGAAGAGGATGACGTTGATGATGAAGGCAAAAGGGCCTCCAGCCGCTTTGATGTAGGCCTTGTACACATCCCAGGCCACGGCGCCAGAGCCCTTCTCCTCAGCTTTCATGAGCTGGTCTGGAGAGTAAAGAAAGAGAAGGATGGAAGAGAGGGAGGGAGGAAGGAAGGAAGGGAAAGGAAGAGAGGGAGGACGGAAGGAAGAGAGGGAGGACGGAAGGAAGAGAGGGAGGACGGAAGGAAGAGCAGGGAGGAAGGAAGGAAGAGAGGGAGGAGGACGGAAGAGAGGTAGGACAGAAGAGAGGAAGGAAGGAAGGAAGAGAGGGAGGACGGAAGAGAGGGAGGAAGGAAGAGAGGGGAGGACAGGAAGAGAGGAGGACGAGGAAGAGAGACGGAAGGAAGGAAGAGAGGGAGGACGGAAGGAGAGAGGGAAGGAGGAAGGAAGAGAGGGAGGAAGGAAAGAGGGGAGGAAGGAGAGGAAGGAAGGAAGAGAGGGAGGACGGAAGAGAGGTAGGACAGAAGAGAGGAAGGAAGGAAGGAAGAGAGGGAGGACGGAAGAGAGGGAGGACGGAAGAGAGGAAGGAAGGAGAGGAGGAAGAGAGAGGAGGAGGAAGAGAATGAGATGGGAGGAACGGAAAGAGGGAGACGGACGGACAAAGAGAGGGAGGACGGAAGGAGAAGAGAGGGAGAAGGGAAGGAAGGAGGAGGAGGAGGAAGAGAGGGAGGACGGAGGAAGAGAGGGAGGATGGAGGAGGAAGAGAGGGAGGATGAAGGGAAAGAGGGAGGGAAGGAGGAAGAAGGGAGGACGGACGGAGAGAGGGGAGGACGGAAGAAGAGAGGGAGGATGGAAGGAAGAGAGGGAGGATGGAAGGAAGAGAGGGAGGAAGGAAGGAAGAGAGGGAGGACGGAAGGAAGAAAGGAAGGAAGTAAGATAGGAAGGAAGAGAGGAAGGAATGAAGGAAGGAAGAAAGGGAGGACGGAAGGAAGAGCGGGAGGACGCAAGGAAGAGCGGGAGGACGGAAGGAAGAGCGGGAGGAAGGAAGAGCGGGAAGACGGACGGAAGAGAGGAAGGAAGGGAGGGAGGACGGAAGGAAGAGAGGGAGGCCAGAAGGAAGAGCGGGAAGACGGACGGAAGAGAGGAAGGAAGGAAGAGAGGGAGGAAGGAAGGAAGAGAGGGAGGAGGAAAGGAAGAGGAGGAGGAAGGAAAGGAAGAGGAGGAAGGAAGAGCGAGGAGGAAAAGAGAAGAGGGAGGAAGGAAGGAGGCAAGGAAGGAAGGAGAGGAAGGAAGGAAGGAAGGAAGGAAGGAAGGAAGGAAGGAAGGAAGGAAGGAGGAAGGAGGAAGGAAGGAGAGGAGGAAGAGAGGAGCGAAGAGGAGGAAGGAAGGAAGGAAAGGAAGGAAGGAAGGAAGAGAGAAGAGGGAGGAAGGAAGAGAGGAAGGAAGGAAGAGAGGGAGGACGGAAGGAAGAGAGGGAGGACAGAAGGAAGAGAGGGAGGAAGGAAGGAAGGAAGTAAGAGAGGAAGGAAGGAAGGAAGTAAGAGAGGAAGGAAGGAAGGAAGGAAGGAAGGAAGGAAGGAAGGAAGGAAGGAAGGAAGGAAGGAAGGAAGGAAGGAAGGAAGGAAGGAAGGAGGAAGGAAGGAAGGAAGGAAGGAAGAGAGGGAGGACGGAAGAGAGGACGGAAGGAAGAGAGGGAGGACAGAAGGAAGAGAGGGAGGACAGAAGGAAGAGAGGGAGGACAGAAGGAAGAAAGGGAGGAAGGAAGAGAGGGAGGAAGGAAGGAAGAGAGGGAGGAAGGAAGGAAGGAAGAGAGGAAGGAAGGAAGGAAGAGAGGAAGGAAGGAAGGAAGGAAGAAACCTGTGTGAGTCATTTTCCCATATCAAGCCAACTGTTTTAAAGGGAACACATTAACACATTCTATTCGGCACGGTTGAGTCTCTCACCTCCTTTCCCTTTATCCACCGGCGGTCTGTCGACTTTTTCGACAGTCACGGTGGTCTCAACCTTTTCCTCTCCCTCCTTCTCCTTATTCTTCAGGTTCTTTTTCACCAGGTTCTTTTTCACCAGGTTCTAGGAGAGCAAGCCAGAGAGACATACAGCATAAGACAATCACGGCCAAGCCATAACATAGCCACTAAGTCATTTAAACAGAGATATTGGTGACAGGGTCTTTAGCAGTGCGACACCGGTAAATCAATGCCCACATAAATAATGAAAGGCCCTGTATGCATTAACATTTCCCAGCCACCCACTGCCTCATGAATTATGCAGGATGTGACGCAAAGGGGGATGACAAAGGTGTTTTTACATAGAGGAGAGCTGGACTAGCCTGGTTCCAGATCCGTTTGTGCGGTCTTGCCAGCTCATGCCAATGCGTGACAATGACTATAGGAGTTGGAAAGGCTAGCCTGGTACCAGATCTGTTTGCAAAACAGCACAAACAGATCTGTGACCAGGCTAGAGCTGGACATGCGCTCTGTGGTTGGCATTACCTCCTGCTGTACGCTGTTGAAGAGGGTGGCGTAGTCACGGTCTCTGCCCATAAGCTGGGCGTGGGTGCCATGCTCAGCAATCTGCCCGTCCTTCATCAGAATCACGTTGTCACACTCTGCCAGGTACTGAGAGAGGGTCAACACCAGTGAGATCTGTGATTCTCCTGATGCAGGATCCTGGGCTATAGTATGCTCCTCTAGATTTCTATATGGCTCCCTTTCCTCAACCGTATCTTTTCGGGACATATTCTTGAGATACGCACTCTTAACTTAGCTTTTGAAAACTCAAGTTGCACTATAATCATTGACTTAGGAGGTCTACATAGGGTTTCTCTCATTTCCTTTCACTAGTAGTCCTTTCAGATTAGGCGTCCCAATGATATACAAAAGATACTAGTTAAAAAAGCCATTTCAGATCATGAATGCATTGTACAGGAGTAGGAAGGCCATTTCAGATCATGAATGCATTGTACAGGTGTAGGAAGGCCATTTCAGATCATGAATGCATTGTACAGGTGTAGGAAGGCCATTTCAGATCATGAATGCATTGTACAGGTGTAGGAAGGCCATTTCCAATCATTTCACCATAGTACACAAGTCACTTATTTGCTGCAAATTGTTCTGTTTCTCACATAAATACAATTTGATTGGATCATTCAGATTATCAGAAGATCCGCTTACCTGCAGCTGGTGTGTGACGAAGATGATGGTCTTGCCCTTGGACGCTGTGCGGATGGCGTTGTGGAAGAGGTGAGAGCCCACGTGGGCGTCCACAGCACTGAGAGGGTCGTCCAGGAGCAGGATGGGCCGCTCGCTGTACAGGGCACGTGCCAGGCTCACCCGCTGGCGCTGCCCGCCACTCAGGTTGGCACCCCTCTCCCCTATCTGGAGTGAAAACATTGGGACAATGTTGACAAAATGTATCAAGGATAATTTTTGATTGCATAGGCTTCATACAGAGGCAGCAATAGACCAGACCAGATATGTACATAGAGGTACTTACATAACACTTGTTATCTCATAAAACACTACAATGCACCCCAAAGCATTCCATCTATAAATGCATGTACTACTTACTAGCCTGTTACATGGTAATTCCACTTTCTGCTACTTTGGTGTAGTGTAAGGCCAATGTATTGTACAGAATGGCCAGAGTTCATATAGAGAGCATCTCCAGCATAGAGATGAAATAGAGGTCTGATACATACCTCAGTCATATCCCCATAGGGCAGCTCTGTCAGATCAGGGGTCAAGCAGCAGGCAGAGAGCACAGCATTATACCTAATAAGGAAACACAGCCAAGGACATGAGTTAACATGAGAGGGAAACGCAGTCATGGTCCAGAGAAATGAGTAAGCCATGAGTTAGAAATGAGCCATCATGGATGCCTTTGGCCCTTCTCAATGTGAAACTATCAAACTATGACATCCAAACGTGATTGGTCATGGACTCCAGTTGAAAATGAGCCGTCTAGCTAAATCCAGCACTATGACACCTTAGAATGGTCTGCGTTGGTGATTTTATTGTTTACTGTCCCATAGTAAATTATTCATAAATCATATACACAAATCAATCAATCATACTTGTCTTCGACGTATTCTTTTCCGAACAGGATGTTCTCTCTCAGAGAGTCGTTGAGGATCCAGGCCTGTTGAGCTACATAGGCAAAGCCACCACTTGCCGCCACGTTGCCCTCCAGCAGGGTCATCTGTTGAACACCAGGGATAAGACTCATGTTAAAACATACTAGCGGTAAAGCTGAACTGGGCTTTCACTAGAGGGAAATACTTCAACTGCGTTTTGATTGCCCGGTACAAAGGAACCAATGGAACAGTCCCAAAAAATGCAAAACTCAAGCTTAATCAAACGTACCTAAACTGCTTTCCAGTCTGGTTTGTAGGGGAATCCCCCAGTAAGCTGATTTGAAGGCCAATGATCTAGAACCTCACCTGTCCCAGTAGAGCAGAAAGAAGAGAGCTCTTTCCGCTCCCCACACTTCCACAGATTCCTACCAACGCCCCCTGCAGATCAGAAGGATACCAGTGGTGTATTAGTATGGATTTGTAATTGAAATGCACTCACTCCATTTCAAAGGAAAAAAGTGCAAAGTTGTTAACTCCCTCCAAATTTCTATTCTTTCAAACGTTCTCTTTTTTATGAGTTGTGCTACTATAACCGAATATGCCTGCATGCTAAATCCATTTATCTGTCCAGTGCTAGTGAATCGATGCTTTAGAGCAGTGGTATTCAAACTTTTTCAGCGGGGACCCAATTTTTTAAAGCAACCACACCCGAAATCTAATGACACAACCTTAAAATCTGTAAATTTTGTGGACCCCAGGAAGAGTAACTCCTGCCGCAAAAGCTAATAATAAAACAATGATCAGCTGGAATAAAAAAAAATCTATATATATACAGTACCAGTCAAAGGTTTGGACATACCTTCTCATTCAAGGGTTTTTCTATATTTTTACTATTTTCTACATTGTAGAATAATAGTGAAGACATCAAAACTATGAAATAACACATATGGAATCATGTAGTAACCAAATAAGTGTTAAACAAATCTAAATATATTATATAATTGAGATTCTTCAAATAGCCACCCTTTGCGTTGATGACAGCTTTGCACACGGTTGGCATTCTCTCAACCAGCTTCACCTGGAATGCTTTTCCAACAGTCTTGATGGAGTTCCCACATATGCTTAGCACTTGTTAGCGGCTTTTCTTTCACTCTGCTGTCCGACTCATCCCAAACCATCTCAATTGGATTGAGGTTGGGGGATTGTGGAGGCCAGGTCATCTGATGCTGCACTCCATCACTCTCCTTCTTGGTAAAATAGCCCTTACACAGCCTGAAGGTGTGTTGAGTCATTGTCATGTTGAAAAACAAATGAGTCCCACTAAGCCCAAACCACATGGGATGGCGTATTGCTGCAGAATGCTGTGGCATCCATGCTGGTTAAGTGTGCCTTGAATTCTAAATAAATCACAGACAGCGTCACCAGCAAAGCACCCCCACACAATAACACCTCCTCCTCCATGCTTTATGGTGGGAAATACACATGCAGAGATCATCCGTTCACCCACACTGCATCTCACAAAGACACGGCGGTTGGAACCAAAAATCTCAAATTTGGACTCCAGACCAAAGGACAAATTTCCACCAGTCTAATATCCATTGCTCGTGTTTCTTGGCCCAAGCAGGTTTCTTCTTATTATTGGTGTCCTTTAGTAGGGGTTTCTTTGCAGAAATTCGACCATGAAGGCCTGTTTCCCACAGTCCCCTCTGAACAGTTGATGTTGAGATGTGTGTGACTTGAACTCTGTGAAGCATTTATTTGGGCTGCAATTTCTGAGGCTGGTAACTCTAATTAACTTATCCTCTGCAGCAGAGGTAACTCTGGGTCTTCCATTCCTGGAAGACCCAGTTTGATCATAGCGCTTGATGGTTTTTGCGACTGCACTTGAAGAAACTTTCAAAGTTCTTGAAATGTTACGTATTGACTGACCTTCATGTCTTAAAGTAATGATGGACTGTCATTTCTTTTTGCTTATTTGAGCTGTTCGTGCCATAATCTGGACTTGGTCTTTTACCAAATAGGTCTATCTTCTGTATACCCCCCCTTCCTTGTCACAGCACAACTGGTTGGCTCAAACACATTAAGAAGGAAATAAATTCCACAAATTAATTTAAATGCATTCCAGGTGACTACCTCATGAAGCTGGTTGAGAGAATGCCAAGAGTGTGCAAAGCTATCATCAACGCAAAGGGTGGCTATTTGAAGAATCTCAAATATAAAATATATTTAGATTTTTTTAACACTTTTTTGGTGACTACATGATTCCATATGTTTTATTTCATTGTTTTGATGTCTTCACTATTATTCTACAATGCAAAACATGTTTAAAAAATAAAGAAAAACCCTTGAATGAGTAGGTGTGTCCAAACTTTTGACTGGTAATATACATACTAAAATTGATTAAATCATTTTTTCCCCTCATCAATCTAAGCACAATACCCCATAATGATAAAGCAAAAACATGTTGCTAGAAATGTTTGCTAATTTATAATAAAAAACCTGGAATTATGATATTTACATAAGTATTCAGACCCTTTACTCAGTACTTTGTTGAAGCACCTTTGGCAGCGACTACAGCCTCGAGTCTTCTTGGGTATGACGCTACAAGCTTGGCACACCTGTATTTGGGGAGTTTCTCCCATTCTTCTCTGCAGATCCTCTCAAGCTCTGTCAGGTTGGATGGGGAGCGTTGTTGCACAGCTATTTTCAGGTCTCTCCAGAGATGTTCTATCGGGTTCAACTCCAGGCTCTGGCTGGGCCACTCAAACACATTCATAGACTTGTACCGAAGCCACTCCTGCATTGTCTTGGCTGTGTGCTTAGGGTCGCTGTCCTGTTGGAAGGTGAACCTTCGCCCCAGTCTGAGGTCCTGAGCGCTCTGGAGCAGGTTTTCATCAAGGATCTCTCTGTACTTTGCTCCATTCATCTTTCCCTCGATCCTGACTGAAAAGTCCCTGCCACTGAAAAACATTCCCACAGCATGATGCTGCCACTACCATGCTTCACCGTAGGGATGGTGCCAGGTTTCCTCCAGACATGAGAGCAGAGTGATGGAGTTCTGCATCAGATGACCTGGCCTCCACAATCCCCCGACCGCAACCAAATTGAGATGATTTGGGATGAGATGGACCGCAGAGTCAAGGAGAAGCAGCCAACAAGTGCTCAGCATATGTGGGAACTCCTTCAAGACTGTTGGAAAAGCATTCCAGGTGAAGCTGGTTGAGAGAATGCCAAGAGTGTGCAAAGCTGTCATCAAGGCAAAGGGTGGCTATTTGAAGAATCTCAAATATAAAATATATTTTGATTGGTTTAACACTTTTTTGGTTACTACATGATTCCATATGTGTTATTTCATAGTTTTGATGTCTTCACTATTATTCTACAATGTAGAAAATAGTAAAAATAAAGAAAAACCTTTGAATGAGTAGGTGTTCTAAAACCTTTGACCGGTAGTGTATATACATTTTACATCAACAAATAACCTTCAAGTCATTCCATTTTCAACTCTTATCAATATGAAAAGAAACCAATAAATACATTTACTAAATACAAAATACATTTACTAAATACAATTGTATTTTTGTAATACATTTTCTAAAAACATTTGTATACAATAATCTGTACTCTGAATGTATTGTTCCAAATGTATTTTTTTATTTTTTATTTTGCCGACCCCACTGCAGTCCCCCCCCCTAAATGTGTACAAGCATTTGTGTCGGCCTGTATGAATGTAAGTCAGGGTTATTTTGTGCATGAGTGAGTACACCTGTCTGATTGATGGTGCTTGTTCGAGCCTTTTACCTTCTTTACACGCAGATCGATGCGATGCAGGGTTTTGTGCAGCGGTGGGCGGATGATGGAGCTCTGGGTAGAGGAGATGGTGCTCTGGGGGCTCTCCTGTTCCATATGGGTAAGGAGACTCTGTCCGTTGGGACCCTCGTTGTTCCCCTTACCCTCTTCTGTGGTGATATACAGGCTCAGTTTCTCCTTGCGCAGAACTCTACGCATTCCACCTCTCTTGCACTGCTTCTTGGGGACGGTGGTGGAGTTGGCGGGAGCTTTGGCCTTCTCCCAGGCTAATGTGGCGTACCGGAACTCCACGGCATTCATCGGGTCGTCCGTTTGGGCCACCACAACCTCTCGGTCCTCCATCAAGAAGAGTCTCTGTTGACATGACATGACATATGATATATTGTATGATATGAGGAGAAGACAAATTAATTAATATGTCCATTTGGAAGTGTTATGCTGACAACAGCCCATGCTGACTGAACTCTACAATCATTCCCAATTTTGTACAACGATCTCTGTCTTTCTTTTACCTGAAATCGGTTGACTGCCACAGAACCCTCTGATATTGCTCGTACAGCCAAGGGCGTGACTTTGAGGGCAAAGGTCATGGAGTTGAAGACAGCAACAACGGTGAAGGCCTGAAGGGAGCAACATAGGGGGGAGGGGTTAAGTAGAGTTCATTTAGTGAAATTCCACATATTTACATTTACATTTTAGTCATTTAGCAGACGCTCTTATCCAGAGCGACTTACAGGAGCAATTAGGGTTAAGTGCCTTGCTTAAGGGCACATCGACAGATTTTTCACCTAGTCGGCTCGGGGATTAGAACCAGCGACCTTCCGGTTACTGGCACAACGCTCTTACCCACTAAGCTACCTGGGAGCTTTCTATTGATTCAAACAACAAAAGCTACTGGTAGATATTGAAGTCACTTGACTCTTGAAAAGCTAATTACAGCTAAGGGGAGGGGTTTACCTGGGCTGCAGTGAGGTCATAACCCAGGGCCATGTGTAGTGTGAATGTGCAGACACTGGCGATCACCACGACAATGGGGGCCACGCCCACTGTGAGGCTCTGAACACAACCAGCCCTCTCCAGTATCCCCCTCTCCTCTGATCGCACCTCTGGGGGGGAGAAAGAGAGAGAGAGAGAGCAGGGGGTAGAGAAAGAGAGAGAGAGAGCACGAGAGAGTGACAGAGAGAGAGAGAGAGAGAGAGAGAAAGAGAGTGAGAGAGTGACAGAGAGAGAGCGAGAGAGTGACAGAAAGAGCGAGCGAGCAAGAGAGTAACAGAGAGAGAGAGAGCGAGAGAACAGACAGAAAACAGACAATGAGCTCGTCTTGTATTACCACTGTAGAGTCTTTCAGGAACTTAAGCCTGGCACAGTACAGTTTATATTCAGCCCCAAACAACATTAGAGAGACACTTCCAGTCATGGCCAGAAATAAAAGAGACAAGTTGGGCCTCGCGGCCATAAATGGTATGAAATTGACTTTTAAAATTGTGGGCCATTGGCAGTTGTCCAAGTCAAGTGCCCTGTCATCCATGATTGTGTACATCTCCCAAATGCATGTGCTGGCTGCTTCTTTCAACAGTCCATTCAGTGCACTCTGGCTCCAAGCCAAGGTTTCTTTCTTTCTAACACAGCCAAGGCTACTAAGTGCTCCAGGAAAGCTACATGACTCCACTCCTCCTAACACATTTCATATTATTCTCCAGGGACTCACAGCAGTGTTGTTAGATTTACTCTTACCTACTGTAGATAATACATTACAATTGCATTGCCTTTGTAGAAGCTGCTATGTATGCTATGTATATTTTTATCAGCAGGTGGAATATGGCTGTAAACGAACAACACTAACTGAAGAGAATGATATCAGAACTCTTGATATTTAACACTAGGTAACCCTTAAGATGAATGTCCAATTAATGATCATAATAATGGGTATTATTACTATTATCCAAACAGTGGGGTGACATGAGGATAAGCATCCCACCTGGCTAATTACAGTCATGATTAAAAACACCAAACGCTTCTTATCCACAATGTAAGGCAGAGCCTCGTGAGAAATGCACCCAACCCCCCTCTAATTCTTCAATCTCCTCTAAGTGGAACAACCCTCTGCAGGTCTTAGGTATCAAAGAGCTTTAAACACTTTTCAAATTAAACTTGGGGCACAGGGATCCAATCAGGGCTTGCGTAATATGGGAAGCCATGGAGGGAATCTGAGCCAATGGAACCTAACGGAAATGGAGTTGCCGGGTCAATTCCGGGGATGAATCTAATTTGAATTGATGATTGGAGGATTTGAACTAATGGATTTCAGGTAACGGGTTGAATTTCCTGGACTGACTGGAATTGAAATAGAATTGGCCTGACAGAGAGGAAAATGTAAATAAAGTAAAATTAAGGCAGTACGAACAGAAGAAGAGGCGCATTCTCAGCTGGAAATAATCACCCTAACCCAGACGCAAAAACAGGAAGTGAGTCATGTCACTGGCCCTGTGTCATAAACATGATGACTGCTGAGTCACTGGACCCGTGCCATAAACATGACTTCTGAGTCACTGGACCCGTGCCATAAACATGACTTCTGAGTCACTGGCCCCGTGCCATAAACATGATGACTGCTGAGTCACTGGCCTCCGTGCCATAAACATGATGACTGCTGAGTCACTGGCCTCCGTGCCAGAAACATGAGGACTGCCGAGTCACTGGGCACGTGCCATAAACATGATGACTGCTGAGTCACTAGCCCAGTGCAAGAAACATGATGACTGCTGAGTCACTGGCCCCGTGCCATAAACATGATGACTGCAAAATCACTGGCCCCCGTGCCAGAAACATGAGGACTGCCGAGTCACTGGGCACGTGCCATAAACATGATGACTGCTGAGTCACTAGCCCAGTGCAAGAAACATGATGACTGCTGAGTCACTGGCCCCGTGCCATAAACATGATGACTGCAAAATCACTGGCCCCGTGCCAGAAACATGAGGACTGCCGAGTCACTGGGCACGTGCCATAAACATGATGACTGCAAAGTCACTGGCCCCCGTGCTATAAACATGATGACTGCTGAGTCACTGGCCCCGTGCTATAAACATGACGACTGCTGAGTCACTGGCCCCGTGCTATAAACATGACGACTGCTGAGTCACTGGCCCCGTGCTATAAACATGACGACTGCTGAGTCACTGGCCCCGTGCTATAAACATGATGACTGCTGAGTCACTGGCCCCGTGCTATAAACATGATGACTGCTGAGTCACTGGCCCTGTGCTATAAACATGATGACTAGCCTGGTGTTTTTCCTCACCACGTGACCTGACCAGAAAAAAACCAATACAAGCCCTGTGTGTGTGTATGTGTTTGTGTGTGAGCGTTACCAATCACTCACTGTGGATGTTCTGAGCGAAAGCGTTTTCCAAGCAATACATCTTGATGAACTTGATACAGCCAAGGATCTCGTTCATGAGCCTCACGCGCCGGTCTGTCACTACCACGCACTTCTTACGGAAATACGCTGTGAGACGCGACGCCAGCATCTGTCCCGGATACAGAGAAGCAAGAAAAGAAGGAACAGAGGAGAAATGAAGGCAGACAGTCTACGTCCCCATGTTTCCCCTAGTGCACTACTTTTGAACAGAGCCCCATGGGCCCTGGTCAAAAGTAGTGCACAGTATAGGGAATAGGGTTCCATTTAGGACAAGGTTACAGCCATATTGCATCAGCTGTACGGCAGGGTTACTGCAGGGAACAGCCTATAAACGGCTTCCACATCAAGGCAAAGGTCCCCAACAGGCAGGCTTCAGACTGAAGCTAATTCAATTGAAAGAGTAACAACAGCAAAGTCGACAGGAGATTGGCAGGCGGAGAGTTTTGGGGAAGTTAAAGGGCAACTCAACCTCAATTTAATTATCTCCAGCACAATACCAGTGTCAACATATGTGAAAACAGTGTATTTGTAAGTTTTGTAGAAACAAATCAAGTTAAAATGTTCTACCCGATGACAACATCAAAAGTTAAAACATTATAAAAACAGTGATTTTCAAACACAGATTCGCGGTGACCTGGGGAGCAAGAAAATACCCTCTCTTGGGCTAGAAACTCATTGCAGGTTTTGACAATCACAGTTTTTTTTTACCTACCCTGTGATGTCACAGAGAAGCATTTTTTAGGACCTTTCTTCTTATCTTTTTAACCACAGATCATAGAAACACGCTGTTTTCACACACAAAGACACTGGCTTGCTGCTGGAGATGATGAATATGAGATTGAAATGTGGCAGAATTGCTCTTTAACATCCCCAAAATCCATACAACTGTGTTGTAAAGGATAACGGTCTGTGAAGTGAAGGGCGTTCACTTTAGTTCCTACAGTTATGGGGAAATATGATGCTGTTCATGACTAATACTATAAACAGGAAAGACTAAGTGCTGAGAATTAAATAAGTTGAGAGGAATCATGCTCCAAGTAGCACTCTGCTGGCAAAATAATGTTTACTTTCATAGTGGATTCTTTTTTTGAGTAACTAAAGCTTTGTTGCTAAATACATAAACTGTATGAAAAGGTAGCACTAAGATGCCTCTGAGTTCATGAAAACAGTGTCATAGGAGAGTGGAGTAACTTTCCTTTAGACATCAGTTCAGATTTTTTCGTTAGTGTGCACTTCCTTTCATAATGTGTGCATTCCTTTGTTAGTACACATGTGGAGGACTTCCTACCATAGCAGGGTAGAAGAAGATGAAGATGGCTGATCCGACCAGTGCAGTGGGTCCCAGAAAGTAAGAAGTGTAGGACAGACCCAGGACGCCCACCAGCGGGCCCCCGGCCAGCAGACAGCCCACTGAGACTGCCTCGTATACCCGCTGGCCATCGCTGGAGCAGATGTTGATCAGCTGTAGGGAGGGACATTGACGCAGAATGTTAAGAGGACACATTGAACAGACCATTTACTTCACAAGGACATAGTGAGTCAAAGAAGAGAATGAAATTAACCCACAGAATCCTGAAATGCTGCAATGAGAATAACCTACAATAGTAGTGCATGGACAAAGGGCTGAGACGTTGGCATGATACAAAATTATACTTTGCAGTGTGTGGGATGTTTTTTTTTTCATTGTTTGTTTCAATCAAACTAATACAATGCAACTATTTGTTATCTGAGACGCAGCGGCAATGTAACCACTAGAAGTGCATTTCACTTTCAGAACTGAAGGCAATGTCTGAGGGGTAAGGGGTTGATTTGGTCCACCATCACACAAACACCATAGCCTGTTCGCAGATCTGTTTGGGACCAGGCATGACAATGACCATAGGAGTTGGCTATACAGCACAAACAGTTCTGGGACCAGGCAAACAAACACTCACCTCTCCGGCACTGATGTCTTTGGTGCTGCGCAGGCGGAGGATCTTGTGGAAGGCGAATGTGAGCGCTGCACCCCGGAGGCGAGCGGCAGTGCGGTAATTGACGGCCCACATGAGCGCCAGCGACCAGGAACGCATCAGCTCCATCAGGAAGATCCCTGCCACTAGGGAGAGGCCGTAGGGCAGCCAGGCCTCCGCACTCTCACAATACTCCAGCAGGCCACGCACCAGGAGAGCCTGGGAATGGGAATGAGGTGGGAGTGGGAAAGGGAGAGGTAAGAAAGGAAGAGTAGGAGAGGGAGAGGAAGGAGGAGAGGAAAGAAGAGTAGGAGAGAGAGAGGAAGGAGGAGAGGAAAGAAGAGTAGGAGAGGGAGAGGAAGGAGGAGAGGAAAGAAGAGTAGGAGAGGGAGAGGAAGGAGGAGAGGAAAGAAGAGTAGGAGAGAGAGAGGAAGGAGGAGAGGAAAGAAGAGTAGGAGAGGGAGAGGAAGGAGGAGAGGAAAGAAGAGTAGGAGAGAGAGAGGAAGGAGGAGAGGAAAGAAGAGTAAGCAGAAAGGGAGAACATTTTGAGCCAGATTAGAGAAATACAAGAAGGAAATTGAGGAGGACATCACAGACGTAGAGTGAACTGGAGACTTTGGAAGGACAATTTGAAAGATAGGCACAGTCTTAAATGATGACATTAGATGGTGCCTATCTTTCCCTTTCATTTGGGATTGAGCCATATGGATCTACACTGGATCAACAGTGCATTCATACCCCTTGACTTTTTCCACATTTTGTTACATTAACCTTATTCTAAAATGGATTAAATAAAAACAATTCTCATCAATCTACACACAATACCCCATAATGACAAAGCGAAAACAGGTTTTTAGAAAGTTTTGCAAATGTATTAAAAATAAAAAACAGAAATACCTTATTTACATAGGTATTCAGACCCTTTGCGATGAGACACGAAATTGAGCTCAGGTGCATCCTGTTCCCATTGATCATCCTTGAGATGTTTCTACAACTTGATTTGAGTCCACCTGTGGTAAATTCAATTGATTGGGCATGATTTGGAAAGGCACACACCTGTCTGTAAACTCAGCAAAAAAAGAAACATCCTCTCACTGTCAACTGCGTTTATTTTCAGCAAACTTAACATGTGTAAATATTTGTATGAACATAACAAAATTCAACAACTGAGACATAAACTGAACAAGTTCCACAGACATGTGACTAACAGAAATTGAATAATGTGTTCCTGAACTTTGGGGGGGGGGGGGTCAAAATTAAAAGTAACAGTCAGTATCTGGTGTGGCCACCAGCTGCATTAAGTACTGCAGTGCATCTCCTCCTCATGGACTGCACCAGATTTGCCAGTTCTTGCTGTGAGATGTTACCCCACTCTTCCACCAAGGCACCTGCAAGTTCCCAGACATTTCTGGGGGGAATGGCCCTATCCCTCACCCTCCGATCCAACAGGTCCCAGACGTGCTCAATGGGATTGAGATCCGGGCTCTTCGCTGGCCATGGCAGAACACTGACATTCCTGTCTTGCAGGAAATCTCATACAGAACGAGCAGTATGGCTGGTGGCATTGTCATGCTGGAGGGTCATGTCAGGATGAGCCTGCAGGAAGGGTACCACATGAGGAAGGAGGATGTCTTCCCTGTAACGCACAGCGTTGAGATTGCCTGCAATGACAACAAGCTCAGTCCGATGATGCTGTGACACACCTCCCCAGACCATGATGGACCCTCCAACTCCAAATAAATCCCACTCCAGAGTACCGGCCTCGGTGTAACGCTCATTCCTTCGGCGATAAACGCGAATCCATCACCTCTGGTGAGACAAAACCGCGACTTGTCAGTGAAGAGCACTTTTTGCCAGTCCTGTCTGGTCCAGCGACGGTGGGTTTGTGCCCATAGGCAACGTTGTTGCCGGTGATGTCTGGTGAGGACCTGCCTTACAACAGGCCTACAAGCCCTCAGTCCAGCCTCTCTCAGCCTATTGCGGACAGTCTGAGCACTGATGGAGGGATTGTGCGTTCCTGGTGTAACTCGGGCAGTTGTTGTTGCCATCCTGTACCTGTCCCGCAGGTGTGATGTTCGGATATACCAATCCTGTGCAGGTGTTGTTACACGTGGTCTGCCACTGCGAGGACGATCAGCTGTCCGTCCTGTCTCCCTGTAGCGCTGTCTTAGGCGTCTCACAGTACGGACATTGCAATTTATTGCCCTGGCCATATCTGCAGTCCTCATGCCTCCTTGCAGCATGCCTAAGGCACATTCACGCAGGGACCCTGGGCATCTTTCTTTCGGTGTTTTTCAGAGTCAGTAGAAAGGACTCTTTAGTGTCCTAAGTTTTCATAACTGTGACCTTAATTGCCTACCGTCTGTAAGCCGTTCCACAGGTGCATGTTCATTACTTGTTTATGGTTCATTGAACAAGCATGGGAAACAGTATTTAAACCCTTTACAATGAAGATCTGTGAAGTTATTTGGATTTTTACGAATTATCTTTGAAAGAGGGTCCTGAAAAAGGGACGTTTATTTATTTGCTGAGTTTATAAGGTCCCACAGTTGACAGTGCATGTCAGAGCAAAAACCAAGCAATAAGGTCAATAGAGCCCAGAGACAGGATTGTGTCGAGGCACAGATCTGGGGAAGGGTACCAACAAATTTCTGCAGCATTGAAGGTTCCCAAGAACAGTGCCTCCATCATTCTTAAATGGAAGATGTTTGGAACCACCAAAAACTCTTCCTAGAGCTGGCCGCCCGGCAAAACTGAGCAATCGGGGGAGAAGGGCCTTGGGTCAGGGAGGTGACCAAGAACATGATGGTCACTCTGACAGAGCTCTAGAGTTCCTCTGTGGAGATGGGAGAACCTGCTAGAAAGATAACCATCTCTGCAGCACTCCACCAATCAGGCCTTTATGGTAGAGTGGCCAGACGGAAGCCACTCCTTAGTAAAAGGCAAATGACAGCCCGCTTGGAGTTTGCCAAAAGGCACCTAAAGACTCTCAGGCCATGAGAAACAATTTTGTCTGGTCTGATGAAACCAAGATTGAACTATTTGGCCTGAATGCCAAGCTTCACGTATGGAAGAAACCTGGCACCATCCCTACGGTGAAGCATGGTGGTGGCAGCATCATGCTGTGGGAATGTTTTTCAGCAGCAGGGACTGATACACTAGACAGGATCGAGGGAAAGATGAACGGAGCAAAGTACAGAGAGATCCTTCATGAAAACCTGCTCCAGAGCGCTCAGGACCTCAAACTGGGGCAAAGGTTCACCTTCTAACAGGACAACGACCCTAAGCACACAGCCAAGACAACGCAGGAGTGGCTTCAGGACAAGTCTCTGAATTACCTTGAGTGGTTCAGCCAGAGCCCGGACTTGAACCCGATCGAACATCTATCCAACCTGACAGAGCTTGAGAGGATCTGCAGAGAAGAATGAGAGAAACTACCCAAATACAGGTGTGCCAAGCTTGTGGTGTCATACCCAAGAAGAATTGATGATGTAATCGCTGCCAAAGGTGCTTCAACAAAGTACTTGTAAACATGTAAATAGGATATTTCAGTTTTTTATTTTTAATAAATTAGCAAAAAATTCCAAAAACCTGTTTTTGCTTCGTCATTACAGGGTATTGTGTGTAGATTGATGAGGAAAAAGTCAAGAGGTGTGAATAATTTCCCAAGGCACCCAGACAGGAATGTGAGTCAAACGAGTCATTGTGTAACTTGCAAATCCAGTTAATAATTAGTGGAATGAGGAAAGCTGCTAGCACGTACAGTAGCATGCCACACATAGCCCTAGCAGGACATCCAGAGGTGTTGGAAACAATACAGCCACTCAATAATATTGGGGAACTCCGACCTTTGCCTTTCATCTGAAATTGTATTTAATATGGCTGTAATAAGCGCCCGCATTGTACTGCAATATCAGCATGTTTCACTGCTGTTCAAGGCTAATTTGGGGTACTTTAGGTAGGAGGAGGGGGAATTGGAAGTCCAAAGTGTGGCAGTTGTAAAAGAACAGCCTATTTCTGGGACAAATAGCGACTGTGGTACCAGTGGCTAATCTGGAGGATTAATATGGGTTTCACCATCTAAAGCTTTCTAATCTTCTGGTATGTTTTCATTTCAATTTTCAGACCAGCGTGAAATTGGATAAAGTGCTTAAGAAATATATATACACTAACTTAGAGCTAGGGTATGTCCCGAATGGCATTCTATTCCCTGTAGAGTGCACTACAGGCCCTGGTCAAAAGTAGAGCACTACATAGGGAATAGGGCATTATGTGGAACGCATCCCCAGTCTCTGAGCCAGTATGCAGACAGAATGAGGGCTGCAGCAGAAAACAAAGACAGAAAGAAAGCAGGAGGGATTTGGAGTGTACTTACAGGCCCCACGAAGCCGGTGACCATGGTGATGAGGAGAGACCAGATGGCAACCAGCATGCGGGTCTGGCAGAACTTCCAGAATACGCGAGACAGTGATGCCCCGTCTTTCCCATTCTGTTTCAGCTCATCATGCCACAGGTTCTCCAGTCTGACCATAGGAGGGAGAGAGAGAGAGGAGAGAGAGAGAGGGGGGAGTTAAGATGGACAGAAGAAACTTGAGACCATGGCAATAGTTGCTCTTGATCACAGATCTAGGATCTGATTAGCCTTCACCCAGTTCTTGCCTTTTCCTATTCGAGGGATGGCAAAAACACCTGGGCCTCAATTAGAACCGTTGCCCTAAATTTTACACTAAATATCTGCATGCGCCATTTCTGAAAAGACTGCGCACACACAAAAATATAGCAATTTATAAACTTGGCCCACGCCATACATATGCATGTTTCCGTTATAAATCAGACACATCGTAAAACTGTGCGCGTGTGAACAAGCATTATAACGCCGCCTGAAAATGCCCATCATTTGTTAAATTCTACTGTTTTCGCTTTGTCATTATGGGGTATTGTGTGTAGATTGATGACGATTTATTTATTTATTTAATCCATTTTAGAATTTTATTTATTTATTTTTATTTCACCTTTATTTAACCAGGTAAGCCAGTTGAGAACAAGTTCTCATTTACAACTGCGACCTGGCCAAGATAAAGCAAAGCAGTGCGATAAAAACAACAACACAGAGTTACATATGGGGTAAAACAAAACATAAAGTCAAAAATACAACAGAAAATATATATACAGTGTGCGCTGTCGCCTATGCTCTTCGCCCTAATTATTGAACCTCTCGCTCAAGCGATCAGATCTAATTCAGCAATACACGGCTATAATACTAAAGATACTCTAAATAAGATTTCCCTATATGCAGATGATATTCTCCTCTATGTAACAGAACCCCAAGCTAGTATTCCAGCTATTCTTGAGGTGATTAATTTGTTTGGTACCTTCTCGGGATACAGAATAAATTGGAACAAGAGTGAATTAATGCCCATACGGTTGCAAAACACCTCCTGGCTAGAACATCTTCCAGTTAAGTTATCTTCTGAAAAATTTATCTACCTTGGAATTGTAGTTACCAAACAATACTCCTCACTATTTAAAGAGAATTTCCCTTCTCTGATGCAAAATCTCAAGGCAAACATACAGTTTTGGAGAACTCTCCCAATTTCTCTGCTCGGAAGAATTAATGCCATTAAAATGGTCTTCCTCCCACAACTGCTCTACCTATACCAGAACATCCCAGTATTCATACCTAAATCATTTCATAAACAACTGGACTCTATTATCAATCCTTTCATCTGGGATTATAAAACACACAGGATAGGTAAAAAACACCTATGTAAATCCAAGATGGAAGGAGGATTGTCTCTCCCAAATTTTATATTTTACTATTGGGCCGCTAACCTCCGCGCTGTTACGTTTTTGCTGGATGACGCAACCCCGCCACCCAGCTGGCTTAGCATGGAGCGGGAGGAGTGTCACCCCTTCTCTATTGGTGCCGTGATTTTGTCACCTGTTAATCTGGAGATGTCACTTTACCATAACAATCCTATTATACATAGCACAGTCCGAATCTGGAAGCAAATTAAAGTCCACTTTGAGCTTAGACCAATATCATTCATGCTCCCTGTTCCCAGGAATCCCTCCTTTGCCCCCTCTAACCTTGATAACACCTTTGAGCGATGGGGAGAGTTGGGGATAAGTACCATAGGGGATTTATATATAGGAGGGACCTTTGCTTCCTTTGAAGCGCTGAGGGAAACTTATAACCTTCCCAGAAGTAACTTTTTCAGATACCTACAAATTAGAGACTATGTTAGAAAACACCTCCCAACATTTGAGAATGCTAAACCTTCCATGTTTGACGGATGCATAAAAATATGCCCCACCTCAGACAAACTGATATCTCGTCTATATGACGCTTTTCAATCTGTTAGCGCACCCTCTACAGATGCCATTAAGGCAAAATGGGAGGAAGAACTAGGGACTGATATTTCGGTGGCAGACTGGGAGGATAGCTTGGAGTATATCCACACCTGCTCCATTAACTCCAGACATCGTCTCATACAATTTAAGGTACTACACAGATTACACTATTCCAAAACTAAACTGCATAGGATATTTCCTGATACATCCCCTATGTGTGATAAATGTCAGGCTGAGCAGGGTACACTACTCCACTGCTTTGCCCTATGCTCTAGTCTGTATGGTTATTGGTGCGGAATATTTGGGGTCCTCTCTGAAGTTCTGGAGACTTCAATAGACCCAGACCCGCTTCTGATAATCCTGGGAGTGTCCGACTCCCTAAACGGATTAACCAACTCCCAAAAACAACTAATCTCTTACAGTCTCATCTCGGCAAAAAAATTAATCTTGTTGTTTTGGAAAAGGAGGGAAGCGCCCTCTACCAAATTATGGCTCAGCGAAGTGGCAAAAACTGTACACTTAGAAAGAATTAGATATATTCTGAACAATAAATTATCAACATTTGATCAAATCTGGCAGCCTTTCCTCTCTTACCTGGACCAGTCGGTGCTGTGAATTTGTACTTTTTAACGCACTCTCAATTGTCATATTTATATACACCTTTGGGCAGCGTGTGCTGGCCCCGACACTCGAGCAGTCGGGAGGGGAATAGGGTGGAATAGGGGGGGGGGGGGGATAAAGGGGGGTATAAGTGGGGGGGTTACATCTACCCTTTTTCTTTCTACCTGTCCCTGTTCTGTATGTCGTGTTTTGTAATATTTGTTTTATGTCCAGAACTCTGGGTCTTGTTGTTCATGTCTGTTCTCTTATGTTTAGATAAGAACTGTACACATGTCTTTCATACCTATACACCATTCTTGTGTGTGTTCAATAAAAAATATTTGAACAGAAAATATATATACAGTGTGTGCAAATGTAGCAAGTTATGGAGGTAAGGCAATAAATAGGCTATAGTGCAAAATAATTACAATTAGTATTAACACTGGAATGACAGATGTGCAAGAGATGATGTGCAAATAGAGATACTGGGGTGCAAATGAGCAAAATAAATAACAATATAGGGATGAGGTAGTTGGGTGGCCTAATTTCAGATGGGCTGTGTACAGGTGCAGTGATCGGTAAGGTGCTCTGATAACTGATGCTTAAAGTTAGTGAGGGAGATAAGAGTCTCCAGCTTCAGAGATTTTTGCAATTCGTTCCAGTCATTGGCAGCAGAGAACTGGAAGGAATGGCGGCCAAAGGAGGTGTTGGCTTTGGGGATGACCAGTGAGATATACCTGCTGGAGCGCATACTACGGGTGGGTGTTGCTAAGGTGACCAATGAGCTAAGGTAAGGCGGGGATTTGCCTAGCAGTGATTTATAGATGGCCTGGAGCCAGTGGGTTTGGCGACGAACATGTAGTGAGGACCAGCCAACAAGAGCGTACAGGTCACAGTGGTGGGTAGTGTATGGGGCTTTGGAGACAAAATGGATGGCACTGTGATAGACTACATCCAATTTGCTGAGTAGAGTGTTGGAGGCTATTTTGTAAATGACATCGCCGAAGTCGAGGATCGGTAGGATAGTCAGTTTTACAAGGGCATGTTTGGCAGCATGAGTGAAGGAGGCTTTGTTGCGAAATAGGAAGCAGATTCTAGATTTAACTTTGGATTGGAGATTCTTAATGTGAGTCTGTAAGGAGAGTTTACAGTCTAACCAGACACCTAGGTATTTGTAGTTGTCCACATACTCTAGGTCAGACCCGTCGAGAGTAGAGATTCTAGTCGGGTGGGCGGGTGCCAGCAGCGTTCGTTTGAAGAGCATGCATTTAGTTTTACTAGTGTTGTGGTCCTCTGTAGCTCAGCTGGTAGAGCACGGCGCTTGTAACGCCAAGGTAGTGGGTTCGATCCCCGGGACCACCCATACACAAAAATGTATGCACGCATGACTGTAAGTCGCTTTGGATAAAAGCGTCTGCTAAATGGCATATTATTATTATTATTTAAGAGCAGTTGGAGGCTACGGAAGGAGTGTTGTATGGCATTGAAGCTCGTTTGGAGGTTTGTTAACAGTGTCCAATGAAGGGCCGGATGTATGAATAAGGCTGTGACGTAACAAAATGTGGAAAAAGTCAAGGGGTCTGAATACTTTCTGAATGCACTGTACCTGTGTACATCTTTCCAAATTAGTACGCACTATGCAGACAGATGAAGGTCATAGATCAGCTAATGGTGATGACATTTTTTTTTTTTTGAGGACAAAATTACTATCTTGGAAAAATGCATATTTCATACCAGTATTTTACACTAAATGGACTAATTTAACATTGTGGGTCAGCTTAATCACAGCAACGGCCAACGAGCCCATTGGGAGTTGAGAATGGATGGCACGTAGGATAATTGTCACGTGAGCAATACACGCAAACATGTTAAATATGTGTTAATGCACTATTTTCCCCATAAAGAGGGAAAAATGCCTTTTTGACAAAATGGATCATTCCTAATGGCTGGAAAAAGAGAGGGATAGAGCAGCTGCCACATCTAATTGATGTGTTAATGGATTTATTAAAAACGTTACAGAGATATAAAGTGCACTAACCCGAGCACATTCTCCCGCGGCAGTTAATTACTACTTTAATTCACATTTACATCGGAGCTGAGTGAGAAATTACAATTAGCACAATAGCTACACTAAGCCATCTATGCAGAGAGAGGTTTGCAGGAAATGAAACATTCAAAGCTTAGTGTAAATATATATCCTTTGGAGTTCTTGGTTTGAACTGATATCAATGGGCGATACACCAAGCAGTTTAACTTAGAGAGAAGCCTATCAAGCCTGTAAAAAGCCCCAAAGGATTGAGTCTACATTAAATTAAATCCCGTCCACTGTCTGTAATGTTGAAAAGAGTCTAGTTGTAGTGCACTATAGAGTGTAATTGCACATACAGTGGGGAAAAAAAGTATTTAGTCAGCCACCAATTGTGCAAGTTCTCCCACTTAAAAAGATGAGAGAGGCCTGTAATTTGCATCATAGGTACACGTCAACTATGACAGACAAAATGAGGGAAAAAAATCCAGAAAATCACATTGTAGGATTTTTTATGAATTTATTTGCAAATTATGGTGGAAAATATGTATTTGGTCAATAACAAAAGTTTCTCAATACTTTGTTATATACCCTTTGTTGGCAATGACACAGGTCAAACGTTTTCTGTAAGTCTTCACAAGGTTTTCACACACTGTTGCTGGTATTTTGGCCCATTCCTCCATGCAGATCTCCTCTAGAGCAGTGATGTTTTGGGGCTGTCGCTGGGCAACACGGACTTTCAACTCCCTTCAAAGATTTTCTATGGGGTTGAGATCTGGAGACTGGCTAGGCCACTCCAGGACCTTGAAATGCTTCTTACGAAGCCACTCCTTCGTTGCCCGGGCGGTGTGTTTGGGATCATTGTCATGCTGAAAGACCCAGCCACGTTTCATCTTCAATGCCCTTGCTGATGGAAGGAGGTTTTCACTCAAAATCTCACGATACATTGCCCCATTCATTCTTTCCTTTACACGGATCAGTCGTCCTGGTCCCTTTGCAGAAAAACAGCCCCAAAGCATGATGTTTCCACCCCCATGCTTCACAGTAGGTATGGTGTTCTTTGGATGCAACTCAGCATTCTTTGTCCTCCAAACACGACGAGTTGAGTTTTTACCAAAACGTTCTATTTTGGTTTCATCTGACCATATGACATTCTCCCAATCCTCTTCTGGATCATTCAAATGCACTCTAGCAAACTTCAGACGGGCCTGGACATGTACTGGCTTAAGCAGGGGGACACGTCTGGCACTGCACGATTTGAGTCCCTGGCGGCGTAGTGTTTTACTGATGGTAGGCTTTGTTACTTTGGTCCCAGCTCTCTGCAGGTCATTCACTAGGTCCCCCCGTGTGGTTCTGGGATTTTTGCTCACCATTCTTGTGATCATTTTGACCCCACGGGGTGAGATCTTGCATGGAGCCCCAGATCGAGGGAGATTATCAGTGGTCTTGTATGTCTTCCATTTCCTAATAAATGCTCCCAGAGTTGATTTCTTCAAACCAAGCTAATTACCTATTGCAGATTCAGTCTTCCCAGCCTGGTGCAGGTCTACAATTTTGTTTCTGGTGTCCTTTGACAGCTCTTTGGTCTTGGCCATAGTGGAGTTTGGAGTGTGACTGTTTGTGGTTGTGGACAGGTGTCTTTTATACTGATAACAAGTTCAAACAGGTGCCATTAATACAGGTAACGAGTGGAGGACAGAGGAGCCTCTTAAAGAAGAAGTTACAGGTCTGTGAGAGCCAGAAATCTTGCTTGTTTGTAGGTGACCAAATACTTATTTTCCACAATAATTTGCAAATAAATTCATAAAAAATCCTACAATGTGTTTTTCTGGATTTTTTTTCCTCATTTTGTCTGTCATAGTTGACGTGTACCTATGATGAAAATTACAGGCCTCTCTCATCTTTTTAAGTGGGAGAACTTGCACAATTGGTGGCTGACTAAATACTTTTTTCCCCCACTGTAAAGCAACTATAAAATCACCTTTAACTTGTCTTAATAATACTCAAAGTAATACAATAAAAATTTGGTGCTGCAAAATGTCAGCCTAATAGCCACACTTTGTACCGGCTAGCCTAAGAAAAAACGTGCCTAAGAAAACAAATGCGGTGACTGAATGCAGCTAGGGTCTAGTCTGCTAGCGTTTCATGAATAGCACCTTCTTTTGGCACTCAAGTGTCAACTTTCCCAGGGGGCTCTCTGGCTCCTCTCCCATCCCCCTCTCTTTGGGAGTTGTGTTGCATAACTGTTCTAGCCATGTAAACACAAAGTTAAACCCTCCACTCTTTCTCTCAGACATGGCACAAGCATTTCATTGTGTCCGTTTTCAGGGCCACGTTTGGCCCCAGGCCAGGGACATACTGTGAGCTCTTCTCATGCCTCTCACCCCTGTAGTCCCCTATAGCATGTTATAGGCCTAGCTGACATGAATTTCTGCTTTTGATCAAAATGTGGAAGTCATGAAAGATTTGAGTCACAAATGCTCCACCATTTAACATGTCCTTCTTTTGTTCATTAATTCATTCATGAATGACAGATTCACCTCCATAAGGGTGAGGACACAAGACACAAAGGATTGCTTGAGATGCTGTTTTGGCAGCCGCACTGAGGCGAGGATGAGGGTTAATGACATAACCGTTCTCTCTGTAGGCAAGATTGAGCGAGGCTCTAACAGCCTAATCTCTAATCCTAGGCTATTAATACCACCTCCCTACCGCCATATCTCTCCTGGAAGAGACAAGGAGACGGTTGTTCATCAATCAGGCAATCAACCTCTGTGGAGGTCCACTCTGAGATTACCCACAATGCACCTGGCTGGTAAACCTTGGCTGCACTTCTGGTTTTTGGTTTAACTCGCACAGGGGCAGGAAAAGTGATTCCTCAAATGTTTGTTGAAGGGGAAAACATTGGGTTGATAAGATACAAAAACAATAACCCTGTTGAGCCTATGGAGAGTCAATGGACCGTAGGGTGCTTGGGGATTGATGTTTGACAATAGCCTCACCTCTGGCAGTTGAATTCAGAGGCCTCGTGGCAGGATAGGCCCCATACATCATCTATGGAGAGGCTGGATGTCTTGTGGGCCCTCTGTGCGAGTGGGGTGAGCCAGTGCAGAGTCATGAAGGAGAAGAGGCCAGCGTTGTCGACTGGGTGCTGGTGCCTGAGAGAAAGACAGGAGCAGAATAGAACGGACTGAGTGAAAATCTAGGCATCATCTGGGTTCTAGGTGGAGAGAGAGAGCGAGAGAGAGAAAGAGAAAGAGAGAGAGAGCAAGAGAGAGCAAGCAAGAGAGAGAGAGCGAGAGAGAGCGAGCAAGAGAGAGAGAGCGAGCAAGAGAGAGAGAGCGAGCAAGAGAGAGAGAGAGCGAGCAAGAGAGAGAGAGCGAGCAAGAGAGAGAGAGCGAGAGAGAGAGCGAGAGAGAGAGAGAGAGCGAGCGAGCGAGTGAGAGAGAGAGAGAGAGAGAACACACTGGCCCCTGAGAAAAGAAAAGAAAAGAGCCCCTGAGCCTTCACTTTGACCGGGGAAAGATGAATCATGAACCACCGTTGTTTGAACAGCAGTTTGCAGGCACTTCATAGAAATCTTGGGGAGCTGTGAAAAAAGTTCAGGGACAGTTTATCAGTCAGTGTGCATTCAAACACAGAGCCCTCTGTTAGCGGGGGATAAGTCAATTCCCTTATGATGGCCTCCTGCTGCTCTCTCGCTCGAAACAGGAAGACTATAGTTGAGTCCCAAACAGCACCCTATTCCCTTCATAGTGCACTTCTTTTGACCAGGGGCCTATAGGACTCTGGTCAAAAGTACTGCACTATGAAGAAAATAGGGTGCCGTTTGGGATGCAGCCATTGACCCTATACACTCACAACTCAGCAGGGCACACTGTCTCCAGTGTCGACATTGCAGGATTTCCAATTAGTAAACGCCCTAAAACAGCGGTTCCCAAACTAGGGGTCGCGACCCCATGAGTGGTCGGCTGATATTAAATGACGTAAATGTAAATGTAAATATTAAAATGGGGTCACGGGAGATTTTCCAAAATCCTGAAAAATATATATATACAAAAATAAATATAGATTATAATATCATCTTTGGATATCAAAATCATTGTAATGTGGTTAACCTTAAAAATCTAAATGAAAATGATTCAAATCTAAAAGATTAAATTTAACCAGAGAGCTCCCTTACATCATGGGAAAAGGCAGCACTTGACCGTTGCACTTGAATCATTCCCACGGTGAATGGCTAGACCCGCTACGCTATGAAACCACACACTATTGCAGAGACTTTGATATTACCATCCGCAATTGATATGATGAAAACAATGTGTGGGGAGGCAGAGGCACATAAACTCACATCAATACCTTTGTCAGATAACACTGTTTAACAAATAATTTATGCTATTGCTAGCAATCAAAAGGAAACTGACTGAACAACTCAAACTCCCCAGCTTATGCTCTCCAAATGGATGTTAGCTGTGAGGGCCGAGATGCCCATGCATTTACTTTTGTTTGCTATATGTCTGGGGATGCTATTCATGAGGACATATTGTTCTGTCTCACGATTCCCAAGCATGAAACGGCACGGGGATGTTCAGTGTGCTGCATGGTGAGGAAAAACAGATTCAATGGGATCGAATGGTGGGCTTTTGTACAGATGGGGCTCCATATATGGCTGGACGGCGGGCAGGCCTCTGCACTCTAGTTATGAATGTGTCTCCCTCTGCCATATGGACGCATTGTATGATACACTGAAAGCAACTTGCGGCAAAAGAGTTGAGCAAATGAACTCTGAGATACTATATACTGCAGCAGGTAACTTCGATTGTAAACTACAAAAAAACACATCCACTGCGTGCACACCTGTTCGCAAAGCTATGTGGAGATATGGGATCAGAGCATGACAATGTTCTATTTCACACTGAGCCTTAGTGGTTATCGAGGGAGAGTGTTGGAAATATTTTTCGCATTGAGAGAGGAACTGTTGTGCCTCCTTTCCTAAAATGTGTCTTCTTGCCTATGTAACAGACATATTTGGGAAACTGAACGAACTGAACGCAAGCATGCAGGGGAAATTCTATAGATGAGTGACCGAATCAGTGGATTCAGAGGAAAGAATTCTTATTAGAGAGAGAGTCTTTCAAAAGTGAACCATGCCCTCTTCCCTCGGCTGTGCATGTTTCCTAACAGAAAACAGCATCAGTAAGTGTCCCACACGAGGGATGACTGCTCACCTCCAATGCTTGGAAGAGCACTTTGGGACCTACTTCCCAATCCGTTTGACTGTGATTCTGGCTCAGTTGCGATGCCGGTAAGTGAAATTGAACTGCTGGTTCCTGACTCAAAAGGAATAGCCTGCTGTCTCCCTCTGAGCATTAATGTCGCGTTCAAAACAACTGGGAACTGGTCCGGGTTAGGGGAGGGTTTGGCCAGCCGGGATGTCCTTGTCCCATCGCGCTCTAGCGACTCCTTGTGGCAGGCCGGGCGCATGCACGCTGACTTCGGTCGCCAGTTGTACGGTGTTATCAAAAGGGGTCGTGGGCCAAAAAAGTTTGGGAACCCCTGGCCTAAAAATAGGGTACTTACTTGTGCGTTATCCTGAAGGGCTTCAGTATCTGCAGGCTGTGGCGGTAGCGGCCAGCCCTCCGCCTGGGACTGGTCCACGGCACCACCTCCCTCTGGCCTTCCTCTTCATCGGGGTCGGGTAAGTTTGGGGTTGCGGGGGGATTCAGGGGCAAGCCCTCCACCCGGCCAACTGCCTCCAGGGCATCAGGGAACATGGCTGCCCTTCTGTAGAGGGGAAAAGGCAAACACAAAAGTTAGTTCACATGTAAAAGTGTTCGAACTGGCCCTTTCTGTGAGGAACCTGGATTGGAGTTGAATTAGGGTATTTGGAGAGACACTTAAAAAATCAGAATAGCCTAACAACAAGTTTGAGTGCAGTAATTTCAAGCACTTTAGTTGAAAAGTCCTCATAGCAAATAATGGGCCATTATCAATTCATGAATTTCAGATTACTCTTTGAATTAAATCAAACTTTGGTGGGCACCCTTTCTATCTGTCTATTGCCTAACCACCTCTCTTCTGAGCCCCATTAGAGAAGCCTCTTTGTTTTGCTGACTCACTTGTAGAGACCTGGTGTGACTGAAAAGCACCTTGCTCATGTAACAATATTGCTTCCGGCCCTCTCCATGCCACAAACTAGCCTTGAACCAGGGTCCCTCTGAACACATCAACAACTGCCTCCCATGAAGCATCGTTACCTATCGCTTCACAAAAGCCGCGGCCTTTGCAGGGCAAGGGAAACAACTACTTCAAGGTCTCAGGTCGAGTGACGTCACCGATTGAAACGCTATTAGCGCGCAACGCTAACTAGCTAGCCATTTCACACCCGTTACACTCAGAGGTTGTCCCCCCCCACAGCCCTCAGCCACAAATATGAAGTGATTATCTATTTAAAGACGGCACGCAGGAGGCTTCAAGGGCTTGGGAAACATTGAGGAGGGAGGATATTTGAGCCGCTTGTGTGTTCGCACAGTGTCACTGATCCTTCTATGGGCAAAGCTCCACGATAAGTTCACTCAGACTGCGTATGTTGCAGATCGACCTTGACCTGGGAATGAGGCCAGCAATGTAGACTGAGACGAAAGGTTTATTTAGGAATGTATTTATTGACACAGACAAGCTGTCAAGAAAGTTTTGCAAGGAAAATGGGCCATAGGTCTACCACACCCAATGAGTCGGACACAGTAAAGTAGCATGTTACAATTCTATGAGAACCTAGGTAAAGTGAAACTTGACATGTACTTCAGAAAGATTGTATCGATACACGCGCTGAAAAGTAGCACTGTAAGAGACAGTGTACAGTAGCATGAGAACTGCAGAGCAGTGAGACGTTTCACTTGACATATGCGAGAAAGATCCCACTGATTTTTTTTCCTTCCATCTTGATCATGTGAAGTTTGTCACCAGCCTGATAAACTTTTCAGAACCAGCTGCTATAGCAGAGACCAGGCCTAAATCATTCCAAAACAGAGGCCCCGTCAAGGAAACAGTCCCTGGACTGCACTGCCCAAACCTGTTAATGACATTTCTATTGGTTATACAATTTCCTTAAGTCAACTCAGTCCTGACACTTTCTGCTGCAGGGCTAACTGTAGGATGGGTAAGTGCATGAACTCAATAGTCCACTGAAAACATGAACTCAACGAACGATAAAAGGGCAACAAAACAAAAATATAGAATTATGCCAAAGCAGGTTAATATTAACCTAAGTTCCATTGTAGACTGTACTTTGAATTGACCTACGTTAAAAGGGGGTGACCGGAGCATACGTGAACAAAACATTTTGTTTACCCTACATTCGGACTGCCCTCTTTGCTGTCAGTGTCAAGTCCAAAGAAATTAGAGGTAATTCAGTACAAAAGGTATTTTGTCTGGAAAAAATAATGCATTGATATAATCCGATAATTGTATAAAAATTTTAACAACCACCATCATCCTTCACAATCATCATCTCCAGTGAAACATTGTAAAAAGTTGTCAATATCTACATTACAGTCTGTGTAAGAAACTTACATGTGCAAGTCTGCAGTCTTCCCCTCAGTTGTCCCCCTGCGTTGCAGCTCTCAAATCTGATGTTTATGAATATTGGTTGAGGTATGGTCACTGGGTTTGATACCACTTTCGAAGGTTGCATCTAATTTTCTCTTGATAAAATACATAGGCAACACTTCTATAACATCAACTTTAAAATAATTAAAAGCCATGTCCCACAGAATGTTTGTTGCTAGTTTTGTTACCACTTCTTCCGGACCTCTCTGATGAGTTCTCAACTCAGCTCTTCTTCCACTCCGTGCATACGGAATTCCCGATATCCACCTGACGTCATGGCTGCTCAACCAACCGTAGCCTTGCTTGCATCGTCGCCGTAGCAACGTGAATGGTGACGACAAGAAAGCCACGTGGTAATCTCCAGCAGAGCGCGCGACCAGCTTACGTTTCTCCGTCTATATTTGGCTATGGAGAGAAGGTAAACAGCAGTCCAGCGAAGGCCAGGGAGCTGAGTTGTGTTCTCTTTGACGGTTAGTTGGGTTGGGTGCATGTGATTTGCAAGGAAGAACATTGACAGAATAATCATCTAGATAACATGGTGGCTTTAAGCATGCCTGCATTGCATCATGAATGGATTCAATCCCCCTAAATGTTGTTGATAAGATGCACTGATTCCTTATGAAAAGTACAGGGGTGAGAGGCCTATGTCATTTCTTGTCGTCAACAGTAGGTGTGGAAAATCAATATCTTTTGCACAATTTATTTAAATAAACTATCGACAGTGACTTTTAAAAATAATTAACACATTAGCGCCGATAGAGAAAGAGTGTGTGTGCATGTGACAATAATCTTATATTTGCCCTATTTCACACATGTACAAGAGTGTATTAATTCGCATGTTTAACTGTGATTATTTGCATATCCCAAATCTCCCGAGACATCCTCGGAGAGTGGAATCAACGGTGACCATGGAGCAATTAGGACAGATTTTTCGCCTTGTCAGCTCCGGGATTCGAACTAACAACCATTCAGTAACTGGCCCAACACTCTAACCACTAGGCTACCTGCCACCCTGTGTTTGTGTGTGTGTATAGAAACGGGTGCCCACGGTAGTCATTAGCGTTCTTACAGTTAGTGCTAATGGCCAGGCTGTAGCTGGTAGTAGGGATGTCTGCACCAGGCTTTGTTTACCCAGCTGACAGGGGAGTGGGTGGGGGAGACAAAGCAATATTTTTTGCAACTGAATAGTCAGTAGGCCCCTGGCAAGATGGGATGATTTGAATTTTAAAAAGATGTTTCAGGTAGATGTATGAATAACAATAAATAATCAAGCTTTGAAGGCTCAACTTGAGGGGTTGAGAAAGTTTAAATACCCATAGGGCCTACTGCACTAGTTTATTAACACCTCAGATACAAAGGTTTAGTCTAATCAAGTCATTCTGGCCAACATCCCTTTCTATTCAGAATACACTGTTATCTAATAGAGAAGTACTTGATGACATGGCTGCTTCTTGCAGAGATCCCCAGGGTGCCCAATGGACTCATCATCTCACCTCTGAATTAGTCCGTGAACACTGTTGTCATGTCAAACTCTTCTGCATTGCAAGTGCTGCTTAACCTTGGCCAGTGATGTGATCCACTCCGAACTAACACACTTGTAAAAGCCACTTGAGGACAAGAGAAACAGTGTTGTTACAGTATGAACAGTTTTAAGAAACCATAACAACTCTTTACAGTGTCCTCTATGGGTTTTGAGAGGCAGCACAGTTGTTCCTTTGTCCGACCCAGCCCATGCAGTGCAAACACTGAAGTTAAAGGGAGACTGCACTTCTTGATTTGGCCTCGTTTTGAAGATTGCTCATTAAGAAATGACATACCCAACCCTCCTGTAAGTCGTGACAAACTCACTTACAAAACTCAGTTTGGGACGAGACTGACTTTATGACCACATTTATCCTATTTACAATTCGTAGTCAATTTTGACACTAGAATAAAGGTTTCTGACTCATATCGATGCCACAAAAGCCATTTAAAACCAGAGAAGTTGGTTATAAAGGGCAGTTTACCTTTAACACTGTTGGATAGGTGAACATCAAGGGTTCTCTAAGTATGTTCACTTTCTATCACCAATCCAGTCATGACAGATCATTGGATTGGTACCATTAAGGAAGTGAGAAAGTACTGAAGGAAGGATTGTCATGGTATTAGAACAGGACTTAGAGTCTCAGTCCCTCACCATCATCTTAATACAGTGATGCCATCTCATGGACTGGTTTCTCTGTACCACCGGCAGCCAGCCGAAAGCAATACATAAACCTGCCCAGAAAATCATTGGAGTCGTCTCACTTTACTGAGCTGAGAAATTTGCTGAATGCCTGAGATCAATGAACTGGATTCAGTGTCCCCTATCCATTTCCTGGGTGATTCGTGATTTGTGGCGACCGATGGCCGAGTTTGGAGAGAAAGTTCCATAGTGCATACAGAGCTTTGTTGCTATGGTGAAGAAACTGAGAGACAGACTTTTTTTTGATTGAGGGAGCACTGGGAAGTTAAAGAGATGGTTCACTCAATAGTTTGGCAGACGTTTCAACAAATCAGAAGTGGTCTAAAGTCAAATTGAGGCCATGCTTATCTTAAGTGTGGATAATGCTCTATGCATTGCAAGAGATCTGCAGGCTTCAGGCACATTAATAGGAAATATAAAGCACCAACTGGATTTGGAGTGGATCCTTTTAAGACTAGCTTTGTCCGTCCACAGCTCGGGAGCAGTGTCAAGCTGGAGCAAATGAAGGCCTCATGCTGCTTTGGTGCACGTCACACAAGGAAGAAATCATTTGATTCCCCTGCAAGACAGAGCAGGCGAGCTACACCGGCAATTTGACAGCATGCTCAGTGGTGCCCTTCAGAATGGTCTCGTCTTCCAATCAGCAACTCTAAGCTGATTATCTCAATGCTAGAAATTCAGAAATCCAAACCTGGCAACCCATCTCATAATTGGGCCCTTACATGACCTGAATAATGCCCAATGTAAACCAATGTAAATTTGATGACCCAAATAACAACAATGAATGTAAATGTTATGGCTTGTTAAGTTACAATCCTATTGGCTTCGTATTGGGATTCTTCTTCTTTACCAGGAGGTGCTGAAATCCCTGGTCAATCTTTGGGGAGCACGGCTTACAACTTTACTATAAATCAGGCCTAATAATAATACATCTAATCTATATAGCGCTTTCATTACAGTTCTCAGATTCTTTTCTTTTATGACATACAATGAAAACAACATATATTTAGAATCAAGGCAGGTAAAATAGCAATAGTGGGCTAGGTGCTAAATACGTTTTAGATTGGGACTAGGACTATGAAAAAGATAGTCTGTAGAAGTAGGTTTTAAAAGTTCGGAGTGATGGATCAGCTCTCAGATGGTCAGGGAGAGCATTCCATAGGCGAGGGGCAAGGGAGCAGAAGGCTCGGTTCCTCATAGTTCGGAGACGTGTCTTGGGGACTTAAAGCAGTAGGCCGGCTGGAGCGGAGAGTGTGAGGTGGCTCGCTGATTGAGATGAGGTCGCTAATGTAGGTGGGGCTCAATCTATTCATGGCTTTAAATACAAGCATTTTGAGGATTTTTAAGTCAATCCTGTATTTGACCGGTAGCCAGTGGATTTGGGCCAGGATCGAGGTAATGTGGTGTGACTTCTTGGTCCTGGTCAGGACCCTGGCAGCACTGTTCTGGATTAGTTGGATCCTCTGTAGTGATTTGGCTGGGAGGCCCCCAAACAGCGCATTGCTATAGTCAATCTGAGACAAGATGAAGGCGTGGATGAGTTTCTCTGCATCTGGCTGGGAGAGTGACGGTATGACGCGGGCAATATTTTTAAGATGGAATTTTGTTTTGTTTTATGTGGGCATCGAAGGACAGAGAAGGATCAAACTTGACTCCTAGGTTAGAGATGACAGGGATGGCCTGGCCGCTGATTGTAGGGCAGATGTTTCTTGCATTGGTGACCAGCTTGGGTTTCCCAATAAGCATAGCACCAATCTTGCTACTGTTCAACTGGAGGATGTTGTCTTTCATCCATGTCCTCTAGGCAGCTGCTGAGTTTTGCTAGGGCAGAGATGGTGTCCGGTTTGGTGTTAATGTAAACCTGGGTATCGTCAGCGTAGCAGTGGAAGTTGATGTTATAATCTGAGGATTTGGCCGAAAGGGAGCATGTCAATTAAAAACAGGATAGGCCCCAGCACTGACCCCTGTGGGATGTCGCATGTGGCTGCAGACTCCTCCAATCTGGACTCTCCAATAGTGATGTATTGCTTCCAATTGGAGAGGTAGGAGAAACAGTTCAGAGCTGTTCCAGAGACAGCAGTGTGCTCTGTGATGCCACAGCAGACAATAAGGGTTCAGTCATGCGTTCAGTGGGAGCTCCCGGGCCTATGGCCGTCACTGTTGATTTTGTATGAGCATATCTCTCGGATCTTAATCAGGCTCTACAGCAAAGGATCAAAACCCATTCGAAACGGACTGGGCCGATTAAATAGGAATTACACTAAGAACACTTAAATGTATTTACCAGTTTTCATAGGAATAGTCTTATAATGAAGAGTGACTGATGTCCGACTCAAGGGTTTTGGTAATGACGACCATAGTAAAATTAGCATGATAACTGTGATACAGTATGTGTATTATTATTATTTTTTACTGTGGTTGTATTTTACTAAAGTCTTGGGAATGATATTTTAATTGTTTATGCACCATTTCCAAAACGCTGTAAGTGACTTTCGGATGATCTGGACATGCGAAAATTATAATATAGGTCCCATGAATTTAATGAGATCTGTGCCACAAATGCTAAAACGTTAGCATGTGGAATCAGTACCAGGAAAAATAAAAGAAAGCATGGATGAGGGCACGACAAAGCCTATTCCCCCTCAGGAGACTGAAAAGATTTGGCATGGGTCCTCAGATCCTCTAAAAGTTCTACAGCTGCACCATCGAGAGCATCCCACCTGGTATGGCAACAGCTCGGCCTCCGACCGCAAGGCACTACAGAGGGTAGTGCGTACGGCCCAGTACATCACTGGGGCCAAACTTCCTGCCATCCAGGACCTCTATACCAGGCGGTGTCAGAGGTAGGCCCTCAAAATTGTCAAAGACTCCAGCCACCCTAGTCATAGACTGTTCTCTCTACTACCACACAGCAAGCGGTAACGAAGCACCAAGTCTGGAACCAACAGGACCCTTGTTTCCCACGGGGGGCCAGTATGAAAATGTATGCACTCACTAA